TCTTTACAGCTTTTAAAAGTTTCAATTCTTTAGATTCAACTATCGTAATAACTAGTAGACTAGATCTAAGTCTAAATCCAAAAATCAAAGCTTTCAAGTCCCATTGATTGCTCACTTCACCAAGTTTAAGCAAACAAAAAAGAACAAGAACAAGAACAACTTCATAGACAGACAAGTATTCATTTACCCAAGTGCTCTTAACCTTTTGTTCTTTGAAATTTGACTTTATCTTATAAATCTGAATGATCAAACCAAGCTATAAAGCAATAGGCGATTGTCTTGTGAATGTGGAAAGAGGAGAGTTCCCATTTATGGACAGATCTCAACAAATGATTCGTCCCATTCAAAAAGACATTTCTTTTCCTTTTCCCACTCAATCAATTTTTCTCTTTTAGCTCTATTGTAGTCAAATTTTTCTCTTATTATTGATTTCATCTTTGAAAAAATCATTGAGAATGATCGATTTCTTTTTTTTCTTTTTTCACTGCGTAATTTGCGCTTAAAAATGAGAATTCTCTGATACACTGAAGCTGTTTTTTGAAAATTTAGAATACTACAAAGAAATTTGCGTTGATGACGATAGTAAGTCGATCTCCAAGCACATCAAATGGATCACCGATGGAAACTGGTAAAAATGTTTTCCATAAACAGAGAGAAGAATAGAAAGAGAAGAATAGAAGAATAGAAGAAAAGAGCCTGAGCCTGAGCCTGAGCCTAAGCCTAAGCCTGAGCCTAAGCCTGAGCCGATGGAAACTGGTAAAAATGTTTTCCATAAACAGAGAGAAGACTAGAAAAACTGAGAAATTGCTGTTCTAGATGTTTTTCGAGAGGGATCTCTCTACCCGGATGGATCTGGACAAGCGCCGATTCTCAGATCACCAAGAAAACAACTGATCCAATCACCATTCAGAGAGGTTAGAGATTTTAATTTGTGAGAATTTATCTTATAATTAGAGTCATTTAAAAAGCTGGAACTAAGGCAAATCAAAAAAATTTTGCGCCGCCGGGAGTCGAACCCTCGAACCCACGCTTACCGGCCAACTGTGCTAACCATTATACCACAAGGCACATGATCGTCTTGGCTCCAAAGGGAATTTTAAATCTCATTGAGAGCACCTAGATAAAGTTCTGGTTTAGGATTAACTTTTTTAATTTTAAAAGGATTAATCTGCGAGTCGGTAATGCTAGTTTTGTTGCCAGTTATACGTTGCATTCTCAGCCTTGAACTCTTTCTTGAACACTAACGATTTTACTTTTCTTCATTTTATCTGATTTTCGGATCTCGTACCCAAAAATCCTGGGTAAAAACATGAAAATTTTGCACAATTTTTGTAGGTGCATCAATTTTGTGTAGTAAACCAGGAAGAGTTAAAGGAGGGTTAATTAGAAAAGATTAGAAACGATTAGGAACCGAATTAGGAACGATTCTCACTAAACCAAATACTTGTTCTTGTTTAACAATGGAATTTCTATTAAAAATCGAGTCTAGTTTAAGGCAAAAATTGATCCCAAGGATTTGGGTGTAATGACGCTGAAAAACAGTTAAAGCGGCTCAGTCCCTCACCGCTCTTTCCATTATGCATTTGAAAATGGAAACCCCCTTACACTAGAGGGATTTGCCAGATTGTGAGCGATTGTGTGCACGCACAAAGAACGCCTCGCCAATCATTTAAATAGAGATTTATCCTTTCCTTTTAGATGATACAAAAAGATATTCAGCTGTCAATTTGTACCCAGGGGTTTTCGGGATCGGGGAATCGATTAGAGCTAGTCATTTTATTGAATCTACCAATTGGAATTCGGGTTTAATTGTTGTCAGATAAAGATCGAAAGATGAGATACTCAAAGTTAAAACTGACCTGAAAAAGTTGATTTCATCTTTTAATACCAAATAAATTATTGATAAAATGTTCATGAAATTTGATCAAAAATTTATATTACCAAGCCAAGCTGTCGATAATTTCGTTTTATTGAGTTTTAGTGAGAATCGATCCTAATCTTCTTCTTCTTCTTTAATACTTTAAAAATTCTAAAAATCTTGATTCTAACAAGGCTTTCAAATTAAGCTAACTTTAGATAATTAAGCAAATTAAGCTAACTCAAGCCTCAAGCCCAAATCCATCTTATAGAAAAAGCGATAGGGATTTTGAATCCATTTTTAGTTTTTGTAGAGATATTAGCATAGAAAATTATTTTGAATGAATTTTGCGAAATGTTCTACAAAAACTAAAAATGGATTTGAAATCCCTATCGCTTTTTTTATAAGATGAATTTGGGCTTGAGGCTTGAGTTAGCTTAATTTGCTTATTAGATATTAGCAAAGAAAATCATCTTGAAGAGATATTAGAATAAAAAATCATCATGAATTTTGAATTTTGCGAAACTTTCTACAAAAACCAAAAATGGATTTGAAATCCCTATTGCTTTTTCTATAAGATGGACTTGGGCTTGAGGCTTGAGTTAGCTTAATTTGCTTAATTATCTAAAGTTAGCTTAATTTGAAAGCCTTGTTAGAATCAAGATTTTTAGAATTTTTAAAGTATTAAAGAAGAAGAAGAAGATTAGGATCGATTCTCACTAAAACTCAATAAAACGAAATTATCGACAGCTTGGCTTGGTAATATAAATTTTTGATCAAATTTCATGAACATTTTATCAATAATTATTTGGTATTAAAAGTGAAATCAACTTTTTCAGGTCAGTCTTTGAGTATCCATCTTTCGATCTTATCGACAACAATTAAACCCGATTCCAATTGGTAGATTCAATAAATGACTAGCTCATCGTCCCGATCCCGAGGGGAATCGATTGGCTACTCAAGCCTGAGGCTGGTTAGCTTAATTTGCTTAATTAGCTAAGCTTAATTTGAAAGCCTTGTTAGAATCAATATTTTTTAGAATTTTTAGTATTAAAGAAGAGGTTCAGATTAGGATCGATTCTCACTAAAAACCAGCTTAAGCTTAAGCTTAATTCAACTTAATTTGAAAGCCTTTGTACGGTTAGATTTGAGCTTGATTTTAGGTGACACCAAGCTGTGAGAGAAAATCCCCCGCCAAGAAGATTAAAGGAAAAAATTTGACGGTTTGTTTAGAAGATTAGAAAAAGACTAGTTGTTAGGAGAACTTAAATGATTATTTTTCTTTATTTTTAGAAACCTAAGCAAATTTAATAGCTAATATAGTAAAATGTTACCCTTAGATGTTCAAGTTTTCAGCACTACTTCAAAACGGAACGCCCGAAACCCGGTCGAATCATTGCACCGAAATTTCTGACAAGGAGTAAATCAAGACAACTTTTCAATGAACAAATCAATCAAAATTGAAGAAAAAGTGAAGATTTTTCGTTTGTAAATAAATTTCATTGAGAAAAATGGTTTTTTTTTGCACAAATCAGAAAGTCTATCAGTTTGAGACAAATTGTGATTTTGAAAAGGGAAAAGAAAGATTTTAAAAACAAATTTTAAAACAAATCAACTCTTCAATGTAAATTTTAAAAAATAAATTAACTCACAAGAAGGTTTAGACTTTGATTTTTCATCGAATGATATCAAAGAGTCAAATTTTGACGGCCTAAAAACTGTAAAACAAAAAGCTAACTATTAATTTGAATTTGTGCCTTATGAGTGATGAAAAGGTGATTAATTTTGGAAAGCTTTTGTAATCTTTGAAGAGTTTGGGAAGCTTTTGTCATCTTTCAAAAGTCTGGAAAGCTTTTTTAATCTTTGAAATGTTTGAAAAGCTTTTGTAATCTTTGAGAAGTTTGGAAAGCTTTTGTAATCTTTGAACAGTTTGGGAAGCTTTTGTAATCTTTGAGAAGTTTGAGAAGCTTTTGTAATCTTTGAAAAGTTTCAAAAGCTTTTGTAATCTTTGAGAAGTTTGAGAAGCTTTTGTAATCTTTGAAAAGTTTCAAAAGCTTTTGTAACTTTGAGAAGTTTGGAGCTTTGTAATCTTTGAAAAGTTTCAAAAGCTTTTGTAATCTTTGAAAAGTTTAGAAAGCTTTTGTAATCTTTGAAGAGTTTGGGAAGCTTTTGTAATCTTTGAGAAGTTTGAGAAGCTTTTGTAATCTTTGAGAAGTTTGGAAAGCTTTTGTAATCTTTGGGAAGTTTGAGAAGCTTTTGTAATCTTTGGAGTTTGGAGCTTTTGTAATCTTTGAAAAGTTTAGAAAGCTTTTGTAATCTTTGAGAAGTTTGAGAAGCTTTTGTAATCTTTGGGAAGTTTGAGAAGCTTTTGTAATCTTTGAGAAGTTTGAGAAGCTTTTGTAATCTTTGAAAAGTTTCAAAAGCTTTTGTAATCTTTGAAGAGTTTGGGAAGCTTTTGTAATCTTTGAAAAGTTTCAAAAGCTTTTGTAATCTTTTCTTCTTTAGATCTTCCTCAATTCTGATCTCATCCGATGGAAAATCAATGTAAATTGAATGAGATTAAGTAAATTTATGTAATTAAGTAAAAAAAAAGGAGATTTAAAAGATTAAGGCACTTTCTAAATTACCCAAAAACAGTACTCAAAAGGCACAAGTTCATAGAGCTAAACTAGAAAAGATTAAACTTTACCAGAATGCTAAAATTATCTTATTTGATATGCCTTTGATCTCCAATACGTTGCGCAATCAGCAAACAGTTTCTAAACTTAAATCAACAACCCGTTGTTCGCCAAAATCAGTAAATGGATTACAAAAAATGGTGAATGACTCGATCTTTCGACTTGCAAGGAATCTTGTGTTCGGATATTGAGTATTGAAAAGAGAAATCAAAAAAAGATGCTCATTTCAAATGTCTCTTTGACCAATGGGATGTTCAGCGAATAGGTAGACTGAAGAAAAGGGAAAGGGAAGAAATTTGGCGAGAAACGGTTGGTGAGAGACAACAACGGATCCACAAAAAAACTCCTCTTTTTGGGGTGGAGAAAGATGGGTCAGTCTCCTCCCAAGTCAACCTCAAACCTTCCACCTATTTGACTATTCATTTTTTCTTCACTGCCTTTTACCCTTTCTGGGTGATGCTCACATGTTGTCGTGTACGCAAAAATTTGAGACCAAGCTTACTGTGGGTTATTTCTTTCTTTTTTACTAGCTTTTGGCTGCTTTTGGCTGCTTAGTTGAATAGAGGATGAGAAATTTGGAATTGACTGGTTAGGGATCTGGCTTGCTCTAATATTTATACTGTTAGCTGTTAGAAGACATATCAGGGCAGTGTTAAACCAATCTAGGACAAGTGACATGCTTAGGCTTAGGCTTATAAAAGGTCTCTAGGACCATTAGAAGCAAGTAAGTTTCAAGGGATTTCAAGGGAAAGCAAGTAAGTCCATGGAGGTTTTCTTTAGACTAACTCTGAAACATATTCGTGAATTTGATGTTAATTCTCTATCTTAAAATAGTAAATAGGTAAATTGATGAAAAAAAGAACTAAAAGGTATTCAAATAGGCAAATTAATCAAAAAAAGAACTAACAAGTATTCATAAATAGGTAAATTGATGAAAAAAAGAACTAAAAGGTATTCAAAATAGGCAAATTAATCAAAAAAAGAACTAACAAGAAGTCATAAATCGATATTATTCATAAACTTAGGTAGCTTTCATGCCAGAATCTATTTCAAAACTGTTTTCCCCTTTTTTCTCATGAAACATTTTGTTATTTTTGTGTTTCAGAGGAAATTTCGAAAACACGATCATAAACTTTACCTATCAAGATCAAGGTGTTTACCCCAAAACTGAGACTCTAAAGTTTCCCCAAAGGACAATTTTGATTTCTTTGAAGAATATGAATTGAATTAAATGATAATTAGATATTTATTTTAGAAAAGTCTCTACCATCTCGGCTATTCATTAGGAAAACATCCATGGCGCTACATCATCACCATTCTTTTCTTCACCGCTATTTCAACGATTGGCGTTTTACGGTTTTGTCAGGTGAATAATTCTTCTAAAGTTTTGAAAGAAAATTTTCAAACGCTAGTTTCTCCAAAGTTTCCACGAGATCAGGTTCAACTCTAGTTTCTCTAGTTCTGGCTTTTCGGAATATTCCTGAGCTCAAATGGGAATCTTTTTGAAAATATTGATTTACAAATATTTAACTAAAACGCAGCCACACAAAGAACACCTTTTACAGGGATTTTTCTTTTGCTTTGTAGATAAAGTCTTGTTTAATATAAATATAAAAAAATATAATTGTCTTGTTTAATATAATGAAAGTTTTTAGTGGAATAACCCACGTGAAACGTTTACTGATTCTGATTCACCGAGTTCTCGTGAGAGGACTGTCATTCGCGAATTTCTCGGCGTTCAAGGAAATGTCCACTTTGTTGATGTAAGTGTCTCGGTTTTGCTGAATAAAAAAGGGATTTTGATTTTCAGGACTAGGTTCTCAAGGTCGGTTTCTCTTGAACAGTTTCTTTTTTAGGAAAGAGTTGAAGGAATTCGATTAACCGCCCGGTTCTTTGAGTGTTCTTGAAACAAAGTTCCACTTTTGAACACTTCAGTAACAGTCAAGTAAAAGAAATGATCTAAAATTGATCCTGAAGCTTTTAGGATATTCAGTTAAAACGTTAAATTGAAGATTTCTTCAGCTGATATTCAAAAAAAATGATATTCAACTAATCTAATACTTTCAAAGTACCCAATTTTTGTTGAAAAATCTTTTTTTTAAACAAATCTATACATCTAAATCTGTAGTTTTATTGAGATTAAAAATAGATTTAAACCATTTTCTGTTATCATTATTATCTCAATTTTTAAAGGGTAAATATAATCGATACCGAATAAAGTTTATTGTATTTGCATTGACAAATATTTTCTTGAGAAAGGTGTTTGGGTTGACCTTGACGGGTACACAAAGACTACAAGAAAGAAATAAAATGATGAGAAAAACTTGTGATCATTTTGTGGTAAAAAAGGGGATATAAGAGAGGATGATTTGAGGAAAAGACTTGAGATTTTAAAGGAAATTCAATTTTCAAAGGAGGCAAGGGATCTTTAGACGATTTGATGAGCTTTATGGGATGGGATGGGCGTAAGCTGGGCTAACGATTGGATGGGCGTAAGCTTGGGACAAAGGCAATGCTATACAAAGAAATTTGGGGCTACTATTTCTGGCTCTGGCTGGCCAGGCAAGTCGAGGATCTAGTCAGGGCCAGATGGTAGATTCTGGCTTTGTTGGGCCTTCTATTTTCACCCAATCCAGCCCTAACCCTGACTCAATTGTTGTTAGGATTTTTACTATTGATGACTGAAAACTTGTTGTCACAAGACTTGTGCCAACTTGTTGATATGAGTCACAAGTACATAAGGACTTTAATGTAAGCCTGATTCGGTTCAAACTCTTTGAAACAACTTACATGATCAATCTTTTACATTGACCATATTTAGGTGTTGATAAAAGCTGCTGACAATGGGAGTCTAATACGACACGATCAACTCGAGGATCTCAATCGTTTCCTCAATGATTCCACATCTTATGTTCATATTCGATCTGATGATTTAAACCTCACCTACAACGAGATGTGCTCACCATATTGCGCAAAGCTGACCCCATTGCAAACGTTGATTGAGATTTTTCTCAAGGATTTAGATGTAGTGGTGAGTTTTGGTGTACTGGCTTAGTCGCTTGATCGATAAAGCTAATATCCAACTAAGTAAAAGGGAAACTTGATTGTCCAGTCATTTTTACTTATTGTCAATGTTTAAAATATCAGAAAGACTAATCATTTATCAAATTAGTTCTTGACTTCTCGATAAAGCTAATATCCAATTAACTAAAAGCAAAACTTGATTGTCCAGTCATTTTTACTTATTCTCAATGTTTAAAATATTAGACAAACTAATCATTTATCAAATTACTTCTTGACTTTTTTGATCTTTCCCTTTTTTAGAGAACTTATCCGAAATTCGAGCTTGGCGATCAGCAACTTTATGTCGGTGACAGTGTCTATGACGTCACTCTGAATGAAAGTACACAAGAGATACAGGTAGAGATTGGTAGATATCCAGCTAAACAAGTAGCTTGGTTTTGGGTAAATTTCAAAGAATTTCCAGTCAATTGGCGCAGTGGTCGTTCACTTTATGCTCACTCATCCAACAAAAGAACCAATGTTCGAGTGGGAAAATGAGGTTTGGGCAATATTTTATTTAAAAATCAATTCAATACCTTGAAAATGTTTAGAAAATCTTCAAAATTTATTTTAGTTATTAAAAATTCTTGATCTCGGTCTCTATCCATCACTCTCAATCGGCGCCTCGTCGGACGAGTTGATACGAAAAGAAGTTCAAGTAAGGCTTCGATAAAATTATCAATTAAACAATTAAACAATAAGAAAATCAATAAGAAATAATAATTTCTTATTAAACAATAAGAAAATCTTGTGCCTTAATCTTCATCTTAATATTAAACCATATTACTTTTCTAGATGATGGGCAATAAATCCTCAATTGGCCTTCTGGGTGCGCTGATCATCCTCGTGTCTTTCATGATCATTTGTTCGTTGAGGTGAGTTGCAATTTGTAAGTTAAAGCTTTTGATTGATTGATTTAGATATGATTTACGAGAGTCTAAATGGTGGGAATCGCTGTTCGGCGCCGGGATTCCGGTGTTGGTGATGGCTGTCACTGTGGGTTTAATCTCGGCTACCGGTTACCCATTTCAATCGATCGCCGTCGCTGTCATGTTTCTCATTTTGGCAATAGGTATGAATCTGTAAATGATGTCGTAAATGCTGATGGATTTATTTGGAGTCTTTTTGAAAAGAGCTCTTTTTCTGACCAACTTTGCTTAGGAAGGTTGGTTAATAGCAAAATGATTGGAGAGTGGCATAAATTCCAAGCTAGCTTTACTTTGACAATTGGTTGTACTGTAATTTGTATTTGTTTAGGCATTGACGATGTTTTCTTGATGATCGCCGCCTGGCATCGCACAGATAAAAAGCTGCCGATCGCCGAGAGAACCGCTCGAATGGTTGAGGTTGGTTAAGAATAAATATGATATAAAAATACATTTATTCTCACGAAGAATTTGCCAAACAATCCAAAAGGATAACCTCTAGCACTCAATCCATAAGTCCTAAGCGTAGAGAAGAACAAAACATATAAGAAGATGGAAAAAAGGAAGGGATAATCCACCCGGTTGAACCGGTCAGCTCTTGAGTAAGATACAGTGTTCTTAGCCAGTCGGCCATGGTGACTGATTGAAGCCACTTTAAATTTCGCATAACTTATGCAGTTACCTATCTTATAGAGCTCGGGAAGCTCGATGACTGTGACATCGGTGACGAATTTTATCTCTTTTGGCAATGGTCTGCTTTCTACAACACCAGTTTTACAGGTATTATTGAATATTTATCTAGCTGACTGTGACTGTAAGAAAGTCTTACTATAGCTATTACTATTTTTAGTGCTTTGCCATTTATGCTACAGTGGCATCTGTGATCGGTTTCGCTTTTCAAATCATTCTCTTTCCATGTGTGCTGGCTTTAGGAGCTTATAAAGAGACTCGAATCGATGATCAGGTGACTTTAAATAAGATATAAGATCTAAAATTTAAATTCAGAAAGCGAGCTGCGCTCATTTCCCACCAGCTCGCGTGTTGGGTCGCTGGAGAATCGCTTTTTGCAAGTTGATCGCTCAAGCTGCGACTAATGGCTTCGTGCAGATTGCGACGATATTTGTAAGTTTGAGAACTAAATGAAATTTTGATAAGGATTATCTTAAGCTAATGAAATACTGGCTATATGGCTCTCAAAGAGGCTCTCAAAGAGTCTCCGTTTGAAAGGAGTGTTCAGAAGAGTATCACATTCAAAAATTCGAAAGCCTGACTTTGAAACGCCACCCCAACTCCGTTGCCTGAATGAATGTAAAATAGGCCCCACCCACCCGTACTCACGTACCCGGCGGCGCTAGAAAGTAGGGCTAAAAATGCAAATTGAGGCGCGCTCGCTTCGCTCGAAACTAAACAAATTCCTTTCAGCTAATGATAGCTTACTGGGCGATGGCTACTTATGGACTGACATTAATGGAGACAGAGCTAGCAATTCAACACTTGGCTCCAAAAGAGTCTCCGCTTGTTCGGATGAGGATCGAGTTTGATGAAACTGTTAAGGTGAATTGGAAATGAACTTAAAAGGTTCGAAATCTTAATTCCTACTATCCCAAGGTACAGAACATTCATTAAATTAAAGCCAAAGATCTTGTTCACCCTGAATACTTTAAAATTCGAATGTAGAGATTTTGAGAAAGCTTTGAGACATTTACAACATCGTGATAGCGTTAACAAATTCCAATATTGCTTATAAAGCACACTGTAACTTAAAGCAGAGCGGAGAACGAGACGTTTAAAGTTAGACTACGCGACTGTCCGCTCGTCATTATGGTGTCATTATGGCGTTTTTGACGGTATTTATGTCGCAGCCGCTCGTGATTTTCAGAGAAAGTTTACTTTAATAGTACACAAATAAGCTGCAAAGTTCATCACGTAATTAGTCTAATAATTCCTTGTAATTGTAAACCTCGTACTTGTAAACCTCGTACTTGTAAACCTCGTAATTGTAATCCTTGTACTTGTAATCCTTGTACTTGTAATCCTTGTACTTGTAAATTCAATTTCTTTCCAGCAAATGCAGACAATGGCCATCGTGGTGAAAAAGCCAGGAGATCTGAGGGAAAAATCGAGATTAAAACGATTGAATGACATGGTTAGGTGAGAGTTTCAAACTTTGAAACTTAACTTGGTTTATTTCTAGAGAATTTGAAGTCACACCTCATGCTTATGGAAACTCGTCAACAATCTATTGGATCCGAGAGATGATGGATCAAGAAGATCAATTCGATTACTCGTCGTTAGTCGATTTTATTGATGACACTCCGCAATGGACAGCACTTGTTAAGGTAGATAAATGAAAACACCTTCCAAACCTTTCGACCATTCAAACTTTAACAAATTCTTTGGGTTTCAAAAAAACCGTATCTGATCGGTATGTACCTCAGAGTCCTATGCCAGATGGCGAGCGATTACGTAGCCACACAAAGAACACCTTTTGCTTTGTAGATATCCTAAATGAAGAAATTCAGCTGTAAATTTGTACCCGGGGGTTTTCGGGATCGGGGATTTGATTGGACGATTTGATTGGACGAAAAAGTTAAGGCTCTACCTCAGAGTCCTATGCCAGATGACGAGCGATTACGAGCTCGTTTTTCTGTAGCCTTCAATAAGAGTTCAGTAGTTACGTATCGTTCTTCTAGATCAATCACACCGCTTGCGAGGAAGAAGAGTCGGCTTGTGTTCGGGAGTTTATGTTTACCACCGGTTTCACTGACTATGTCAAGTGAGTTTGATTAGCTGGAACTGGCTGAATAAGCTGTTAATCTCTGTTTTGTTAAATTATCGTTATTAAATATGAAGCGATTTCATTTGTTACTCGTTTTCTAGATACAATGATGTCTACAAGTTGATCACCGAGTGGCGAAAGATCACCGCCAAGTACAGCGAATTCGATGCCTACGCTTACACGGAGAGAAGTGATTTCTCGGATTCGGTTAGTGACCAGCTGGATCCCTTGATAGCTTATTTTAAAACTCTAGGCAGCTACTTTAATCAGCACAATTTGGTGGACGATTCTATCCGAAGTGATTTGTATGATTATTGCCTTTATCTTCTTCATCCCGAACATTCACTCGATCATCGCTGCCACTTTTGCCTTATTCAGCGTCAATTTGGGTAAGCAAAATAAAACAAAAGTAATGTCAAAGAACCTGGTTACGGCTATTAGAAAAATCTAACAATAAGCCCCTTCAAGTTGACTTGATTTTTTGATTGTGAGACTTTTAATATTGGCATCCAACTTTGAGCTCAAATTTCTTGGTATTGGGCTATTGAATTGAAATAGTTTTTCTACCAAACGGACAGAGAAAGACTTGGCGGATCTAATGATACCAAGAATATTTAAATTGAATAGCCCAAAAACAAGATATTTGAGCTCAAAGTTAGATTGCTAATGGGAAAAGGAGCGGCGCGTATCAAATGTTCGATAACTCTTGTAAAATGCTAACCAACAGTAACGTTTGAGATGGTCGATTTTAAAGGGCTTAAGACGTGAATTTCTGTTGTACACTTATCGACGAACGGACCAAAAATGCACATGTCTACGCGCTCCGCCCCCTTCGCCATTGGCAATCCAACTTTGAGCTCAAATTTCTTGGTATTGGGCTATTGACTTCAAATAGTTTTTCTACCAATCGTACAGAGAAAGACTTGGCGGATCTAATGATACCAAGAATATTTAAATTGAATAGCCCAAAACCAAGATATTTGAGCTCAAAGTTAGATTGCTAATGGGAAAAGAAGCGGCGCGTCCATCGCCTCCAAAGCTCCATCGCCCTGCCCCTTTTCCCATTAGCAATCTAACTTTGAGCTCAAATTTCTTGGTATTGGGCTGTTCAATTGAAATAGTTTTTTTACCAAACGGACAGAGAAAGACTTGGCGCATCTAATGATATCAAGAATATTTAAATTGAATAGCCCAAAACCAAGATATTCGAGCTGATAGTTAGATTGCTAATGGGAAAAATGTCTGATAAGCTTGTTTTCAGGTGTGCTGGGTTTTTTGAACCTTTGGGGTGTCGGCGTGGATCCGTTCAGTCTGGCTTCATTGTTGATGTCGGTTGGCTTCTCAGTGGACATTTGTGCCCACGTCAGCTATCACTACTATCAAATGAAGCACCAGGTACAGTACAATAGACAATAAACTTGAAAACTCGATAGCTACTCAAAGAATAGCTCTTGATATTTATCAGCTCCTTATTCAGAGTCCTCAAAAGAGAATCGAGCACACACTATTGGACGTGGGATGGGCTACAACACAAGGGGCTCTCTCAACCCTGTTAGCGATGGCACCCACAGTTTTCTTTGATTCATATCTACTGCTCGTTTTCTTTAAGGTTTGAGAATTTAAGAGAATAAAGAATAGAATGACTTTTAGACAGTGATCCTTGTGAACACTTTTGGTATCATTCACGGTCTTTTCATTCTACCTGTTCTCCTCGGGATTCTCTCGCGTTTTCAGAAGCCAAAAGAATTGCGAAGGTGAGAGATAAATAGCTATAAAAGGCAAGGCATTAATGTTGTAAAACTCACATATTTATTGTGCATTTTGTGTAAAATCTGTCAAATCTATTCCCAGATTACTTTTTGGATCTGATAGGGATTTCTCGGCTCTTCTCGGGTTTCCGGGTATGGATCATCGTGCTTTAAAAGTCTATAACTTTAAACAGAGATAATATTCTGACTATTTTTTTATATCATTGTATAGAGAACATTTCAGACTTTCAAATGATATCAAATAAAGATGAAGAGAAATAAAGTCTGTTCTCTATACAATGATTTTAAAAGATGGCCGTAATATTATCTAAAAGTTATAGGTCTTTAAAGCACGATGCATTGTGCTTTGAAGTATTCACTCAAAACAATTAAGGAATATGCAAAATAATAGCTCAAGTGCGCGGGAGAGCCGAATCAAAAACCCCATACTTTGGCGCGGGAGAGCCGAACCAACAGCCCCATACTTTGGCGCGGGAGAGCCGAACTAACAACCCCATACTTTGGCGCGGGAGAGCCGAACTAACAACCCCATACTTTGGCGCGGGAGAGCCGAACTAACAACCCCATACTTTGGCGTGGGATTCACGTCGCGCGCCTTAGACCACTCGGCCACGGTTTCCCCTTATCTTTTTAGTGTATTTTGCAAAATTTCTTTAAAGATGTTATAACTTTTTGTAGAGTTGAGCAAATTTGATGATTTTTGCATCAAAATGTTCGTAAGAGTCTCTAGAATAAAAGTTATCCCTTCGTTTTTGGTTCGAGATCCTCGTTGTCGAGTTACGAGCCCCAAACTGCAGGGTACCACAAAATTTCCCATACAAAATGACCAAAAAAACAGAAATTTAAAAATTTCTGTTAGAGGGATTTGAAAAATTCCTTTAGATTCGGAATCAGCACAATTTTCCGCATCTAAAAAGGGTACTCCCAGAAAAATCCGATAGAAAACGCATTTTTGCCTTATTTCGCGCCGATGTGCGATGTCTCATTTAATATCTATCTATAGATTAGCTAGATTAGCTAGATTACGGTATTCAGTCCGGATTGGACCAGAGCATAGCCAAACGTAGTCAAAATTTGAATAATTAGACTTACTGGTATGGGATTTGTGATACTATTTATGTGGATTTAAGAGTTAGAGTTAGATTTAAGACTCGAAAATCCTATAAGAGCATCGAATTAACATTTGCTTTAAAAGGAAATGAGTTAAGCAACGAAGAATTGAAAATTATTTGAGAATTCGACAAGGAAAGTTAATAGTTAGACTTTGTGATCTTTAAAGTTTTAAAGTAAGTGATTAAGGACTAGTGGCCTAGTGGACTAGTGGCCTAGTGGACTAGTGGCCTAGTGGACTAGTGGCCTAGTGGACTAGTGGCCTAGTGGACTAGTGGCCTAGTGGACTAGTGGCCTAGTGGACTAGTGGCCTAGTGGACTAGTGGCCTAGTGGAACAATTCGATGCAAAAATCCCCCGTAAAGGTCTAATCTTTGTTTTGTGTTTTATAGAAAACAAATTCAGAGGAATCCAAGATGTCTCAGCGATCAGCGACAAGTTTTAACATGAAACAAAAATGGTCTAAACAAAAACAAACAAAGCAATTGAAAAAAAAACGAATTACGGGTGTAAAATCAATTAAACTTTGTGCTTTCTCTTTGATTTCTTTTTGAATAAATTTTTATGTGTATAAAAAGATAAAATGATTAATTGAAATTTTCAGCAATGTCAGCAATTTCATAACTTTGTTGAAAGAAGCGGAAAGTCTTGTACTCTTTGTTGACTTTAAGAAGAGCTGATAGAATGTTAGCCATTGAGAAAGCAATGATCACAAAAGTGGCGATTGAATCTATCGTAAAGTCACCTTTCTGAAAATTTGCAATTACAAATAAAAGCAATACAAGAATTTGTTAACGCTATCGTGTTGTTGTAAATACCGTCAAAAGCGTCATAATGACGTCAAAAACGCCATAATGACGTCAAAAACGCCATACTGATGTCAAAAACGCCATAATGACGTCAGAAACGTCATAATGACGAGCGTACAGTCGCGTAGTCTAACTTTAAACGTCTCCTTCTCCGCGCTGCTTTAAGCTACAGTGTGCTTTATAGTGTCAAATGATAGCCCTTGAAATCTAGTATTTGTTGATACCAAAAGTGTAGTTAGGGAAAAGGTAGAGGCTGAGAAAAACTCATTCTACTCATCTCTTCTAGAGATGATCGATATTTACAAACCATCGCAAAGATTGCCGCAACTAACACAGCCACTCCTCCAATTCCATGATTTATCGTTCCATGGAAAACTTGAGCTCTCCTTTCTCTCCACAAAACTCTCAAACGATTTGGTTGCTTTATATGGCCACTCCAATCTGTAATTTTATTTTGAAACAATGATATTGAAACAATGAAACAATGATACAATCAACAATGAAACAATTGATTGTTTGTTGATTGTTTGATTGTTTGTTTGTTGTTTTGTTTGTTTCATTGTTCATTGTTCATTTCATTGTTCAAAAACAATGAAACAATCATTTAAAATTTCTGAACCTGCTTTATAATGAATAAACAATAGAATTGTGTTTGTTGTGATTGACAAAATGGCGCCGACAAGCATCCAACTTTCCAAAATCTCGAAGTAACCTTCATTTAAATGTTGAATTGAAATCACCACAAAGGTAATATTAATCAATGTGAGAACGAGTGCTGATCCGAATATTGCAATCAATTCTGAAAGAGATGAGAGAATGGACTTTGGACTGGCAGACTTGCACTGGCTAGTTTGTAGCTACCGTAAATACTGTAATAGTACCCCACCCCCATAATACGGTGCTTGCGGCAGCTTTGGACGGTTTTCTCGACACTGGTTTTGCTACAATGCCGCTTAGGTATCAAAAATGCTGAAATTCAGGGCTATTTTTTGATCCAAAGCACATTTTTGAAAGTACGGGCCTTTGAAAAATGAAATACTAAAAACTTTTGCGACTACGCGACTGTACGAGGGGGGTGGGGTACTATTACAGTATTTACGGTAGTTTGTACTGTTGTATTGTAGCTTATAAAGTTAGGGTATTATTCTCATACCTAGGCGTCGATAAACGGGTGTATCAATTTGACTGTAATGGTGCTGTTCGATGAAATCGGCGAATAGTCTCCCAGCGTCAGATGCTACTGCTAGGGAGCCAGATGCAACGCCTAAATTATTTTAGTGGGGAGTATTTGAAGCTCTTGAATAGAGTGTATTTCTTGCGAGTAAGTTTTACTGAGGTAAAATTTACATGAGTCATTTTTACTTGATTAATTGACTTTTTTTTTTGTTGAGTAATTCTCTTTTCTCTTTACACGTAAATTGAATATCTTTACATTTGAAAGGAATTAGTTAAATAGCTGAATATCTGAAAAGGAGTCACTCGGGGGATCGGACAAATGCGATCTTATTTTGTGCCACTTTTTTTTCGCTGGAAAAGACCTTAGGAAAGGCTGTAAAACTTCAAAAATGTTTTCGTGTAAGGGAATCGTATGCGTAGATTCCGAATTTCGACAAATCAGACCTCGCTGACACGTCAAATTTGGGCTAAAATGCAAAAACTGCGGAAAAGCGTTAAGTTGCGTAGTTTTTGCCTTTTAGCCCAAATTTGACTTGTCAGCGAGGTCTGATTCGTCGAAATTCGGAATCTACACATACGATTCCCTTTTATGAAAACATTTTTGAAGCTCTACGGCCTTTCCTAAATCTTTTCCAGCGAAAAAAGGTGCGCAAGTGTCCAAGTGCGCAAAAAAAAAGGTCGTATTTGTCCCATCCCCGTCACTCGTGATTTTTCGCTAAAAGTACGGTAATTTTTTCCAAATTTACGTTTTAAAAACGGATTATCGATTAAAAGAACAAACTCGACTTTTGAACTACCCAGAGAACTATCTACCATTTCCGCTATGCAATCGAGAGAAAATTTCTCTCTATTCCATAGCGGTCGTTCAAGTCTTAAATTTACTGTTGTTTTTGCAAGGTGTCAATACTTTTGTCCACCATTTTTGAGGTGTCTTTTCCGTTGTTGCTATTTTTTAAAAAGATAATAAACATTTCGAATCAATTTTTTTTTGTGGTTTTAGAGAGTAGAGCTTATTAGCAAAAAAAAAAATGCTTTTTAGCACTTTGAATTTGGCTGCCTTTTAAGGGGGGCAATCGTTGAGAGAAAATTTTTTGCAAGAGGGTACTAATACATATGACCACCAGTGTAATTCAGCCGTTCTGTTTAGCATAATTGTTTTGCTGAATCTACCATAGTTTTCATGGAAATTAGTTGTCAAAGTACACTGAAAGATTAGCTATGTTTTAAGTATGGCAAGTATTTTAAAGTTTAAAGACTGTAAGTATTTCAAAAAGTTATTAGTTTCTTGAGCATACCCGCAACCGTTTGCAAAATGATTAACACAAGAGCACCGATCGAGGCGGCTCGGATGGCTTGGAGGCGTCTAAAAGTTGTTGATCAAGTCTCAAAAAATCTGAACTCGTTTTAAAACTCAATATCTAAAAGAAAACCTCTTATTCGCATAGAAAATCTCTGGTGTTTGTTGGTTGGTCGCTCGTGTGATCGTTTGATAATCTTGCACACCTTGAGGCGGGCTTGTGATCGGCGACTCTTCATTTGAATACCCGGGAGTGTCAAGGAGAAGGCTTTTATCCATAGGAAAAAGAAAAATAAGAAAATTTGCGTTTCCAAATGATTTTGTGTTTATTTGATGGCAATGAATTGAGGAAAAAAAAAAGGAAAAGTGAGTGTATTTTCTGATCTTATCAATAACTCTTCAATATGCACACTTCAAACCACAAATCGGGCATTTTTGTGCTTTGGGCGGTAAGATTTAACATCAAAAACAAACTCGTGACTACTATTAAAAATGGCTTGTGCAAAGATTTTGTTAGTGTAAGCTGTCAAAAAATCGCCTGCATCTCTATCGTTTTTAGATTAAAAGTTAGGAAAATACCAGAATAGCATGATAATGATTATTTAAAAAAAAAAAACACGACTTTATAATAAAAATCTAAACTCTTGTAGGTATTAAAGTCGATTTTCGCCTCAGATTCTTCGAATTTCTTTTCAGCTTTCAGTATTTTTACCGAATTTAACTGTTAGTTGAATTTTTCTTTTTTACATAATATTTGAACTTTTGAAAAGAAAAAACATTTATCTTTTTACCCATCAATACACGTAGATGAAATATTTATCACAAGTAAATCATTACCCATAAATTCCAGATTAAAGAAATGAAAGGTGGTGAAAGAAAACAAGTTTATATGTCGTAACCATGAAATTGAAATTATGAATGAAGTATGAATGAAATTTTTTGGCAAATCTTTCTAGTAGAGCAACTCTTTAATGTATGATGACAATATTATAGCATCTTGTAGCGAATTAAATTCTGCGTCGATTGGTACCCAATCTGAGTTTAGGTTAAAAATTGCCGGCGCTACAACGTTTCATTCAAAATCGGCGGGACCCCCGTAGCCGATTATGAAGGAGTGGGTCTAGGAGCGTCCAACCATCAAATGTTTAGTATCATTCAACGCAGAATCATTGATAATTATATCAAATTTTTAGAATTAGAAAGATTGGATAAAAAGAAAAAAAATCAGAGCAAAAAAACTGTTTGTTCAAGAGAAAACTTTGAAGCCCCATAATTTTTTTCTTTTTTATCCAATCTTTCTAATTTTAAAAATTTAACATAATTATTAATGATTCTGCGTTGAATGATACTAAACACTTGATGGTTGGACGCTCCTAGACCCACTCATAATGGGCTGAAATTCATAATCGGCTACGACATATAGAAGAGAAATATGTGCAAATAAGCGGTGCTAATCAAAATGCGGTCCATAAAACACGGTAGAAATCATTTCTCTTTTCGATTCGTCTCTTAAAAAATCTTACATGAAACACTTGTTCTGTTAATCAAAAAGTTAAAGGTAAAATTGGCTTGATTGATCTTCAACTTACTATTTCCATCAAATCCACGTCCACGACCGCGACGATCATTTTGATTGGAGGATCCATTGCTGTCATACTTATCTAAAATATAACAGTCAAAGTTGTTCCAAAGGCGACTTTCCGGGTTAGTTAAGGTTTTGGCTTGGCTTTTCGTCTGGCTTTCCTACAGAACTAAACTAGCTCAGCCTACAAAAAGTCCCTAGACCCCACAAGAACTGATAAAACAATTTTGTGCTATACAAAAAAAAACAATTTTGTGTTATACTGCTTAGTCAACTAACTAGTAAGTTTAACTAAGCATTAAGATTCAACATTACTCTACCTGTTCCATAAACATCTCGACGATTCGATCTTTGTCTATCATTAAAGCTTGCAGGAGCATAGGAATTCGATGGTGCGGCGTTGTTGAAGTCTGAAAATTTTTGGTGTTAAGTCTAAATATTAGCTTACCATTTGAATAGTTTTTCGGTTGAGCATTATAATTCGATGGAGCGTTGTGTGTATCTAAAACCAGTATAAACATTAAAGTACAACCGCTTACTAACCATTTGAGTAATTCGAGCGATCATAAGAAGAAGTCTGTCCACCACGTTGAGGATTGGTGTAATTGGTGTTCGAGGCTGAAAAATGAATGTTAATGGAATTAAAAAATGGAACTTACAATAGTTGAACGAAGAACGATCATAGGCGCCGTTCGTCGAGAAGTAGTAGTCAGAAGTTGAGCCTAAAGAAAGTTATTATAGAAAAGTTCAGTAGGAAAAAGTTAAACAAGTTTTTGAAGCAAGTTCAGGATTAAAAATCTATGAGTTTAACAAACAATCATCTTTGGTAACATACTGTTGTTGTAATTCGAAGAGGAAGGATCATTGAAAGACATCTGGGAAGACGAAGCCGTGTAATGATTTATTGATGGAGGTTCTGGAATGCAAATTGTAGTAAGTTTGCTACCAGACTATCAAAATCCAGTGTACTATCTTTCTTGGGTTAGATACAGTAACCAAATTTCTATTGTGATTGCAAAACGCTTTTACTTACCATTTCTATATGTTGCAGATGGACGGCTTGCTGGAGGTTCTGAAACCAAAACTGTGATAAATCTTCGATTAGAATAGGTCATAATTTTATTTTTCAAGTCCAGTGGTACCATTTATCTATCAGACACAGTTCAAATATTTACTGTAATTGCTTAAATTGTTGCTTACCATCTCGAAATGTTGTCGATGGGCGACTCGAATAGGTTGAAGGGTTTTGTGTATGCTAAAAACGATTCTGTAGTATCGATCGGAATCTCGAACAACTAACCCTGATATAGTCTTTTATTTCTTCATACAAATTGTGGTTTCGACTCTCGGCTTCGAGACGAATTCCCTCGATGTTCCAGAGGCGTGCGAGCAAATCAGATGCGTCCTGAAATCACTTATAGATACGGTAATTCTAGGAAATTTGATCTTAACATAAGCAGGGTTGTTTCTAGGAAATGTCCTAGAAAAAGCCTGGATTCTGGTGGGTTAAAGGATTTTTGTGAATCATGTCTACCAGAGCCAGAGTTCGAAAAGTTGCTTTTGGAAAAACATTGAGATTTAAGATTAAAACAAACATGAACAATCCTTGGTACGGTAGCTGTTGACGTTGGTCTGGTTCCCGAATAGTTCGAGTATGGAGTAGATCGACTCGATGCCGGGTAGCCCGTCTAAATGTTAGTTATAGAAATGATATAAAACTATTCAAATAGCGTAATATTTACTTGAGGTGTTGACGCTTGTTGATACTGAGGTTGTGGTGTTGGTTGATGTAGTTGAGATTTTCCAAAGTCGGCACAGAATTCATTCAAATCGTTGAGAAGCTGAAATCTTACGGTTTTGAATCTTATATCGCTTATTAACCATGTTGAATTGCTGATTGTTATCCGTTGGGAAGCGATCAATCAAGTCAAGTTTAATCAAGGGTCGAATCTCGGTCTCAGGAATCTAGAAATTGCACTAGTAAAATGATACATTTAAAACTTTTGATTTAATATTTTCTAAATTTGTTAGAGTCAAAATTTACCACGAATGTCGGTCTGATCAAGCTGCAGATCCACTCGAGTTTCCCGGGTCGCTTCAACCATGGCCGAATCACTACTTCCAGTCGATCGAACCCTAAAGCAGTAGATTTAATAAGTTTTATAAAATTATGAATACATCGTACACCGTTTGGACCTTTATCTATCTGCTTTGTTCCTCTTCTACCAAAATCAAACTCACTTTTGATCTCTTGCAATGTTAAAGATCCTCCATCCTCGAATTCTGTCACCGTCTCATTAATCAAAACAGCTCCAACATCCCCTGAAAAATCCTCTAAAAAGTTCTCGCCCAGAAATTTACCTGACTCTGCAACGAAAAAACCATCACTTCTTGGTTGAGCTCGATGGTCAATCGTGATACATGTTTGCAACTAAAAATACAGTAATCACAATTGAAAATTGCAAGCTATTCTGCTTTGTAACCTTTTGGCATATTGTAGCTAGAATTCAAAGTATGACCGTTCTAATACTCTTTGCACAAACCTCAACGATCATTTCCAGACTTCGAGTCGGCATTAGATCATCACTATTCGCTAGCTGAATAGATTATAGAACAGCTGATCAATGAAGCAAACCTTGTCAACAGTAACATATTCACATCCAGGCAACGGGATCAACAATTTTTGCGCTTTGAAACTATACCAATGTCCAACATTTGTCAACCATTGTCTAGAACACAAATTAGAGTAGAATTCTATAAAAGACTTACACTTCATTTGAAACAAGCGTCACTCCAACATCATTTGCGTAAATAAACATCAGATTCGAGGCACTTCTCCCGATAACGACTCCCTCTGTTTGCAAAGATTCGCACTGAAATAAAAGTTTTGAGTTAAAAATTTCGTTCACAAACGCCAGGATCTGGTTGGTACAAGAGTTGTTGATGTTTTTGGAGTCCTTGATTGATCGATGGAGAGACAGAGGATTGACTTCGACCGAAAGCACTTGGTTGTGAGAGCTGGGGACAAGATGGAGGACTGAGAAGGGAGTTGTTAGGAAAGAACGTTGATTGAAACCTGAACCCTGGTGGTGGAGCTTGTCTGGATTGATCGGGTTTGGAGAATGAGTAGACACCTGAATGTGAACATTGTAGTTTTAATCTATCTCTCAAGTAAAACAAAGCAACAATTGTTGAACAGTTATCTAATAATTACTAACAGGTTAGGCTTGTTTCAAAATGCCAAGGACCGGGTTAAAAAAGCTTTGGCCAAGATTGACCTGATTTTTCAGGTCTAGAATAACAGTAATTATAAGTGCATACCAAAATCTTATAGTTAATTTGCCCAATTTCTTCTCAAACATACTTGGTTGTGAGTGTTGCTGTGAATATTGAGAATCACTCATTTGAGAGTCTGAATGAGATCTGGGTGGACTGAACCTCGAAGGTTCGGGTGATTCTTGCCGTGGTGGATTGTTGAGTTGAACCAGTTCCTGGTACGACATTGGGGCATAGTGCTGTGATCGGCCGGAGTGTTGAGAGATCGGTGATGAAGGCTAGAATAAGATTTTTGTCAGTGAACGTTAAACAGCAGCTTCATGAAATAAGCACATAAAGATTGATCAACTTACCCTTTCCGGATTCCAATTGGCAGCCTCGTTGTTCGATATCTGCTCATTATACGATGGTGGGGATTCAGAGGCATCATTTCCTTCTAAAATTACAAATATGACTTGAGGCAGGAACAAAAACGAATGATTGCCAAACTCAAACCTTGTCTCACACGTCCACTTCCTGAAACTCCTTCTCCATAAACTGAAGCAATTCGATTAATTAAAGGATATTTGCTTTGCTAAAATTTGCATCAACCTTGAAAACTAACATTTGCAAAATTTGCGTACTAAAACTGTCCTTTCTTTCATTCATGCCAAAACTCCGGTCGGTTCATTCATTTTCAGTAATTTACATATTTGATATCAAAAATTTAAGAATTTAAAAAAATCTAACCACTGTGGAGTCTTCCTCACCCCCGATTACCCCTAGTTCGATGCTTTACTCTCTGCAAAACGCAACTGGTGAAGCGAAATCGTGGTAACTGACGCACAAATACCCAAACCGACAGACAATTTTTCACAATTATAATATAATAGTTATGCTTTGGATATAGCCATAGATTATTTATCTTGGTTAGAAATTTTACTATGCTAGCCAGGAGGCAATTTCTATTGGGTTGGGGAGTATGAAATGGCGGCGACTTTCAAAAATTTTCCTGAAACGCAGAAAAGCTCCTTATAATTCATTTTTGTATCATCAAAAATGCTGCAAATAGGTGACCTTTCTAATGATACTACCCGGGTGTCATTTGACTACTCGATGTTATAGAAGTTTCTTTGAAAGTCAGCGCCATTTCATACTTCCCAACCCAATAGCTTTTCTGGCTTTTTGACTACTGAAGGCTAGCTGCATTTCAACTCACGATTATCATCCTCTTCATCATCTTCATCGTCCAATTCCTCTTCCTCTTCCTCATCGCTTGAATTCGGTCCGCTTCTCGATGCTTCGTGGTTGATCGGAAACGACAAGCTTGGCAAGCCACAAGAAACCATTCCGTCGACGACTGAAGTTGGGCGTGGAAGCTGACCACTTGGCGTGTCAATTTGATTCTAAAATCAGATTGGATAAGTTCACACTTAGTTGTCTAAAAACTTCTCTCTTTGTTTCAGTAAACGATTTATAACGTAAACTGGTGTATAAAACCATGCTGATGGTATTTAAACTGCAGCAACTTTAATAATGCTAGTTGTTGAATAAACTTTCATTTCTCACCTCAATCACCTCCCCGCTTGCCATTTGTTTCTCGATTTCGATCACTTGGAAACCGGTGATCGTTTGCTTTGCTATCTGTAGCGGCAAGTCAGAAAAGGACAATGCTTCGACAATGCACCGAACTCTAAATGTTTGATAAGTATAAAAAGTAACTAGCACTACTACTAACCTCTTATTTCTCCAATTCATGAAATCATTGTACGGCATGCCGACGTGTCCAAGCATATTATGTTCAACAGCGACCTAAGCAAATGGATCAAACTAAACCAAGTTTGGCAAAATTTAGGCAACTATTGTACATCATGACTTCTTACAAATCAATCAACTCACAAAATCTTTCAGCCGCCTATCCACTGTCATCCAGTCTGTCACTTGGGGATTGTATTCACTGGGAACCTCGAGTGCAATGATGCAGCGGACCTTTCCGTTCTCGACTGAAGTTGGAAATGGGTGTGGAATCTGAATATACCCCATTTTATATGTAATTTAGATATAAAGGTTTAAAACGCACCTTCCTAATCACTTTATCCACTAGAATCCCGTTCGTCTTCTGATTGCGCCTGTTCGACTTCTTTGCGTGACTGAAAACGAAGTGCTTAGATGATTCAGCTAACTCAATTTAGCATTGAATTAGCTAATTCAAACTTAATTTCGCACTTGCATTTAGCCTTGGCTCCTTTAAACTCTTCCTCACCTGCACAATCCTTGAAACCAATCTCCTACGTTGATACTAGTTGGACACAAAACGTCAAGAGCTTCTTCGTAAAAACTAAAAACATTGAATTTTCGAAAGTTTCTTCCAATTTCTTACGTGGTAAGGAGAGCGAAACGGGGAAGTCGATGGAAAGCGTACGCGTATTTGGCAGAACCCTCACTGTATTGTTCCGTAACGATAAGCGCCAGATTTTCACGAAGCTAAAAGGTTACTTCAAGGATAAGATTGACAAACTTTTTCTTAGAAAAACTAGATTTTATGGTATTACAGCCAACCTTCGCAACGATCTCTTCATGTTTTAATGAAGTCCAATCGATCAAAGCTTGAACTCCCTCCCTCGACGCAATTCGTGGCAGACTAGTTTATTTTATTATCCAGACTAATTCTTATTCAACTCACCTCTTTCCTTGTGATGCAGCGCCATACCAATTTTTCGGAACATTGCTAGATTTTTCTTTAATCAATTTTCAAATTCCTATACTTTTTGCCGAAGTTTCCTTGACGATTGAATGATGATTCGTTGAAAGCATTCGAAGAAGAAAAACCAGTCCTAGCATTGCTGAAAAGTGATAGTTTTATTGCAAACTAAGATAAATTTTCAATATTTTTAATTGATCTTGGTTTTATCACCTGAATGAATAAGATGGCAGTGTTGGATCTTTCTCTTCTTGTTCTCGATTTCGTCGACGATTTTCTCTATTTGCTATAAATTTTTGTTGCGAGGTTTCCTTTTCGTTTCAGAAACCGGCTGTTTAGTCCATTTAAGTCCTGACACATGCCAACTTTAGTTCATCTATTTGCTCACCTTTTAATCTTCTCCTAGGTCTTTCTTCCCTAAAATTCCCTCGTTCATTCATGTTATTCATAAAACCGGGTGGATGTCTATTCGCGGATTCTTCCATCTAAAATGTGCTGTTATTAGTGTTTATCTACATCTTAGAATGACTAATGTTGTAGCAAAGTTAGCATAACTAAAATACCCAGCTTTCAAAGTTATGGCAATTTAAAGAAAATAAGAAATCTAGATTCTATGAAAGTATTCAGTGATTGTAAACCAACTTCTTTCATAAAGCGTTCACAGTATTCCTCTTGAAATTGTTGATTTGCCTCTTTGATTTGCGGAGATTTCTCATTTATCATCCATTTCACGTCGAATTTCTTTTTAATTGTAGGTGTAGCTCTGAAAAAATGGTTGCTGATTTCATTTAAGAAATTAAAACCAACCGAATCACATTTAGCTTGTGAATAAAACCCTCTGGAATCGTGTTGAAATCGTCGTTGGAGTAGATTCGGCCGAACTCGAGTGAGTAGGCGACACAGCTAAAATAGTCAATGTAAGACCTGGTTTTGGGTACAATTTGTAAGAAAAACAGATTTTTACAAAAAATGAGCAATTCTCAGTTTCTCAGGCAAGTTTACAAGTGCTGGCTTTTTTGTATTATGTCAACTGTCCTACCGATTGTGGCTTTCGTGTCTGTTATCCGGGCTGAACATCATATTGACTTGAACCTAAACTCCAATTGACCAAAAAAACACAAAAAACCTTACGTTCACTTGGTTTTCCTCTTGATCCAGGTAAGCGTATGGCTGAAATGAAAGCAACGGTCATATTTTCAGTTCTATCTATTATCTATCACTAATAGAGTGTGTTCCTCACGAGCAATGCATTTTTTAAAACGCGCACTTAGGAAAAACATTGCAAAAAATTGGTGCAAAAATCACGAGTGCCGCCTTATATATATTCGTCACACGAATAAGTAGACCAGCAAAATAGAAAAGAGGGAAAATAGTACTGACAATAAAGAAATTTAGAGCGAAAACTCAAAGTGGGTAGAATGACAAACTAGTAGTTTCATGAAAAAAATTTCAATACGAAAAATAGCAATTATTGTGCTAGACAAAAAACTGCTCTTTTAAAAACGGGGGGAGATGATAAATTTCTGATGCTAATTGGTAGGGAATTTCATGCGCGAGCAACACGGTTGCGAAAGCAATTAAAAGTAGCATTAGAAAGGGCTCTGGGATACTTAAAAGATATGCCTCTTCTGGAGCTCGATGGGCAGAGGGAGGGAAGAATTTAGCATAAAGGGGATCAGAATATTTGCACTCCAGGATTTTAAAACATTCAAATGTCAATGACTAGCCGTCGGTGTTGCAGAGTATCTAATTGGAAAACTTTAAGCCTTTGTTCATAGCTATAGTTATGATACTTTTCGTAATCAATTTTTAGGAGGACGATTTTAGTAAAGCACTTTTGGATTGATTCGTCGATCCTGATAATAAGACATTTTAGAGGGGACCATACTATGAAAGCATATTCTAAAATGGGCCTAACATAAGAGGTGAAACTATATGTTTTAATATTAGGGCTAATCATAGATTTAAGAATTCTACTTGTAAAGTAAGAAGCCTTCAGACAAATTTTGTCTACAAATTTTTCAAGGGAAATCTTACGGCTAGAGGGAAACCTTTGTCCGAAAGAAAGGGGAGGGGACTATCAAATTTTTGACCACTTGGTCGTTTCTAGGGGAAGATAGAGAAGTATTATTTATCTTAAGGAGAAATTGAAATTTACCTTTTGAAAATTGAATACTATTAGAATCAGATAACTTTAGTTCCCAGGTTTTCACCAATTTTTCAACTTTTTGGAGATCCGTCTGGGTATTTTCTAGGGCAAGTTTAGTTGCCAGGAGATCATTAGTGGGTAGTTTAAAGAGAATTTTGAAATCGTCGGCAAGAACCATATCGAAGCAGCTGGGGAAGTTAGGGTAATTTTTGCTAAGTCATTTATCTAGATTGTAAACAAGATAGGGCCTAGAATTGAACCTTGTGGGACACCAATGGAATAATGAAGGGCGGAGGAGAAAAATCCATCAAGGAACATCTTACGGCAATCGTTTATTCAGAAGGGAAACTTCTGAATAAACGCCCTTATATTGCTGCAAATTCCGTAACCCTCAAGTTTATGAATGAGTAATCTATGTGAAACAGTATCAAAAGCTTTAGAGAAGCTCAGAAAGGTAGCTTCCGTTTGGAACAAGACCTTTTGGTCTAAAGAATCGGATCTTTCTAGGTAAGCTAGAACTAATTGAGAGCATGTCGAATTTCCTTTTAGAAAACAAAATCGCTTGGGTGAGAGGAGTCTACGCCCATTAAGGTGACCAAGAATTTTACCGCTGATGATTATCTCAAAAAGTTTGGGAAGGGGACAGGTTAGGGAGATAGGGCTATAGTTTTTAACAGCGTTTTTGAGAGGGGATTTGAGAATAGGGATGATAAAAAATTGCTTACAAATTTTGGGAAGGATCCTAATGACTACACTTTTGTTAAAAAGCTTACAGATCGGGTAGACTAAAGACCTAGATAGGTTTTTTAAAACAAAAGAGGTCACTTGGTCCGGACTAATAGCCTTTTTGGGGTGTAATTTAAAGAAAGCTGATTTTATATCTAAAGGGGTAAGTAAGAAGTTTGGCTGTACTGGAATATTACTATTTCCAGTTGCTGAAAAGGTTGGTAAAGAATTACCGTTATCATTGGAAAAGGTCAGCTAAAGAATTAGATAATTTTTCGGTTAGTAACACCGCGGCTAAGTCAAAATTTGTCCTAAACGCAACCATAAATTGATACCCCTCCCACGAAATGAGTCGTTGGGTCCCCTGGCTTGAATTTCAAAGATAATCGAGCAATGCTCAGCTCCGGAAAGAGGGGCACATCTTTTGACATCTTTGTTCCTTCCCGGGGTATCAGAAATCACCACATCTAGAATAAAGAAACGAAATTAAACTAATTAGAAGAAAAAGACAGTTTGAAAGCAAAAAAAGCATGCTAATGGGGGTTTTTGAATAAGATCTATTTGTCAATTTATTTGACTTGAGTTCAATTTGGCAGTTCCAATCACCCAAAAGTAAATTAGAAGGCTATTTGTGAAGATAAAGCGAGATTAAGTCAAAAAAAACTTAGATGTTTGGGAATAATCAGTATCGGGAGGCCTGTAGAATAAAAAAATCCGACAATTTGTGACCAGTAAAAGATCAGGGATTAAAATTTCACAACCAAAAAAGTTTCTAGACAGAATGGGGGTAAATTTTACACAATAAAAGCGCTACGCCTCCACCATGGGAAAGTTTAGAGGAACCCTATCACATCTTAAAACATTAAAATGATTGCAAAATAGCGCTAGAAGGGACTATATCAAAAGAGCCCCAATGCAAAAACGCTCAAAAGAGCGCCAAGTCTTATTAAATTCAACCACTAATTACGTTTTAACCTTTTTTTTTCCCGTTTTTCTTTAAAACTCCTGTATTGATTCGAAATATTTATAATGAATTCTTTTAACAATTTAATAGAATAACCGGGAGTGGGACAAATGCGACCTTTTTTTTGCGCACCCGGACATTTGCGCACCTTTTTTTCCGCACTTAGCCCATTAGCGCACCTTTTTTCGCGTTTTAAAAAAGCTCTAAAAGCTAATATTAACCAATTTCTATTCCAAAAGTTGTTTTTCTAGGTAATTTGAGGGTGTCGAATTCAAATTTTGACATAACAGAGCGTGTGGAACCAATTTGAAAGACAAAACGGCTAGGTCAAATTACAGAAAATTGTTGATTTTTCTCTTTGTATAACTCCGTCCGTTCGCTTCCACAAGCTCTGATATGTCAAAATTTCGAATAGAAGAATTTGAGGGCGTAGAACTAGGTAATTTGAGGGCGTAGAATCGAAATTTTGACATATCAGAGCTTGTGGAAGCGAACGGCGGAGTTATACAAAGGAAAATCGACAATTTTCTGTAATTTGCCTAGCCGTTTTCTTTCAAATTGGTTCCCAGCCTGATATGCCAAAATTTCGATTCTACGCCCTAAAATTACCTAGAAAAACAACTTTTGGAATAGAAATTGGTTAATATTAGCTTTTAGAGCTTTTTTAAAACGCGAAAAAAGGTGCGCTAATGGGCTAAGTGCGGAAAAAAAGTCGCATTTGTCCCACTCCCTGTTATTCTATTATATTGTTAAAAGAATTCATTATAAATATTTGGAATCAATGCAGGAGTTTTAAAGAAAAAGCGAGAAAATTCCCTTCAAATGTAAAGATGTTCAATTTAGGGGTTAAGAATTTTAAAAAAACGTGGAATTTTACTCTATTGACTTACTATTGACTCGCGAGAAGCACACTCTAATCGCTGATAACACAGTTGAGTTAGTTACCAATGGGGGTTGTTCACGGGGTAAACTGTATTTCTATTGATATAGATTCAAGTAAATTACCTAAATAGCTAGATAATCCAAGACTAAACTGTAACAGTAGTGTTACGTATGAGACAAGAATTCCCCCCAATAAGCTTAAACCAACTAGATGATGTTCGGATGGGTCTAGTTGGCGAAGATCATCCATAAAAACTCGCACAATTCCATCAGCATCCGGTTCAACAGCCAGCGAGTACCATTCACCAGGATTCACACTAAATTGAGTTAAGGTTTATGGGCAAAGCTTGCGTTTGTATTTGGTTTTATGATGTGAACTTAACTAAATGTTTGCTCAAAAATATGTTCATTTGTTCTTAGAATAGAAACAGCAATTTAAAATCAAATTTTATAACTCACGCCATCGGCTGCTCAAGAATACAACAAATATCGAAGCGCTTCTCCCGGTCAAACAGCTCGACACAGTTCTCGCCCTCATTGCTGAAAATTAGACAATTCTTCAATCAAACTGCTACAATATACCAGAAGCAAAATGAAGATATTCTACTTTTCAGACAAGTTCATTTCGTTATTCTGAAACACAACTCACTTGGTGAATTTGTTGTAAGCAAGCACGTCGTATCCAGGCATCAGAACAGAGTCTCAATGATCGTTCGCTGTCTGAAAAAAAATTGTTGCATTGAATAGCTCAAAAATTTAAATTATTGATCAATAGAATACTCAAGTAATTGTTAATTGACTTGTTAATTGCACTGGCTTACACTGGTCTTTTTTTGTTTTTCAAATCGATACAAAAAGTGGATTGCACTATTTGTTTTCAAAGTTAGCACGAAAATCTTTTTACTTAAACAAAGCTTTTTTGAAAAGACGCTTGAATAATACAGTAATCTCGATAATTTGGTAATGAATGTTTGAACAAACTGGTTGAAAAGATCAATATAAAAACAAATAAACAAGCACTGCTTACACTGACTGTTTGATATTTCACATATCAAACAGCCAGTGTAAGCAGTGCAAATCATTGATAAATGAATGCAAGGGAGAAGTTAATACGTCAAATTTTTTAAAAAAAGAATAACCTACAGTAATTTTCTAATAAAAAATCGCAGTTTTAGCCAAAAAAAAGGATAAAATATCCTTACGAAAAACGCAATTGGCCTTTCTTGTATTACGCGAGGAAATTTTTGCGAACAAAGAGGGATTGGAGAATGAGAAGAGACGGAGAGATTACAAAGCCCTTTCCCCATATCGACCCGGCTATTAAAGTCGCGTAGTCAAACTTATTTTTAGAAAATCGTTTTTTCTCAGCTCCTAGATTTTTCCCAACTACACTTTTGGTACGCTTTTGGTACAAAATACTAGATTACAAGGGCTATCATTTGACATCCAAGCGCACACTGTAGCATAAAGGAGAATGGGACGTTCAAAGTTAGACTACGCGACTGTACGCCCGTCATTATGAGAGTGACGTTATATTAGAGTATTTACGTTATGTTAGTCGTTGATTCTTGTGCATTTTAGGGCAATTAAAAAGCAAAAAAGCCGGTGATCAATTGTGGGCTGCTAGAACCGGCTAGAGATCAAACGATCGAGGATTCTCACTCCAATGATGTTGGAGTAACGAGAAGAGAGAACTAAAGAAAAAAAGCTTTCCAAACTATTAGATTTGTATATGTGTCCAACTTTAAACAATGATTTCTTAAAATTGTTCGATACAATTTTGTTTCAATTCTATGGATAGCTTCTGAGAAATAAACTCCATAGAGAAATGATTTATTTAGAAAGCTTAGGATTTTAACCTTTGATGTCATGATGTACGCCTTAGTGATGTCTGTTGCCTTTGTACTTGATTCAAAGCAAAAAAAAAATATTCTAAACAGAAAAGATAAGGGCCCGTGGAAGCTGAAAACTGATAAGTGGCTTTATAAGCTCACTCAAACATTCAACAAAGTCAGTTTTTGTGGAAAAACGTTAGAGAAAACTCTCTAATAATTTTGGAACCAGTGATCCAATGTTCTCGCTTATTCCTGTCACGATTTGTCTTCTCGGTTGGGTTTCGGCGGTTCGTTTTTTGGAAGAAACACGTTTTTTTTGGTTTTGATTAGTGAATAGCTTAATACTTTTGTCTTCAAAGTTAAGAAATATATTTTCAGCAAACGATCACCCCAAGCCTGCAAACGATCACCCCAAGCCTGCAAACGATCGCCCCAACGTCGGGCGCGGATTCGTGTCTAATGTGCGAATTTGTCGTCATGCAGGTGAACAAGAGAGAGAACTAAAGAAGAAAAGCTTTTCAAACTATTAGATTTGTATGAGTCCAACTTTAAACAATGATTTCTTAAAATTGTTGGATAGTATTTTGTTTCAATTCTACGGATAGCTTCTGAGAAATAAACTCCATAGAGAAATGGTTTATTTGGAAAGCTTGGGATTTCATGTCATGATGAAGTGATGACCTTAGTGATGTCATGATGAAGTGATGTCAGCTTGGAGATTCTAGGGTCGATGGTTTGACTATCTTTTTTAAATAAAGTAATACTTTCAAGGACTATAAATCTTATATTTTATAACTTCAAATGAATAAGTGATAGAGGCTGAATCACACTATCATCGAACTATCAACTATCACAATTTTTAGGCTGAATCACACTATCATCGAAAAGATAGCAAGAAAGATGTGCAAAAGGAATTGCTTGACGTATTTGAATCTTGAGAGTTTATAAGAGCTTTCTTTAGGACTGTAAATCTCTGAAACGATTCTATGGGGACGCTTCAGTCGAGTACTGTAAAGGCTGGGTTTATGAAAACATCGACGTTCTTTACAGTGATATCCAAGCAGGTAAACGACTGGAAAGAGTGTTAACTAAGTGTTACTAATTGAACTTGATTACTTGAATCGAATCTTCGACCATCGGATCATCGATTGAGCCGAGCTGAGACTTAAAATTTTTCATAGAGTAGATGAGAATGAAAGAATTTCAACCTATGACTTTCCCCAGATGGTCGAAGTAATAGCATTTGGTCCCTAAACAATTGATCACAAGCTTTAGTGATCAAATAGTTAACTCATCTCAAACATTGCCTAATAAAATCCAAATTTTTTTCATAAATAAGTGACATTTCTTTCAGGAAAGCCTGCTGATCAAATTTGCCAAGAGCTAGGCCAGTGTGGAGGAACTGCAGAGGCGACTTGGATCCACTTCAAAAACAAAGAAAAACTGATCACTGTATAAGGTGAAACGACGAATAATTGCCTTTGCTATAAATTAACGTTTTTGTTAATCATTTTACCCACAAACCACAAAAAATTTCAAAAAATGAATGTTACGCTGTTTATCTTTTCTTAAAGTGAACGATTTTCTGGGTTATACTTAAATCCCCAAAACTTTCGCTTGCCAAGGTCAATAGAAATTGTTGATTGTTCAAAGCAATGCAATACTGAGACCAATCTCTACTTGTTTGATCAAGAGAAACTTCAAGGGGAAATCTCTAGAATGTCTTTACATCTGTTGAGCTCTAAGTTATTACCTTATTCAAGTCTGCTCCCAAAGCTTTGATTTATAACCGCTAGCAGTATCATCATCTTTTTGACGTCAAAGTGTCTTTTCAGCGCTCATATTTTTTGAAAATCTTTTTCATCCATTCTTCTTTCCATAAAAAGCTAGTGTAAGTGCAACAAAATCTTATCAAAGAGAATAAAAAAAACGCTAACAAAGAATGACCATAGTCTTGTGGTGCATTTGATTTTCTGTGGCAAAAGATGGAATCATTGAATATGTCGGTTGAGCAGCAGTCGATTAAATCAATCCAGTCAATCGTTGTGGATCCACCAGCAGCTTTTGCGTTTTATTGATATTGACATTAGAAAAAGTGTTGAAAGAAGACAAAAATGGGAAAAATAGAAACAGAAACAGAAAAACATGAAAAATGTTTAATCTTGTCATCATAAAAGCTAAGCTCCCTTGCGCTTTTGATTTAATAAATAAACTATACGATTCTCGTTACTATAAAACGCAAAAGTTAGAAACACAAACACTGCTTTTTTTTTCACTTGAAACAACTTCTGATTTGTACTTTGTTTAGATCTGATCGTAACTCCGATTACGGAAGAGGTATATCCGTGATCTTTTTCAAAATTGTCGTCTAACTTTTATTGCTAGCAAGATAACAGAGAAACGATCTTTTAAAACCCATCAACCCTACATAAAAATGGTCAAAAAAAATAGCAAGATCGATTCTTTTTTGTTAGGGAAAAATGAAGCGCTTAAAAACGCTTTTCTCGGTTTATTTTTGAATAGGTTTTTATTGAAACTGGCTTTATGATGCAAGCCTTTGTCATTCTCTGTTCGTTACTTGTAATCGCTCAAGCATTGACTTGTTGGTCGGATAGCAGCGATACGGAGAAGCATTTCAAAGATGTGAGTATGAAAGTATTCATCTTACTAAGATTATATATTCTAGTTTTGACTATCACATGTAAAATATAAGTAAACATTTTCAGAACACAAAGGTTGATTGATTTTGATTTGGCAGTGGTTATGACTTTTGTGCAAAACGATTCGGAAAAGTCGGTTTTCAGATGCAATCTCTTTCAGAGGCAAACAGTCCTCGTACAAACCAATTTTATCCAGTATAAATACCTGTAGAGTTTCTCCTTTGGTGTTAGTGCGGTAAAAACGATACTCAAATCCCGTTTGATCATAGTAAAGCCGTTTCCCTCTCTTTGCCGATAACACTCTGAAGCTTCAAAAAGCAACTAAAGAAAACTAAAACTGATTGTGGTCTTGTTGGGGTTATACTGATTGGATAAAGTAGTTTCAATGATCAACAAGTACGCCGTACTAGACTTCACAAATTAATAGCAAAATATTGAAAAAATTTAGGAAAAGTTGTAAACGTTGAAAAATTCCCGGTGAAAATGTGATGAAAAGTTGCGCAAATGACCCGCAAATGACCCAAATGACCCGCAAATGACCCAAATGACCCGCAAATGACCCAAATGACCCGCAAATGACCCAAATGACCCGCAAATGACCCAAATGACGCTAATGACCCGCAAATGACCCAAATGACGCTAATGACCCGCAAATGACCCAAATGACGCTAATGACCCGCAAATGACCCAAATGACCCGCAAATGACCCGCAAATGACCCAAATGACCCGCAAATGACCCAAATGACGCTAATGACCCGCAAATGACCCGCAAATGACCCAAATGACCCGCAAATGACCCGCAAATGACCCGCAAATGACCCGCAAATGACCCGCAAACGACCCGCAAATGACCCGCAAATTACCAATTGGCGAAAAGTAACCACTTTCCATTTCTATTGCTATGGATTCCATTTATTTCCATGTCAACTCTGAAATTGTCACTAGCTAACGATTTTAGCTTAGCTTTTACTTTTAGCTCTTGTTCTACCGGATATTAGGCGTGAAAATTGAGCTCGCAAAATCCAGTTCATAATTTGATGAACAAAAGGGTGAAGAAAGATGTTTATGTCAAGTGAAAAAAAGAGACGATTGTATCTGGCGATGAATAAAGCGTTGAAGAAAGGGAGGAAAGGACAAGGAAAGGACAAGGAAAGGGACGAAAGTCGACAGACAGTCCTTCACCGATCTTCATTCATCCACCAGACATCTATTGGATTTATTGCTGGATGTTTATTAGCAACTTCTTTAACTTTATTGTCAACTCCTTTAACTTATTTAATCTTCCTTATTTAAGTCATTTTTTTTAATATCTTTACAACGTTGTAATTAGAGTTTCTAAAAGAGTGTGTTCCTCGCGAGTAAGTAATTACTCGAGTAAATTTGCATGAGTAATTTTTAACTCGAGTAATAGCTCGAGTAATGCGTTTTCTAAAAAGTGCGAAAAAAATATAAAAGCAATTTTTTGTGCAGGTTTTTCAAAAAAATCATTTTTTACATTCGAAGGCAATTTCCCACCGAATCAGTTAAACGGCTGAGTATCTTTAAAAATCTGTAGAGGAAACGAACCAAATTTGTACCGAAAAGGAACCAAATCTGTAGAGAAAAGGAAGTGCCGTATATAATGCGTATATAATGCAGGGCTCGTCATTTTTGCGTCATTTTTGTCATTAATTTTTGCAGACTACAGACAATAGTAGAGTGTGTTCCTCGCGAGTAAGTAATTACTCGAGTAAATTTGCATGAGTCATTTTTTACTCGAGTAATAGCTCGAGTAATGCGTTTTCTAAAAAGTGGGCCTGTGCGAAAAAAATATAAAAGCAATTTTTTGCGCAGGTCTTGGGGTAGGCTAGTTTCCGCAACTTTTTTTGCGCAACAGGGTCATTTGCGCAACTGGGTCGTTTGCGCAACTCACCATAACTTTCTTCTAAGTGGGCTAATCTTTATGATTTTGGTCTCATTTTGTTACACTTATTGAGATCTACAAATAACTGGAACTTGAAATAACTGGATAAAGATATTCAGTTAAGGATTTTATATAAATGTTTTAAATAAAAATCTTCATTAATCTTTGGGGTAGGCTAATTTCCGCAGCTGGGTCATTTGCGCAACTCGCCATAACTTTCTTCTAAGTGGACCAATCTTTATGATTTTGGTGTCATTTTGTAGATCTCAATAAGTGCAACAAAATGAGACCAAAATCATAAAGATTGGTCCACTTAGAAGAAAGTTACGGTGAGTTGCGCAAATGACCCTGTTGCGCAAAAAAAGTTCCGGAAATTAGCCTACCCCCAGGTCTTTCAAAAAAAAAAAAATCATTTTTTACATTGGAAGGGAATTTTCCACCGAATCAGTTAAACAGCTGAGTATCTTTAAAAAGTGTCGTATATAATGGAGGGCTCGTCATTTTTGCGTCATTTTTTTGCAATAATTTTTGCTAAAACTACGGTAATTTTTCCCCAAGTGTGCGTTTTAAAAAACGCATTACTCGCGAGGGACACACTCTAGTTTCTAAAAGGTATCTATTTTAGAGAACTATCGTATTTTTCAGTGATTACGACGGCTATCTAAAATAGGAATCTTTTAAAAAGTGTAGTAATTGACGAGAAGAACATACTCCAATCCTTATAGAGTTTTTAGTAAAAGTTTTAGTACTTTGTAAAAGTTGAGTCAAAACTTTTATACTAGTGACAGTTGTTGAAGTTTTTCTTTTTTCCTCATTTTTCTTGTTTTCTCAATTGCACAATAGGCGTTAATACAGAAGAATTTGCATCGGAGCTATCAATCAAAGAACTTATGTTCTCCGATAAGATAGTTCTTCTCTTATCTACCTAAAGAAAGAAAGGAATGTCAGATTGTTCACGAATGCAATCATTTACAATTTTTCCACATCTTTTCTCTTCAATTCCTTATCCAATCACAGTACAAACCTCTTTTCAAAATTTTCATGGAATAGTGCTAAATTTTTAGCACCTTGGCTTGCATTGTTAACAATTTAAAGAAGGAATTCTGATTTCATTTGATTGATTGAATGAGTGATTGTTGAATAGAAGTTTAACTTTTTAGCTTTTAACAAATTCTTTGTTGCCTCGGTAATTCCTGGCACTCCTGATTTGTGCTTTAAGCCAGATTTTTTCAAAATGTCACGTTAGAATAAAGAATCTAGAATTTGAATTAGCAACATTCCCCTTGTTTTTGTTCGTAAGTTAAAGTTTTGATTAGAAGGAAAGTGACCATTGGGCTTATTGAAAAGCTAATAAGAAAAAAAATCTGGCTCAAAGAAGAAATCAAGAGTGCCAGGTGGAGAACGAGTGCCGAGGACGAGTTGCATTTGTTTCCCTTGCTGCAATAGAGCTCTGCACTTTGCACAGTGAGAAGTTAGACTTGTTAAAAACGTTAGAATAATCTAGAATTCGAATCTTAGCAACATTTTCCCCTTGTTTTTGTTCGTAAGATAAAGTTTTGATTAGAAGGAAAGTGACCATTGGGCTTATTGAAAAGCTAATAAGAAAAATAGAAGCTTAACTTTTTCGCTTTTAACAAATTCTCTGTTACAACTCAGTAGCTTTACCTAAAATAGTATAAATTAAACCTTCATATAACTTTCTGAGCATTGTATCTACGATTTCAGAGTAGTACTTTTTTATAGACTTAAGTTTTTGACTTGAGCTTGACTTTGAAGAACCTTTATGACTTATCTACTCTAAAAAAAGTACCAGTTCTTTAAAGTTCTCTCTGAAAATAATCATGGGGTGAATGCAATCATTTACAATCTTTGCCACCTCTTTCCCCCAAATTTCTTCCTTACCTCACCTCTCATTTTGTTCTTTCCTCTTCCAATTGTGATGTGATGGGTGAGGGGTAACAGCCGCTTTTATTTTCCCTTCCTTTTACCTTCAATTCTCTTTCATTCAATTCACATATTTCTCTCATCAAGCCATCTGATCACCATTTTCATCACAACAATTCTCTTTATTTGTTCGATTTAGTTTATTACTTTAATGGTGATCATCTTTTTTTAAAATAATATATCGTATTGTTTTGTTATTTTTTGTCTTTGTTTATATAAAACGAAAGCTTTTGGATCGATGAATAGATACTGATAAATAGATAATCGTATGAATGATATGATGAATAGATACTGATAAATAGATAAATCGATATTTGACTTTAACTTTGACTCTCATAGTAATAGACTTTGACTCATTAGTAATTTTACTTCGATATCTCATTGCTTTTAAATCTTTATCTTCATTAATTAAGCAGGCTATGATTTCCATATTATTTACTACAAAGTTTTTTTTAGAAGATTCCGAATGAAAGCCTTATTGGCTATCGTTCGCGATAGGAGTCCATCGAAAACACGGAAGAAAGAAAAAGATGGGAAACGGAATGAGCTTCGAATCTTTAGATCATCGTGCGTTTATCTAGATATTATTCAATATAAATTTTAGTAGATTCTTCTCTAAAGACGACTTATCAATTAACAAGAAAGCGAAAGAAGTAGAGAATGAAGAAAGCTCAACGAGAAGAGAGTTCATCGTTCCATTAAGGGTTTGATATTTAGTATTTATTAGTATTTTCGGTAGTTGTCGATTTTTCCCCCCACAAAATCTCATTCTAAGCCTCGACACACACTTGACGTAAGAAAGAGTTCTAATTGATTAACAAATCTTTGCACATATTTAACTGTTTTTCGCAGAGATCGATAGAAAACGGGGTTCTTGCCCAATTGGTATGCAAATTTGCTGAATTTTTGGGGAAAATATCGACAAGTATTGTATTTTCTTTATTGCCAAATATTTAGAAAACAAAATCGAAAGAACAATGCGTAGAGACGGTGAGATTGGGACCGTTGACACTGAAGCGACGCCCGAAATCCCTCTTCGTTGGGTGAGTTTCTAATGGCGAAATGTCTAACAAAGCTTTAATTTCTAAGAAAAGCTTTCTGATTCCGAAAAACATTGTTTCAGCCTAGGTTTCCTTACAAAAAAACGAAAAAATTCCTTTTTTTGGAAATTTGGGGTTTGACGCCCCTCAGTAAAACGGCTGCAAAAACTTTGTAAATTGATATATTAAAAAATGTTTTTTTTTATCCAATCCGCTAGAAAATTAGCTTTTGAATGAGCTAATGAATGAGCTAATGAATGAGCTAATGAATGAGCTAATGAATGAGCTAATGAATGAGCTAATGAATATTACACGTCCAGATCGGACAAGTTTAAGGCCCACTCCCAAAAAATCGGCAAAGACTTTCTCCCCAACCTAAGAACTCATTTACACTTGTAATTCTTAAATTTTAGAGTTATCTTTTTAAAAAGTTGCCCAATTTCATCTCATTGATAAGCCCTCTCATAAAAACTTTCCGGTTTCAAAGTTATCACGAGAATTTTGAGTAATTTTTTCCCAAGTGTGCGTTTTACAAAAAACGCATTACTCGCGAGGAACACACTCTAGAAGGTATCTGTTTTAGAGAACTATCGTAGTTTTCATTGATTACAATGGCTTACTAAAATAGGAATCTTTTAAAAAGTGTAGTAATTGACGAGAAGAACATACTCCAATCCTTATAGAGTTTTTAATTGAAGACCCTCTCCCAAAAAATCGGACAAAGACTTTCTCCCCAACCTAAGAACTCATCTACACTTGTAATTCTTAAATTTTAGAGTTATCTCTTTAAAAAGTTGCCCAATTTCATCTCATTGATAAGCCTTCTCATACAAACTTTCCGGTTTCAAAGTTATCACGAGAATTTTGACTCCAACAAAACAGATGATTCAAGGGGGAAACTTTTAAAAATTCCTGTTCATGATGAGAGGACAGCTGTGCTCATCTTGATCTCGAAAAATGAACTGGGGACACCGGCTGTCCTCACTTTTCTTTCATTTCTTTTCTCTTTAAGGTCATTTCTCATAAACCCCTTCTCATTTTGCAGTGACGTTTTTTTCTTGGCGTGGAACACTGCTTGCAATTTTTCACTTGAAGTTCTACATGAAATCCCAGTTTTTCCTTATTCCTTAATTCCTCGAATGTTTTGGTTTGACGGTTCTTCCAAAACAGCCATGAAAAATGCGCCTCGATTCGCAAAATATACAAATGCTATGACTAAATATTTTCCACCATCATCGATATCGATTCTGAAGTGGAATCCGAGGATTGAGTGGGTTTTTGAATAGATTGCTGATTTGTTGCTCGATTCGCTCAACTCTTGACTATGTAACGTAGCGTTGGACTTTGAAATACATTGAGAAAAGCATTGGTTAAGTTTCTCTTATAGTACAAGACAAAACTTAACATAACAAAAGCTGAAATTCTCAAATAACTATTGCTCATTGATCTTTTACAACCTTCATTTTACAGATTTACAAATAGAAAAAACGCTGGAACATTTTCAATTTGGGATTTGAAAATGTTCCCTTAGATCAGTAAAATAGCTAATTGTAAGCTAAAACGAAAGACTGCAGCTTTTTGCTTGATTTTGTTTAATTCTTGACTACGTAACGTAGCGTTCGACTTTGCAATCCATTGAGAAAAGCATTGGGTTTGAACTGGCTTTGAACTGGCTTTGAACTAGCTTTGCACTAGCTTTGAACTAGCTTTGGCCTAGCTTTGAACTAGCTTTGGCCTAGCTTTGCACTAGCTTTGAACTAGCTTTGAACTAGCTTTGCCCTAGCTTTGACCTAGCTTTGAACTAGCTTTGCACTAGCTTAAGTTCCCCTTATTATATATAGTTAGAAGTTATTTCTTAAGTCAAAACTTTTTTCTACTTGTCCAAGTTTTTTTGAGCTTAGCTAGCTAGAACAGCTACATTTCCCCAAAAGAAAAAGCAATTGATTGTAAGGGAGACATTGACAAATCGTCTGTATCAGGTCGTTCTTTTCTACCCGGAAAAGTAAGAAATAGAAAGGGGGAAGGGGGAAGGGAGAAAGTAGAGATCTGCCTCTAATCGTCCTCTACCCCAAAAAGAAAGAGTTCAGTTTGTGTGTGTGTAATCTCGAAAAGAAAAAGGGCAACTCTGTGAAGTGGATTCCCTCATTACGCCATCTCTTTGTGTCCAAGCAAAACATTTCTATTCATTTAAATTAAACACTTTTTATTACCCAACTAGCATTTATAAGCTATTCATTAAATATTAGATATTTTTATTTTAAAGTCTATTCATTTGGCTCAATGTTTACCTGAAAAAACTGGGCCTCATTCTATCAACAGCACTTTCTTGCTTGCTTAATAAAATTCTACAGTTTTATCTAAATCTTGAGTCAGCTATACTTTTCTTAAATCTATTCAACTCTCGCTTGTTCTTTACTTGAACCCATTCATCTTGTATTCTTGTCTATTCCACCATTATTCTAATCCACAATCCAACAAACTTGTTGATTGAGTGTACGGTTGTAAACTACCATTGTTACCATTGTTACCATTGCTACCATTGCTATTATTGCTACCATCGCTACCATTACTACCATTGTTACCATTGCTATTATTGTTACCATTGCTATCATTGCTACCATTGCTAGCATTGCTACCATTGTTACCATTGCAAACGACCTATTGCTAATCATTTAATCATCAATTTTCTTCTAAACATCCTTCATTTATCATCTCAAAAATGGACTACAAAACATTCCCTGGATTCTCCCGAAAGAACTCGATCCCATTCTATGATCGCTTAAGCCCGAATCCGACTCGAAAGTACAGCTTTGATGAAAATTCTCTTTATGCTGATTTGGATACTCGGAAATTCCTTCCAACTTTTACTGATAAAAATCTGAAAACACGAAAAGTCGTTTATAAAAAGCTTGAGAAGCCACTTTCTAGTGATTTCCTAGAAAAGAAGGATTTCTTCTCAAATCAACAAGTACAACCACCAAAATTTACTGCTAAACGAATCACTGATGCTTTAAATCATATCCAGAAAGCTTTATTAAACACAGAAAATCCAATAAATCCAATAAATCAAAAATTAGCAAAGAGACGAGCTTCAGTTCAGGAAAGGATAAACTCTTTCGAGAAATTGAGATATGATCCGAATTCGTTGAAAAGAAGAATCAAGAATGAAGATGGAGATGTTGAAGGGGTAGATTCAAATGGAAATTTCGAGAGTTCATGGGATTTCGACGAGAAGCCGACGAGTGTTCGGGAGAAAATCGCCGACTTCGAGCGGCGATCGTCAATCGACAGCGATCAGGGCAGCTGCATTAGCATTTCGCTGAAAACCCCCAAGAATCGCATTTATCCATTCGAAACGCTAAAAATTGACCCAATCCTGCAAAACACTCATCTACTAGATGAGAAATTTGCAGAAATCCGTAAAATCTTTGGTCCAAATGAGCAAATCGGTGAGCGGATTATTCCGATTCGTTTGCTGAATGGGGGAATTTTGAAAAATTCCTCAATAAATTTAAAAGAATGCTCAAAAATGATGAGCTTTGTGAGTGGACTTGGGAGAAAAAGAGAACCAAAAAGTCTTCGATTAACAGAAATTTCTCTCGATTCCGAGATTTGTTTGTTTATCTCTTTGGTGGGATGTGAACAAATCGAAGAGATTACTTGTTTAATGGCTGTACAAGCGAATCGTTTTCATTTATACCCCAGATTCCCAGGTGTTTATTTAAATTTGGATGTACAAGAGGATTTGATGAGTAGAAGGAATTCGAGAAGGAAATCGTTGATCAAATCGCCGAGTTTGTTGTCCGAGCCGCAATTCAACGCTGATCCAACTTCAGATGAGTATTTGACTCCAGAAGAGGACGAGGAATTGATTAGGTTTGGATCAGGATCATGTTAACAACAAAATCTGCTTCAGATTAGATTCAAAACTTTGAATTTCTTCTTTCAGCTTGTTGTTGAAAGAATTGCTAGGCCAAAGCTTTTTTTGAACTCTCAGAATCTTTAGACACCTCTTAACGTGTGTTAAAAGGGAAATCTTGTAAAATCTAGCGTCATCCAGCTTTCATTAGCCTTTTCTGCTAGCATTTAATATAAAATCAAGTCAATGATTTCAAAATCTATCGAATCTAAGCAGACAATAGTTTCAACAGTTAATTTAAGCTCAACAGCTTAAGCTTTTTAGGCTTTAAGCTCAAAAGCTTAAGCTCAAAAGCTTAAGCTCAAAAGCTTAAGCTCAAAAGCTTAAGCTCAACAGCTTAAGCTCAACAGCTTAAGCTCAACATTCTTATTCGATATTAGTTTGCTTTGTTACTTGTTCTCATTTGATCTCGTTTTTTGCCAAGGATTTTATCCAAGACACGATCAAAATCCGCTGTTCTCTTACACTTTTAACGTTCGTATTTTCATGGGATCATCATCAAATAATAGTGCTGTTTTTTTCCCTGAAATTGATCCACTTTTACATCCCTGAGCATGAGGGTTTTTATGTAAGGACTAAGGATTGAAAAAAAGAGAGAAAAGAAGCTTTTTACGTAAAAAGTGCAGAAAAACGGGTGAGGGAAGAGGGGAGAGATCAGAGTGGATTGAGTATCTTGAAGATCGGAGAGATCGGAGAGATCAGAGAGATCAGAGAGGAAATCCTACACCTGAGCCCTCTCGTGCTCCTTTTCTTAGTTTAAATCTCTTGAGTTTTTCGACGTGTGCATGATGATCACTACACTTTATTCAAAGATTCTCAAATAACTTGTACTTGAACTTGTAAACTCTTGCATTCACTCAATCTGCAATTCTAATGACAATCGCTGAGACGTTTATGAAATGGATGTTGTGAGTTGAGAAATAAGGGATTTTGAGTGATTTTAGACTTAAAAGGGTTTTCTCTTTAAGTTTGGAATAAGCTAATGCTTTAAGATTCTATATTTTAAGTAATAAACTTGCAATATTATCAATGATCTATTGTAACTGGTAACTGTAGCTGATGATGAGTGAGTTTATCAACATAGAACAGTACAATTTTATCAAGTTTATCAATTTCTTTAATCAGTCGCTTTTTCTCACTGATGTTTTTAATAAAATCAGAAAGCTAGATATTTAGTTGATGCACGGATTTAAGTAGTTCATATCAAACTAAGTCAGAGAAGAACTCTAGAAGAACTCTAGAAGAACTCTAGAAGAACTCTAGAAGAACTCTAGAAGAACTCTAGAAGAACTCTAGAAGAACTCTAGAAGAACTCTAGAAGAACTCTAGAAGAACTCTAGAAGAACTCTAGAAGAACTCTAGAAGAACTCTAGAAGAACTCTAGAAGAACTCTAGAAGAACTCTAGAAGAACTCTAGAAGAACTCTAGAAGAACTCTAGAAGAACTCTAGAAGAACTCTAGAAGAACTCTAGAAGAACTCTAGAAGAACTCTAGAAGAACTCTAGAAGAACTCTAGAAGAACTCTAGAAGAACTCTAGAACAACTCTAGAACAACTCTAGAACAACTCTAGAAGAACTCTAGAACAACTCTAGAACAATTAGATATTTAAAATCTGAGTCAAAAATTGATTCATCTTTTCCTCCATAGACTTATTTATTTCTCTAAAGCTTCAAGAATTGTACAATAACGTTTGCGAGGATTTTATGTGTCACATGCTGGTCAGAGCACTTCAACCTTTTCAGAAAAGAAAGGGTAAATCTGCTTTGGATTAGTCTTTAGCCTAGCTTTCTTCAAATCTTTTCCATCTTTACACCTGACCATTTCTACGAGAAATCATTTGTCCCTTTTTTCACGAACCAACTGACGAAGGACTAGTGAGAAAAACTAGCGTGAGTGGAGCGGCTGCTTATTTGAAAAGATAAATCTTTTGATTGAGAAGTTTCTAATGGTTTGACCCACACCGCAACTCAAATCTATGTAGGTGAAATAAAGAAAGATTAAAAACAAAAACAAATTGATTTTGTAAGACTAGAAAGTGTTCTTTAAATAGGTAAAGATGATTAAAACTTGAAAAGACAAGAGTTCTTTAAAAGCTTTAATCAAATCATTATTCTTTCTAGGACCGGCGAGCCAAGAACGCAGAGTATCGTGGTGAAGGGAAAGAGGGAACACGAGACGTTTGCCGTAGCGAATCTCGAGGCACCCGTGCAGTCAGTTTTAGACTAATTATATGATTAACTTAAAGTGAATCAAGAACAAAAAATTGAAACAAATTATCAAACAATTGGGGAAACGCAAATCTTCTCCAATCCTTTTCTAATAGTTCTTTACAGTTGAATGGAATCATTCTTTGATTTGTGTGTTTTAAACCTTGTTAATCGGTTAACTAAGTGTTTTAAACTTGTTAATCTGTTAACTAAGTGCTTTAAACCTTGTTGATCTGTTAACTAAGTGTTTTAAACTTGTTAATCTGTTAACTAAGTGCTTTAAACCTTGTTGATCTGTTAGCTAAGTGTTTTAAACCTTGTTACTCTGTCTGTTTTGCCAGACAATTTTTCGTATTTATTCATCCAAGACTTCCTAGTGCATTCCAGCTAAATTTCCGTGTTCTTAGCAAAAAAAAGGGTGATGATGGGAACTGTTTGGACTAAACTAAAAGAGCAACTGGAAAAACCGCTCAAGAACAATGGTCGGCTTTTGAAAAAAAGAAAGAAGAAAGTGATGATGGAAAGGATGGAAAGGGGATTTGGAGATCTGGTCTTATCCTTTGAGTGGTCTCTTCTCGTTTGGCATAGTCCAATCCAGTTAGATATCGACAATCACAAACACTAAATCTCTATTCGTATTCTTTATTGGTTGATTTACGAGGTTTAAGATCAAGCTTTAACATAGACCGAGCCAGGTCTAGAATCAGATCTTTCACAAATGCGATTGCACAAGATTTCGGCTGGAATTGAGTTGTAAGTTTTTGAATAGAGTTTAGCGCTAAATAAAGAATAAGTTTTTGGTCGATTGACTTGACTTTAGATTGATTGTTGTAATCTTTTTAATTCTTTTATTAAGCACTAACAAATATTAGCCTCTAGAAAGTGTTTAGACTGAGAAATAAATGAGGAATTGTGAAAAATAACTTAAATTAAAGCTTTTAGTAAAAGTATTTGATTTAAAGCAGACAATTGTCATCAAAAATCAGATCAACAAGATCTAAATACTGAAATTCCCAAAAAGTGAACTTCCTTGAAGTGTTCATTTTTTAGTTTTCTAACTTCTCTTGATTTTAGAGTGGATAAATAGCTTTAAAAGTCATTGTATCATAAATTGTTTATAGATTTTAGAGTTTTTATCTTGATTTTAGAGTTTTTATCTTGATTTTAGAGTTTTTATCTTGATTTTAGAGTGCGCAAAAGAATTAGTCTTTGAATAAATATCTTTAAAAGTCATTGTATCATAAATTGATTCACTACAATAATTGTTTAATTATCAAACTCTTCTAAGAGAGTTGATCTTTGCCCTAAATTGATCTTTGACTAATCAACTAATCAAATAACTAAGGTGTAAATCTGCTCACCAAATCTCAACAATCTTAGATATTAGATTCTTAAAACTAGGTTAGTCAAACTTGGGTAAAAGAGAGTTCATCCTTCCTCTTCATATTCTTCCATCGTTTTTCTCTTTCTTTTCTTTTGTTGTGTACCGAGAGTTCCTTCTTTTCCTCTTCATTTGCATAGGAAAGGTAATCGCTCGGTCCTCACTCCTTTTCCCCTTATTCTATTATTCCTCACTTCAGCCAAGCTTTTGTTTGACTTTTAGGAACTTCTTTTGTGATTTATTCTCTTTTTAAATAAGATTAGAAATTAACTTGTAGAATACGGTAAGAAAACCTTTTTCTAAGGATTCATTGTTTAAAAAATAGAAAGTTTTGAATCTTCAAGCAATTTGTTAGTAAAATTTGTCAAGAATATAACTCTTAACAACGCAAAAAGAAATAGCTGACTGTATCTTCAGTTATTAGCATTTTAGTGCATTTGTTAGTCTGAATTTAACAATTGAAATCTCAAAGAGTGCATTTGTAGATTTAAAACTCAATTCTCATACTTTATTCAATACATTCAATCGATTCTATTTTAATCCAAGTCGATTCTTTTAATGTACTTTGAGTTGTAAACATTATCTTTCTGATGCATTCATTCCAATAATGTTTTCTATTGAGAGATAAATAAATGAAAGTGAATAGAAAGAAGGTGTTAGCGTTACGCTAAAGTACACTATAAGAATAAGTTTGTAAATTTCATTATAAAGCTTTCTAGAAAGTCTTTTCATACTTTCTTTGAATAAAAAGAAAACTCGCGACTTCGTGCTCCCAAAAAACATCCAGAAATAAGGTATTTAAAATTTGATTTGATTTTCTCAAAAATAATTGGCTTTTCTAAAAAAAACCTTAATTGGCGGATTTTTTGGTTTAAAAACGGGAGTACGAAAAGGAATGAAAAGACTTTCTGGGAAGCCTAATTCAAACTACCGTATTTTCTCTAATAGTAGTGCACTCCGGCGAGCCGAGTTGATGACAATTTTACGTTTTCCAAGCTTTCCGAGAAGCTCACCACTCTAATCCCCCACAAGATCTCATCGTCAGCTACATTTTCCGACCCCACATCGATAGATTCTGATAAGCGGTTCTCGAGATTTCGAGGAATTTTGAGCGACGATCAGGGTGCACTACTATTAGTGAGAATACGGTATACACAAACTTATTGGAGGTGACTGAAATTTCTAAAACGAAAGAACATTTCCTTGAACTAACCGTGGGATTAACTTTGAATAAATCTCGAAAAAGAGGGGAATATAGAGATAATGGAAACGCACAATGTTCTTTGCTAGATTAGTAAACCGTATTCCCTCTAATAGTAGTGCACTCCGGCGAGCCGAGTTGGTGACTATTTTACGGTTTCCAAGCTTTTCCAGAAGCTCAACAATCTAATCCCCCACAAGATCTCATCGTCAGCTACATTTTCCGACCCCACATCGATTGGTTCTGATAAGCGGTTCTCGAGATTTCAAAGGAATTTAGGCGACGCTCAGGGTGCACTACTATTAGAGAAAATACGGTATATAATTTCTATTTAACTTTAAACCGAAAGCAATAAGATTCTGTATAAAATTCCATACAAATTTTACCTGATTCGTTAGGAAACACGTCGCGACGATTAAAACTAAATTGAAAAAATTTCTGTCAGAGGGATTTAAAAAATTCCTTCAGATTCGGAATCAGCACAATTTTCCGCATCTAAAAAAGGTACTTATAGAAAAATCCGATAGAAAACGCATTTTTACCTTATTTCGCGCCGATGTGCGTCGGGCTAGTGTATCCTTTCATGTAAATACATAAAGCATCAGTCTCCAACTCGAGACACGAATGAGAAAGCCTAATTCAAACTATTTCTAACAATAAGATTTTATCCTGAAGGGCTTTTCTATCTTTTAAACTCTTAGCATCAAATTTTATCTTTCATAAATGATATTCTTTGTTCCAAATGTCAACGATTATCCCAAACATTTTGATGTATTGAGAGAAAAAGAACTGTCACAATGTTTTCCCCTTCAATTTCCCCCAACCTTTCCCTTTTTTTCATTCAACTTGTCACCAACAATTATATGCACGATCATCACACAAAAATGCCCAATGAGGGAAAAGTTTTTGCTCATTTTTAGCGTTTTCAAAAGTTTCTTTTCTTGAAATCCTTTGAATTTGTATAATAATATGCAGTTAGTTTTTAAAATCCAAATCCGTTTATAGAATAGATAGAATAGATAGAATAGATAGAATAGATAGAATAGATAGAATAGATAGAATAGATAGAATAGATAGAATAGATAGAATAGATAGAATAGATAGAATAGATAGAATAGATAGAATAGATAGAATAGATAGAATAGATAGAATAGATAGAATAGATAGAATAGATAGAATAGATAGAATAGATAGAATAGATAGACAAAAATACCACATGAGCTAACAGATTTTTGAGCCATTTTCCAGCTCTATAGCACTTGATTGAAACACTTTTATGCAGAAGAGAAATTTTAAAAAGGGCTGCTACGCAGGAGTACGCGATCATACTCTTTACCCGGTCTTCTATTCGAAGAAATACGGTAGATAGAATAGATAGAATAGATTCTAAGCACTCTAAGTGATCCTAAGCAAAATTTTGCAAATATACAAGTTATTTATTTGAATTATCTATTATTTTCAATTTATAATATTACTTTCAGTGCCCGCGAGACGGTGAACAAAACAATTGTTGTCGGGGTGAAGCAGAAGAGTCTTCTCGTCGAGAGAATCTCTGCCAACATTGCTCTACCAACACAGGTGCTTTTACTGTAAAATGGATCGTTTTATTTTTCAATTTACATTTATAGTTAAATGATTATCATAATTTGGGTGATTTTTGCTTAAAATTCGACATTCCTTTAAACGAAAACTAGCTGAGAGAGTCAAGTTGAAATGACGCGCAAAGAACGAAGTTTGTTGACAAGTTTGTTGACAAGTTTGTTGACAAGTTTGTTGACAAGTTTGTTGACAAGTTTGTTGACAAGGTTGTTGACAAGTTTGTTGACTAGTTTGTTGACAAGTTTGTTGACAAGTTTGTTGACAAGGTTGTTGACAAGTTTGTTGACAAGGTTGTTGACAAGTTTGTTGACAAGTTTGTTGACATGTTTGGTGACTAGTTTGTTGACAAGTTTGTTGACAAGGTTGTTGACTAGTTTGTTGACAAGCTAACCTTTAAGCCTCTGTATTTCCCCATCTATAAGAATATTTATTAAAGAACCCAATTGTAGAATTATTCCAATCACTCCAACTCGTATAGGCAATAATACAATAATAAAAATGAGCATTGGCTAGCTATGATTAGGGTCACAAATTTTTCACCCCTCATCATCTGGCATCGTCTTTTCTGTAGTCTTTTCTGTGTGCGGATTCGCGCGTGCTTTTACGACACTTGAGACGCATATGTGTCGAAGGATGTAGAAGTGAAAGAAAAAGAAAAAAAAGGAAAGAAGTGGGCACATCTCATTGACAGAAGAAGAAGAAGAAGAAGACATCAATCCTCATCAATATCTCTTAGTGTTCAGCTTGTCATATTGCATTTGTTCAAGTTAATATAGTTAATATTGATTCTTATAATCCAAAATCTAAGCCTAGGATTAACAGAGAAATTTAAGGACGAATAAGCTAAGAAAGAACTTAAACAAGAGCTTTGCTGAATATCTTACCGTACTTGGTGCTAGCTAGTTACGTCAAATCAGTTTAATCTCAAATGTTTAATCGTCAAACCAGTTTAATCTTAAATATCTAATCGTTAAATCAATTTAATCTCAAATGTCTAATCGTCAAATCAGTTTAATCTCAAATATTTAACCGTCAAATCAGTTTAATCTCAAATGTTTAACCGTCAAATCAGTTTAATCTCAAATATCTAATCGTCAAACCAGTTTAATCTCAAATATTTAATCATCAAATCAGTTTAATCTCAAATGTCTAACCATCAAATCGGTCTAAGCTCGAATTTCTAATCTCCAAATCAGTTTAATTCCCAAAATGCATAGATTATGTGGGATTCAAGTGATCATTTTGCTCAAAAATTATGTCAGTGTTTCAATTGCATAAATAAAACGATCAATTGGCTTTACCTTCAGTAGTTCAATACAATTTCATGCCGAATTTCCCTTCTAAATGATCTCTAACATGATCTGATTTCCTTTTCTCTTCACTTCACTACCCTCCCCTTTGTCTTTTATTTGATCTCGCTAGCTCTCGCCTAAGCAATTCGTTTTTTATAACCTCAACGATTGAAAGATCTTAGATTTTGTAGCTAGGATTTTGAGTAATTTAGTGACATCTCTCTCTGACTCTCTAACAAAGGAGTCTTAAAATATATTTAAAAACTAATCAACTTACTAATCAACTTTCTTTAAGTTATAATTAAAGATTAAATAGATGTTTTTTTTAAGAATTCTCTTTTTTTTTCTTGTTAGCTAATGAAGAATTACTCTAAATCTTACGGATTGCCTTGTCTCTGTAAAATGAGGGGTCTAGTCGGCTTATATTGTCAAGGTGATTAGTCCTTTCTTTCTCCATCATTTTCTCTTACGTGTCATCATCGTGTACATTGGCTATTTGCTAGAGATTGCTAGAGAATTTCTAATGTTCTTGATGAAGAAGCCGATACTCCATATTCGGAATGTGAGTTTTAACATTGACCTTAACCAAGTTCTCTTTCAAATTCTGATAGATCTTTAGAATTCTTTAGAATTTATCTATTCTAGTTGATAGCTAGACAAGATGGATTAGCCAGAAGTCCTGGTCTTCCGTCCTGGCCCAAAAGTCCTGGCCTTCCGTCCTGGCCCAGAAGTCCTGGCCTTCCGTCCTGGCCTTCCGTCCTGGCCCAGAAGTCCTGGCCTTCTCTAGGCCTTGGCTTAAAAGTAGAGATCTAAGCTAGCCAAGCCTGGAACAAAGCCACAACACTATAACATTGTAACCTAAGCTATTGTAACCTAGGCTGATTGTCTAATCTCTAATTTAGTCACAGAAGTTTCATCTTCCCAATTCAAATTTGGTTTTCCTTGAGGGTTTTTGTGATCGCAAGGCGGCACAGATTGTCCTCCGATACCCCAACTGGGTGAATGAGGGGGGAAAAAGACTCCAACATTGCAAAAGACGGTCGAAGTACACAAAAAAACGGGGTTGTTTTGTGACAAAGACCTTTGATGGAAGAGAGATCCCTCACACAGCTGCTCCTCCATCTTTTTCTCAGTACTGTTCTCCTTTTTTTACTATCCAGCTGCCTTTCTATTTTGCATACAGAGTTTCCAAAATTAGAGTCATTTGAAGATTCATTTTTCAGTATTACGTTCTTTTTACAATTAAAATTATATGCAAATTTTGATTCTGCAAATCAGAATCAGTAACTTTTCATAAAACTTTATTCAAAATCTCATTTGAATTGAATATCTTTGTTCTTTTTCTTAAACTATAATATTTGATTTGATTTGATGACACATTGAAACCCTTCTCCATCTCCAAATATCATTGTTAACTCTTTTGTAAACAACTGTACTATGCTGAATACTTTAAAAAAGTAACTGGTCACGAGAATTTTTAGCTTTACTCTAATTGAATCCCATTGTCGACAAACTTGAACCGACTCTCGAAATTATCTTTGTCATCTTTCGAATTTCAAACTTTACTCCTAGCTTTCTGCTCTTTTTCTTAAACTATAATATTTCATTTCATTTGATGACACATTGAAACCCTTCACCTTCTCCAAATACCATTGTTATTGTTATCATTGTTAACTCTTTTGTAAACAACTGATAACTGTACTATGCTGAATACTTTAGAAAAGAAACTGATCACGAGAATTTCAACTTTACTCTAATTGTATCCCATTGTCGACAAACTTGAACCGACTCTCGAAATTATCTTTGTCATCTTTCGAATTTCAAACTTTACTCCTAGCTAGTAAAGCTTTCTGCTCTTTTTCTTAAACTATAATATTTCATTTCATTTGGATGACACATTGAAACCCTTCACCTTCACCAAATACTCGAGTTTTATTGACGAAACGAGGCGAGATCTGAAAAGACCGAATAAACACTCGCAAATCTTATAGCAAAAAACTCAAAGAAAATAGATAATTTACAGAAATCGAACGAGAAATTGATTGAAAAAGAAGAAAAAGAAGGAGTAACTGGAGAAACGACAGAACTCGTCGAACAACAATTGCGAGAGATCGGCAGATTGGCCGAGAATATTGCGAATGCTGTGACAAAGGTTTGTTGCTTAGAAAAAGTTCATTCTTACTTTCAAAAGAACGTTTCCAAAAGGTTTTGTATCTTAATTTCTTTGAAAAAAACAAGTTAATGAGTTTTAAAGTCACAGTAAGTTTACAAGAAATTATCTCAGATCTCAAGAAATGAGCTAGTTTCTTTTGTTAATTTTTGTTTGAAAATTTGTCCTACTTTTCTTAGATTCTAGTTTGAAAGCTTCTAGCTAGAAAGCTTTCTTAGCTAGAAAGCTTTCTTAGGCCTAAGCCTAAGCCTTAGTTTGAAAGCTTTCTTAGCTTGAAAGCTTTCTTAGCTAGAAAGCTTTCTTAGGCCTAAGCCTAAGCCTTAGTTTGAAAGCTTTCTTAGCTTGAAAGCTTTCTTAGCTAGAAAGCTTTCTTAGGCCTAAGCCTAAGCCTAAGCCTTAGCTTGAAAGCTTTCTTAGCTTGAAATCTTATCAATCTATCAATCAATCTCAATATTTTCAGCATTCACAAAAGAATCGCGATAGTGAGGTAATGTCAACAAGCGCTAGCAGCTCTTTTATCAGATTGGATAATATTGATGAGGAGATGGGCAGGTGAGTAACTCGACAAGTTACAAATAAAAGTTACAGATTAAAGTTACAGATAAAAGTTAGTTATTAGAGCAAGTTAATGTTAGTTTTTAATACCTAATTTCAGATCTCAAGCCTCAGCTTCTTTGCATAAATGTGCTTCAACGCCTCGAGTCTTCTCGATTGACAATGCTGTCGAGATTCAACCAAATCCTGTCAAGAGGGTTTTTCCCGTGATTGGAATTGAAGCTGGAGCAATGGTTGATAAGGTAAGTGTAAAGTTTAAGTGTAAAGTTTTGAGATTAAGATTTTTGTTGAACTTTTAACCATCAAAAAGATTTTTTTGATGATCATTGACCACTTGAGATTTCAAGTGCCTTTAAAAAGTTGAGCTTCGAGAAGGAATAGGAAAGATTTGGCTCAAGAATTACAGAAAACTCAAGAACTCGAGAAGTCAAGAACTCAAGAACAAGAAGCTATTCAGTTATCCCGAGGATTGGCTGATCTCACATCCGGTAGTCAGGATCGCCTTCAACGGTGGAAGAATAAACTTCAAACAACCGCACGACGCCACAAAGACGCCAGTGAACCGCCGCCAATGCACAGGTGATTCAAGATTTGTACAACTGTCTTATGAATTAATAATATAATTTATAAAATGTAATCGAATTTCTACAACTGTAACAATAAACTGGACGATGAATAAGTATTAACATCAATGACAATAGTTTTCTATCGTAATCTCTTCTGCATTAACTTTAATCAAGATCATTCAAAATTTCCTTATATTTAAAACATATTGAGTAAATGTGTAAAAGTCTGAAGTTAGAGTTTCACTTTTACAAGACAAAACATAGCTATCAGCTATCAGCTAACATAGATGAGCTATCAGTTAATATAGATGAGCTAAAGTTAACATAGATGAGCTATCAGCTAATATAGATGAGTTATCATCTAATATAGATGAGTTATCAGCTATTATAGATGAGCTATCAGTTAACATAGATGAGCTATCAGTTAATATAGATGAGCTAAAGTTAACATAGATGAGCTATCAGCTAATATAGATGAGCTCTCAGTTAATATAGATGAGCTATCAGCTAATATAGATGAACTATCAGCTAATATAGATGAACTATCAGCTAATATAGATGAGCTAGCTATAAAAATTTCAAAGTTTTAAACGTAGGTCCCTTTTGATTAGAGAAACGAAAAGGAAAATGGTGATCCTCGAGGTGGACGTCTCGATAAATCAAGGCCGAGCACCTGTGTCTTCCATCCATTTCCCTTCCTTTTTTTTCTTTTTTTCATCTCTTCATACTTCTTCGTTTGTGGATATGAATGAGCTGGGAATTGAGAGAGAAAAAGAAATGGAAGAGAAAGAAAAGAAATGGAAGAGAAAGAAAGGGAAAGAGAGGATGGATCATCCACCATTTCCCATTCACACCCCACCATTTTCATAGGATTTTTTGGTCTATAGAGTTAGGCTCTTTAGAATAAAATTTCTTAAAAAAGGCACAGTTTTTGAATTTGTTTGAGCTTGATCTTGGCTGTGATTTCTTCATTTTTTTCATTTCTATAGTTTCATCAATCGTTACTAATTGAAAACGGTATTCTGTTTAAATAAAAATATACCGTATTTTCTGTAATAGTAGTGCAGTTTATAATAGTAGTGCAGTCTGTAATAGTAGTGCAGTTTATAATAGTAGTGCAGGCTGGAGGGGGGGTTGAAAAAATAGTAGTGCGCACTACTATTACAGAAAATACGGTATCTCTAGTTATCCTAGATAAGTTCCAATAGTACTTTTAACTCTACCTGATTTGATTTATACTTTTAAATGTTTTAATTCCATAATGCTTTGCAAACAAACTGATAATGGTATCTGCTTTTTTACATCTATGTCAAGTGATCTAGCTAATATTGGAATTACTAATTTACACTGAGATTACTATATCTAACAGCTATAAGATCTATGAGATTTGGTCTATCAGATCTATTAGATCTATCAGATTTGATCTATCAGATCTACTAGATCTGATCCATTAGCTAATTACTAATTTACACTGAGATTACTATATCTAACAGCTATAATGGATCAGATCTATGAGATTTGCTCTATCAGATCTACCAGCTCTATCAGATCTACCAGCTCTATCAAATCTACCAGCTCTATCAGATCTACCAGCTCTATCAGATCTACCAGCTCTATCAAATCTATCAGATCTATCAGATGTACCAGCTCTATCAGATCTACCAGCTCTATCAGATCTATCAGATCTATCATCTATCAGATCTACCAGATCTGATCCATCAGCTTTCTCGATTCCTTGCTTCTACTAGTCAAATGCGTTTCAATTTTATCAATCTTTCCTAGAAAAATAGCTTCTTAATTCATCTGAGGAAAATAGCTTCCTAATTCCGCTAAAGTAATGATCACCGAAATCGTGAATGAGGCAAAAAAAATGGGAACTAGCTAGACAAGAAGGGGGAAAGTGTAAGAAGAAAAACGACTTTTTGTGTGCCTGTTCACCCATCTATCTCTTTTAGCCTTTTTCATACCCACACTAACACATGAGATGAGGACATTCCTCAAAAATCATTCACTAGTTCTTTTCTTCTTCTTCATTTTCATTGTTGCTTTGCAAGATCTAGGCTTTTAATTGAATTGAAAAGTTGCATAGTCTTGTTGTTAAGAAGTTGTAAGAATTCTTGACCGGTTAGCTGAGTTTTTGGCTTATTTAGTACCAGTCTTGAACACAATTCTTCACTTTTCTTCACTTGTTCGAGTTCTTAAAAACTAAAGTACAGCTTTTAACAAACACCTTTTGACTTGTTTACTTTTTGACTTTTCCATTTCTATTCTTTTACTCTTTTTTTTTGCAATTTCGATAACGATTTGTTCAAATTTCATCCATTCAAAAGTGGGAAAAGACAGAGAAAAAGAGTGAACAAAGAGATATTTCCTCTCTTTGCTCTCGGGCATATTTAGCGCCCATTTCTATGACTCACTACAACTCTATGAAATCATAAATACTACATAAAAATCCTCAATCCAAGATCTTTATCTGAAATCACTTTTAACAACAATTCTTAAGCAAAATTTCAAAATTTAAATAACTTTTATAAATAAAAAGTTAAATTTTACATCTAATAGATTGATTTTTAATGTTTTTTATCTAAAAATAGTTGTTTTTTTTCAGGAATTGTTTCCCGAAACTCACTAGCAAAGAGGAGCCAGATAAGAAGATCGCTTGGGCAATGTCAGGTAGACTACAAGCCAATTTTACGAGCCAATTTCTCTTTGTCATTGAAAAAAGAAGATATTTCTATAGTTTGCAAAATTCTATTTCATACCAAGAAATATATTAGATTGTTCAGCTAGATTGTTCCAGGTGGTTCTCATTCGATTCCCGCACCGAGGCCACTTCACTCATCAAAATCGCTCAACAATGCTGGGACAATCATCCACGGACAATCACTGAATACACAGTGAGTTATAAAAATTATAGTATATTATATTTTATATATCAATTGATCTTATTTATAAACAACCAGCAGAAACTAGATTGTTCAGCTAGATTGTCCCAGGTGGTTCTCCTGACTCATGGCCTGGCTAAAACCACCCATGTTAAGCCCGTTTTTTTAAAAATAAACCTAACAGTCAGATTCCCCATAGTCGAAAACCCATGGGAGGAAAATATCGCGCGCAAAAGCTGAATACTTTGCCTTTTAATCGATGAAGCAAACGTAATTACGGAGCGTCGCGTTTGCACACCGACAAACAGACAGACAGACAGGCAGGCAGGCAGGCAGACAGACAGACAGATAGACAGACAGATAGACAGAAAGACAGGCAGACAGGCAGACAGGGAGGCAGACAGGCAGACAGACAGACAGACAGACAGGCAGGCAGGCAGACAGGCAGGCAGACAGGAAGGCAGACAGGCAGACGAACAAACAGACAGACAGACAGACAGACTGACTGACGAACAGGCAAACAGAGAGACAGGCAGACAGGCAGACAGACAGGCAGACAGACAGACAGGCAGACAGACAGGCCGACAGGCAGACAGGCAGACAGACAGACAGACAGACAGGCCGGCAGGCAGACAGGCAGGCAGACAGACAAACAGACAGACAGGCAGACGAACAGACAGACAGACAGACAGACAGACGAACAAACAGACGAACAAACAGACTGACAGACGTCTCTTCTTTCTTATCTATATTAGATTTGATAAGCCTCTAACAATAAACTTATTGTTTCTTTTGTAAAGCTAGAAGCTGTTTCTACAAAAATTTCATGAAGTAATTAGAAAAGAATTTGCATATTATCTTAAAAATGAAACATTTCAATGTATTTATCTAGTAAAATTCGCATTTTGACGGTAAAATTAAGCATCTAGTCTTTTTTTTGTTTTCAGGATAGCTTCTTTCAGATTTATTTATTGCATCCTTTACTGACAGATTGTAGAGCATCATTTACTTGTTATTTTGAGTATGTGAAAAAGAATCTATAACTTGTAAAAAGACTTTCTATAGATAGATAGATTTCTATAGATCTCTTTTTTTTGCAGATCCCTTGTCCAAATAGACCCATAATCACTCACAAAAAGAGAACCATCTGTGCCTTTTGTACTCGAGTGTGGGATTGAATGCAAAGAATTAGAGTGAATAGAGAAAAAGAAAGGAAACCCTTATTCAACAACAAATTGGATTAGCACTTTCTCCTAATTTCTCATTGTTTCTTTCTTTCTTTCTTTCTCAAGTAAGTATCTTTCTTTCTTTCTTTCTTTTGTGTAATTCAATCAAGTTTCTTTCTTCAATTTCTTTAATCAAAACTTTTTGTTAGCTCTTCTTTTATATAAATAGTTCATTTTTACATTTTCATTTTGTTTTATAGATTTAAGCTAAGGATTTATCAAGATTGAAGTCTCTTCTCTCTCGGCAATCGAAAGGGAAACGGGTTAATATTCCCGTAACCGGATACGGAGATTTGTACTCTTCTGAGTGCATCGGGCGGTAACGCAAATGAACTCGGTGACACCTAGCTAGGCCCGAGCCAGAGTTCTCTTCTCTGGTTAAGGAACGGACTCGCTGGAAAACGGTTCAGCCGAAGATAGCGACGTTGTTTCCGTAAAGCGTCACGGTTTCTGTGGCGTCTCGTGCGCCTGGCTGGGTGCGAGAGAGAAGAGTCAGAGGTTGAAATTTTCTTTAAAAATAAAGCGAAAGGTTAAGCAGATTAGAGAAAAAGTTATTTTCAGTAAATTTCAAGGCTTTAAAGTTGTTTTTGAATTAAATCTTCTTTCAAATAGTGCTCTACTACAAACTTTTTGCTAAATTAAACGACAAAAAATTGATTTATGTTAGTAAAACTTGGCATAAATCAAGTCCAACTTCTATTAAAATTAGAATCAACTTTTAACTGCTTTCATTCCAATAATAAATTGACTACAATCAACATTTTGATCTCATTTTTTGTCTTGATTATTTGAAAAGGAAAAAGCAAATCGATTAAAGTCCTTAAATTTTTGTTATCTCTCGTAAAAATCTTCTCTTTTCGATGTTGAAGTGAAAAAAAGAGAGGATATTTTAGATAATTGAATCTCTGATTGATTTTAATAGAATTCGCCCTAAATTTGACTAAAGAAGCGTGAAATTTGTTTTGTATACTCTTTGATAAAAACAGATGGCTTTAGATGGTCTATAACTCAAGATATAGAAGTTGAATCAACTTATGGTTGGTTTTAATAGAAACTGCATTAGATTTGGCTATAGAAAAGTAGAAGTTGCTTTGTATACTCTTTAATAAAAACATAGAGAAAAACCGTCTTGAAGTGCGCTAAAGTGTCGTTTTTTTATAGTCAAAATGGCACTTTAGCGCACCTTTCTGTTTTACTCAATAACTCGACTTCCAATTAACAGATCGACTTGAGGTTGATTTTAAAATGATCCTCATGAAATTTGATTATAGAAAACTACAATTTATTTTGTATACTCAAGTGTAAGAACATAGAGAAAATTTGTGTCAAAGTTGAACTACCTACCGGGAAGAGTTGATCAACTTTGACGGTCTATAACTTGAGATATAGAAGTTGAATCAACTTGTAATTGCTTTTAAAAGAATCATCATTAAATTTGACTAAAGAAGCGTGGAATTTGTTTTGTATACTCTTTGATAAAAACATAGAGAAAAACCGTTTTGAAGAGTAGTGCCGTTTTTCGCTAAAGTGCCGCTTTTCTATAGTCAAAATAGTTGCTATTTTAAAATAACTATAGCTGAAGAATAAATCATTAGTGTCATTTCATAATTTTCCATAAAAGATGACCTCTTCTCATGGCCTTGTGTATATGATCCGCCGATTTGGGGTTTGTGGAGAGAAAAGGGGCATCTGGTGCCTCTCATGTGCCAATCTTTCCCACCCAAACACTTTCAACGCTCATAAAATCTAATTCATTACTTTATTACTTTTCAATGTCGAATGTTTGAACTTTAGTATTTACAAATTTATCTTTAATGTTTCCTAGTAAACTTCTTGAAGTTAGAGGTTGGATTTACACTCATCACAAGCTTGTAAAACTTATTTTACCTCAGGCACAAGCTTGTAAAACTTATTTTACAGTCATCACAAGCTTGTAAAGCGTAATTTACGTCAGGCACAAGCTTGTAAAACCTATTTTACTTCAGTCACAAGCTTGTAAAACTTACTTTACGTCAGGCACAAGCTTGTAAAACTTATTTTACATCAGTCACAAGCTTGTAAAACTTACTTTACGTCAGTCACAAGCTTGTAAAACCTATTTTACAGTCATCACAAGCTTGTAAAACTTATTTTTCACCACTTTTTCTAATTAATCACGAATTTATAAGTCATTTTTTCAACATTTGACTTAATTGGCTTAATTGAAATAAAATTTAAGCTTTAATTGTTGTTGTAAAGGCTTATTCTTTTCTAGATTTTTCTTTTCTAAATCTTCTAAACATTTTGCCTATAGAATATATTGAATCTAATCATTTAGCTGGACAAAAGTTCAACTTTGATTCTTTTCCTGACTTCAACAGGAAGGAAAACTCATGAAGTGGATTGGAAATGGAAATGCACTGATCTTTCCCACATCTCATCCACAAAGAAATCTTTGGATCGGGAAAATAAGGACTGAAGAGGAAATAGGTGATCCTTGGGGTAAAGAAAAGAAAAAGAAATGATTTTGTTTATCCTATGTCCTTTCCTCTCATGATCGGTGCAATCATTTCCCCTCTTTTACTCATTTCTCCTTCTCTTTTCATCACCTCTTGACCATTATATCATCGTGTAGATCCATATTCTTTATGTCAATTCGTTTCATAGATCATTATTTATATTTTTTGCTACTATTTCTTAAAAAGTGTGTAATTTGGAAGAGTATTGTAATCTTTCTTACAGAAACAAAGAAACTTTGAAAAGTTATAGCTGATCTTCTCCTTTTTCATCGTTATCTTTGTTTATTCTTAGCTTTTAAGATATTCAGCTAATCGATTGGAATAGCTTAACTTTCAATTGGAAATTCTTTCTTAAAACATTTCATAATTTTTAATTTTAAGGATATTTTTACTGTTTTTCTTTATTCTTTAACAATCTCTCAAATCAAAACTTAATAGAATTACTAGTTAATTGAATTTCTTTACAAAACTCTACTATTATTATTCTAATTCAAGATCATTATTTATATTTTTTGCTACTATTTCTTAAAAAGTGTGTAATTTGGAAGAGTATTGTAATCTTTCTTACAGAAACAAAGAAACTTTGAAATGCTATAGCTGATCATCTTCTCTTTTTTCACCCTTATCTTTGTTTATTCTTAATTTTTAAGATATTCAGCTAATCGATTAGAATAGCTTAACTTTCAATTGGAAATTCTTTCTTAAAACATTTCACAATTTTTAATTTTAAAGATCTTTAAAGATAAAGATTTTAAAGATTTTTACTCAGTTTTTCTTTATTCTTTAACAATCTCTCAAATCAAAACTTAATAGAATTACTAGTTAATTGAATTTCTTTACAAAACTCTACCTCTACAAACTCTACTTTTTGCAATTACTAGTTAATTGAATTTCTTTACAAAACTCTACTATTATTATTCTAATTCAAGATCATTATTTATATTTTTTGCTTTTATTTCTTAAAAAGTGTGTAATTTGGAAGAGTATTGTAATCTTTCTTACAGAAACAAAGAAACTTTGAAATGCTATAGCTGATCATCTTCTCTTTTTTCATCCTTATCTTTGTTTATTCTTAATTTTTAAGATATTCAGCTAATCGATTAGAATAGCTTAACCTTCAATTGGAAACTCGTTCTAATAACATTTCACAATTTTTAATTTTAAAGATTTTTTACTCAGGTTTTCTTTATTCTTTAACAATCTCTTAAATCAAAACCTAATAGAATTACTAGTTAATTGAATTTCTTTACAAAAATCTATCATTATTATTCTAATTGAAGAATTTCTAGACTCTCCCTCGATATGGAGCATCGAACATTGAAATCACGGGAGAACAGCGCGAGTCAGAAGAACATTTTTTCCTATGAGCAATACGATAATGTGTACAATGGAAAACCTCCTGGACCCGCCAGATTGCCCCCGATCTCTGGGGTTAGACCGGTAAGATTGATCGTTTTTCAAAGAAGAAAAGAAATGATTAATCATAATACTGACAAGTGTTGCAATAGTATAGCTGTTTGAATACGTTTGAAAAGACTAGAATAAACCTTGTCAGGAATGAAGCAAGATTTAGAATCTGTATCAGATCAATTTATTACAGAATCAATATTGAACTTTAGTTGACTCCAATCAGTAAAACGAATGAGAAATTTAAGAGATGGAAAACATTGATATTAGACATGGGAAAATTCCAATCCGAACCTAATTCCACCTTCGTTTTCTTAGCCGTCTTTTGACCGATTGTTCTGAAATTTTGTTTACAAATTTCTATTGTCATTCTCTGCTTGTAGACAAAATTTTCAAAGCAATCAGCCAAAAGACGGCTGAGAAAATGAAGCTAGAATTAGGTTCGGATTGAAATTTTCCCATATCTAATTGATACTAGCTCTAGTACTATTACTAGCTTCGAACTTGCACTACTAGCGCTGGTATTCCCATTAGCACCTCTAGTCCAATTGCAAGACAAAGAGCTTTCCCAAATCCTTTCACTACCATTCAATCTGAGAAAGTGACACTAGATTCAGCAAGAAATCTAGAAAAAAAAAACCCTTTCCCAAGTGAGTGATCTCATTGAGAGGTGAGGGGAATCTTTGTCTCAGCGGGGGTCTCCATTTTCACCAAAAAAAAGGAAATTGCCAAATAGCGCCGAAATTCGGAAACTGTTTTTGCAAATGTTTTCCATTTTCTATACAATTTCCTTTCTTTTCCGGACTCTTCAAGGCCTTGCTTTGTCGCCGAAATTTCGCTCACTAAGCAAAAACAGGTCGTTGAGTGGTGGGATTTGATTCGGAAGTTGAGAAATACGAACAAGTGTTGAGAACAATTGTTAAATGAGATTGAAAAAGAACTAAAGAATTTAGAAATCTTATAGCTAGTTAAAAGCCTTATTGTTAGCATTCTTTGATTCTGGTGTTCAAGCTGCTCTGTACTTTGAGCTGTCACAAATGCTTGCTTTCTGGACTGTTCTGGACAGAAACTGAGTGATTTGGTATGCTAAATAGTGTGTGTTTGTACAGACAAAAGTACAGACAAAAGTACAGATTTGCCACTTTGAAACTTACTTTGAAAGTACAGACACAGATTGTACCCCTAGAATTCCCTGCCCCATTACTCACCCATTACTTTCCAAACTTCCATTTCAATCTCAAAGTAAATCTCTTTGTCACCATCGTATAGTGCAACTGTTTTCACAATACTTTAACGATAAAAGAGACGAGCAGCTATTCTTTGCGAGTGATCGAATTTCAAGGACCCAACTTAGGTTTCAGCTCTAGTGTCTGAGTTTCAAACGAGTTTAAAACGATTACTGGTCATTTCCCAATTATTCAACTGCATGACTTCAGCTATAGAGCTTTATTTTGAGAATGTTTTCCCCTGGAGAACTAGTTCTTTGCTGGATAGCTTGTACTTGGTGAGCTTGAGGCTTTATTTCATAAAGACTTTTTTAAAAAGCAAAAAACTCTTGTAAAATTCTATTTCCAGGACGGAACTGATTTGGTTCGACCGATTGCTTTCCGGCCAGTACCATCAGTGAATGATGCGGTCAAGCGTCAATCAGCTGGAGCTTTCAGAAGTGACTTGTAAGTTTGAAAATTTCATTGCCACTTTGAAATCCTAATTTCTTAGGTAAATCTAAAAACTTTAAAGATCTAGTACTCTAAACCATTCATTATTTTAGTGAGAGATCAAGAACTGGTCCATTGAGTTCTTCTCTAAACGGCACCCCGCCAATCCCGACCTCGGCTGTCCCTTCAGCGAAACCAAAAGGAATCCATCAACCAAGCACAAGGTTAGTAAAGTTTTACGAAAAAAAAATACGATTTTCATTCTTTTAACAATTTCGATTCTAGCTTCTCTCAATTCCCGCATCAACGCGCATCAATGGAAAACGAGTACGATACTGTGAATGAATTTTATGAGAAAAATGATGGTAAGCTTAAATTATTCATTAAAATCCATTAAAATCTATTAAAAAATATAGTTTATTAAAGTCTAATCTAATCTAAATCTATTAAAATTTAATTATATAGAAGTTAAAGTCTCTCAATTGCAGCTGGTTCAAACGGATCTGATTACTCTGGAGGAGCTGGGTCGCTTGGACGAAAAATTGGACAACAGAATGGTCATGTTAGCAGTCCGGGAAGTACCAATAAAGTAAGTTAATCAAAATTGTTGTTTATTCTAAAGGAGAAGGCTTTAAAAGTGGAATATTAATGGAAAGAATATTCTAGAAATCTTTCACCTCATCTACTTCATCATCCGTCTCTCGTCATTCATCTGGCGTTCATGTAACCCCATCACCCTCCGATAGTGGAATTGTTGACTATGAGGTGAGGGTTTAATTACAAAAATCTACCGTAAATACTGTAATAGTACCTCACCCCCATAATGACGGTACGGAGCGTTGCGTAGTCTAGCTTTGAACGAGTTTTTCTCAACACTGGTTTAAGCTACAATGCGCATTTAGGTATCAAAAAATAGCTGAATTTCAGGGCTATTTTTTGATACCAAAGACGCATTTTTTGAAAGTACGGATGCTTTGCAAAAAATGAAATACTAAAAAACTTTTGCGACTACGCGACTGTACGAGGGAGGGTGGGGTACTATTACAGTATGCACCGTAATAATATTTACGATAAAATCTTAGTCAATCATTCGGGACAAAGAGAACGAGTTGCGCGAAGTGAGAAACACAATGGAACAAAACGAAGAGATCATTATTAAAGTGTATCAAGAAAAAGAAAGGAATTATAAAAATGAGATCACTGCATTGCGAGCAAGATTGGCAGCAAGTGAGAAAGGTAAGTGAGAAAGGTAAACCAGTAATGTTAGGTAATGAAATAAAAGTATCTAGTAGTAATAAGTAATAGTAATAGTAATAAGTAATAAAAGTATCTTCAGATCTAGTAGGCCTTGTACTTAAAGTCAGAAATAAAAGGGCACAAAATGTTACTTTAGAATCGCTTATAATTCTTCAGCTTAACTTTACATTTTACTTGACTTGATTAGACTTTTATTAGATCTATAGATAAGTTCATTATTTGTTAAATTTTAGGTGAAAACGCTTTGCGAGCTCAGCTTACGTCTTGCCAACGTCAAACTGAATCAATGAGAATCACTGTCGAAGGATTAATGGCTGAGAAAAGAGAATTAGAAAGAAGATGTGCACAATTGGAAAGAGATGTTGCACAGTTGAAAGGACAAAAATGTGCGGATTGTAAAAGATTGAATGGGAATCATCCCGTTTCGCCAAGGATTGCAAAGGTTGAAGTTGCAGAATTTAAATGAATTAGAATCATTAATAGCTGTGAAAATTAGAATCATTAATAGCTAGATTTAGATAAAATTGAGATATCTGTTAATAAGTTCATTCAATTTTAGGAAACCACACCAAACGAAGAGCTCCGAGACGAGGTGAGCCAGCTGAGACGAGAAGTGGCGACACTTCGCGATGCGCTTGGATCAGTTACAATGTTCAACAACAATCATACAGTAATTATATTTTAAAAACTAAAAAATCATTGAAACAATAGTAATATACAAAATACAAAGCTAAACAATAGTTGGAATAGATTACCTTTTTTCTTTCTTTTCTTTTTGCCGTGTTTTCAATTCACCAACCCAATAGATAGTAAAAGCTAGAATTTCATAGCTAGCAAATAGCCCAAATTACTATTTCAATAAAACTAAAATCTTAGAACTTCAATTTTCTAGTTAAAATTCTTAATAAATTCAATAGTTAATCATTATAATATTAAATATTGTGTTATATTTTAACATAAATAAACTTTTCTAGGCGTCAAACATCAACAGAACGCCAAGCGAGCCGAAAATTCCTTCCGGAAGGGATCGATTAATCTAAATTTGATTTCAAAATTCACCCTCTTTACGAGATTTTTGAACGATCTATTCTTTTTTTCTTATTTCTAATGATTTCTATCTGATCCGTGATAAATCCGGCCGTATTTTAAGCAACTAAACAATTGTTTGTTTGAAATATGTGAAAAGTTTAGCAATGAAATCGAAATCGAAATCGAAATCTCTTTTCTTTAGTTTTCTCAACACATTTGTGCTCAATTGTTTTTGATTCCAAAACGAAAATTTGTATAGAAATAGACTTTGAATCTTTAGAAAACTTGGCTTGTAAATTATAGTCGAACATCGATATAATGAACCTAAAAAAATGCCTTAAATTTTCTGCATAGTTGCCCTGGACGGTCACTGATTGCATTTAGTTGGGGGTAACTAGGCAGAAATCCTGGGCAAGTTTTAGAATTTTAAATTCTTTGTATCGAAGTTCAACTGCAATCGAATTTACTTAAAGAATAGTGCAACAAAGTTATTAGAAAATAGATTTTATGGATCAAATATTGTACTATTGTTTTGTTCTATGGTTAGAAATGGAACTGGAAATGGTTCTATGGTTAGAAATGGAACTGGAAATGGTTCTATGGTTAGAAATGGAAATGGAAATGGTTCTATGGTTAGAAATGGAACTGGAAATGGTTCTATGGTTAAAAATGGAACTGGAAATGGAAATGGAACGATTAATTATCGTTAAGTATCCCCTAAACATTGAAGATTATAAACTTTCACTATCTGGATGTGACTCAAGACTGATATATCCAGTATGCAGATACTGAAAGTTTACATTGATTGATGTTTTTTAGTTGAATTATCAGGCTTAATACTTGAAGGGGTACTCCGGCAAAAGAAAAGTCAGTGTTAAATTGGGCACCTATTTTTCACGTCTTCTTAAGTCTTCTTAAGTTAGTTTTCACCTTTTTTTCTAATTATTCTTTTAGAATAGAATGTTTTCTATTAAAAAAACAAAAAAATCTTTAAGATTGCTTTTAAATTTGAGAAAATACATGCAAAAGAAAAGAACCCAAGTGCTAAAATGGAATTGGGCGAAACTTTTATTTATTTTTTGCCCAAATATCGTTTTAAGGTGGAATGGAAAGCAAAATTCAGCAAAAATTCTTCATTTCTCAATTGGAAACCTTGTTTTTCATCTAGGAAATAGTTGTAGAGAAGACTAAAACGCATCGAATAATATATAAATGACCGCGATTCTTGAAAGAAAACCGAAGCCGGATCCGGAGTACCTCTTTAAGCCTCTTTAAGCCGGAGTACCTCTTTAAAATACAGCTAAGTACAGTAGATAACAAGATATCGAAAGTTTTCCAATGACCAAAGTGTTTCATTGAAGTCATTCAAGTCCTTTCTTAGCTGAAACTCTGTTGCGCTATTCAAATTATGTTCAAGATGTTGTAAAGTTTTTCAGTGATCTATTTTACTACAATATTCAGAATATCTTGTTGTAGTGATTGCCAAAAAAAGCTGAAGCTTTACAATATCTTTATATCCTAAAATTTCTAATTCAATCATGTGCTTTACTTTCATTTCCCTCAGTTATTCTTTATTCAGATTTCCCCTTCAGCTTTAGGCTGTGAGAGTAAGGACGATAATTACCCATCTGCCATTTTTCCCATTTCTCCCTTTTTATGAAAGTAAATGTATCCGGTATTGTCTCCCCTTTTTCTTTATGTGTTATATAAAAATCCAATTCTATTCGAAATATATATGCGAAGTCAATTTGTGAATAAATTATATTTATGTAGACAACGGAACTTTACAAGATCATAAAGATTGTACAAGCTTAACACTTGTACAAGCTTGCTTAGCATTTGTACAAGCAAGCTTAGTATTTGTACAAGCAAGCTTAGCATTTGTACAAGCTTAACACTTGTACAAGCTTAACACTTGTACAAGCTTAGCATCTGTACAAGCAAGCTTAGCATTTGTACAAGCAAGCTTAGCATTTGTACAAGCTTAGCATACATCTATCAGTCATTCTTTATAAAACTTCCCAATGCAATGTTTCACTACAGTAAAACAAAGACAACAATAAGCGCTATCAACAAGCGATTTCTTTCAAAAGAATATCTAAAGGCATGCAGTTTTATTGTAACAATTAAGTAACAGAATATTAAGGTTATTAAGGTATTAATTATTAAGGTATTAATTATTAAGGTTATTAAGGTTTCCTGTTATCTCCACAGTTGTTACACTTCTTCACAAGAATTTACACGATCTACAAGCTAAAAATATTCCTTCTTGAAAATGATCTACTGAATCTTGTTGCTTTTGATCAGATATGAAAAACTTTTAGTTGAAAAAAACGTTTTCCCATACTTTCAAACATTTCCATTGGTATGTAAACTGAGGTAAACAGCCCACTTTTGTTCTAATCCTTTTCTTTTCCAAAGAAAAAGTGTAAATGCCTGGGAATGACATTCACTAAAAGAAAGAAAATTCGAATCACATTCGTTGCGTAATTTTTTTTCCTTTGTTTTTGCAAAAGAATTTCTTACTAAATGTTTATTGTCGATTTTGACTCACTTTTAAGAAACTTTTATTACATTTACTTAATGATTTTTGCTATCTTTACAAGACTTTAAATCTTATATCTATAAGTAAATAGGGAAAGTTTTTTATTTTGATTTGTTACTAAATCTTTACCATAATCTTTATCAATATACTGAAGCTAGAAGAGTTAAAGGTCTGCTTGTTCGAGGACAAAACTGTCCTGACGATTAGACTAAGTATCCTATTGCTTTTCCAATCAATCACCGATTAGCATTAGATTGTCGAGGTGGGAATGAGAGAGGGCTTAGGGTAATCGAGTAAATTGGTGTTGGGGGTAAGAAAGGAAGGGTGGTGAGGAAGAGCGTGTTCGGACATCGATTATGCATGTATCCGGAGGGGTGAAAGGGGACAGGCTTAGGATGTCTCCCCTCCCCAATCCAGCCGCTATTCACCACCTTTGCACCCCTCCCCATTTCCCTTTCCATTCTCGACCCCAATTCTGTTGTGCAGAAAGGTTGATCCTGAGAAAGAGGTTTCTTTGCTCTTTCTTTGCTCTTTCTTTGCTCAAACCTGTTCAATCCAGCTTACCAATCTGTTTCTGCTAGTATCAAAAGTTTTGTTAGAATAATAGAATCTGTGTATTTTTATGATCAACACTAATTTTAACTTGATATGACATTTTTCAGATTATAAAGCTACCATTACTCTAGCATTAGATTTAAGCTACATTACTAGTAATAACAGACTGGTAACAGAATAATAATTGGCTTAAATCTGGCATCTAAATCTTTATCTTTATAAAATTTCTTTCTCTAAGTGTTTTAACCTTTTAAGAATTGCTGGCATTTGGCAAGCGCTAGAGAAACAATTCTATTGATCAATAACAATTGCTCTGTAAACAACTGGAATTCTCGTAAACAACGGCTGATTCAACACTCTAATTCCACATTGAACATTGAAGTAATTTTCACAGATTTCTTCTTTTTTTTTAATTCCCCAGAGTGTTCGATTTCAGTCGATCGTTTTGACAAAAGGCCAATTTTGGGAGTGTGCGGGGAATCTCATTGAAGAGTTTGTTGAGAGAAATGAGCAAACATGAAATCTTTTCCACTCTTTTCCAATGCTTTCGTCACATTCTTTGAATTTGATTGACTTCTATATCTGAAGAGATGTTAAATCATTCTTAAAAGTTTCAAAATTTCTACTTTACAATCACCAGTTAGTCACCAGTTAGCTTGCAAAACACAAAAACATTTGTTCGCTTGAAAAAAAACTTCAAAAAGGTGGTTCTAGTATGACAGAAAGCGTTTGTTTACGGTTTTTAAAGCTCAAAGTACACAAATAGCTAAGTTAAAAGATATTCAGTAAAAAAAAAGATACCTTTTTGAAAGTTTCAGTTCAAATTCACTAACACTATTGTTGAATTTACTGAAATTCTTTAAAAAAACCCTTTCCTGATCGACAATCATCATTTTACCTTTCACTCTTTTTCTTAATCCTTACTCAAACATCGACATTTCATCTTTTTTTCCATTTCCATTTCTATTTTCACAAATTTCTCTCTTTTATACCTCTATGCCGATCCTTATCAGATTCTCCTCTTTTTGGAAGTTTTGTGAAGGAAAGGGAGAGTTTTGGCGCTCGTGAACTGACTCATTGAGAGCCACTTTTCTGTTAGTCATGTGAAAACATCAAAAAAGACATTGAATTCAACACTTTAAAGGGTTTTTCTTTTGCAAATCTTCTTTCTTTGGTGGAATTTGTTATTGTACCTGAGGCTTTCACTAATTATAGTATAGCAAACTCTTCTTACCTTGCTTAAACTTAAATATCAACTTCTGAAGATCCAAATCAATCATTTTTCAGTAATCAATCAATTTTGCATAACTTTTTTTTAACTCTTTTCTTTGCTCTTGCTATTATTTTATTGCACTTATCATTTTTAAATACCGTATTTCTTCGAATAGAAGACCGGGTAAAGAGTATCATCGCGTACTCCCGCGTAGCAGCAGCCCTTTTTAAAATTTCTTTTCTGCATAAAAGCTTTCAATCAAGTGCTATAGGGCTGGAAAATGGCTCAAAAATCTGTTAGCTCATGTGGTATTTTTGAGTCATTTTCCAGCCCTATAGCACTTCATTGAAAGCTTTTATGCAGAAAAGAAATTTTAAAAAGGGCTGCTACGCAGGCGTACGCGATCATACTCTTTACCCGGTCTTCTATTCGAAGAAATACGGTAGTACAAAAAGCTAGATATTAGATGATTTTAGTGATGGTATACAGATTTTTCTGAAGAAAAAGAAAAACTTTCAATTTTCTTTCAATCTTTTTCTTTCTTTCACTTGCAATTCCCCATTATTCTTCATCTTTTGTAATTTTCTTTTTTTTTATTGTAGAACAACTATTCTTTTGATGAATCAACGGAAGTGGGTGGTTGGTTTTCTCTGAAAGTCTCAAACAATGCAGACAAAACATTGATTTATCAGAAAAGTGACGGAGAACCTGGGGAAATAGAGATCTGTAGGGAAATATTGCTTAATAATAATAGAATTGATTTGGATTTTATTTGTCTTGTAAGTTTGTAAGTTTTTTTAATCTTGATTTGTTATCTTAACTTAAGCTAGAAAACTTTGAGCAATAGAATCTTTTATAAGTATTTTATAAGTAGTATAGCAATAGAATCTAATTCTAATCAAAAATCCAGCTCTATTCTAATCAAAATCCAGTTCTAAATTTTCTAATTCTAATCCTTTATGTCTTGTCTTTGAATTTCAATCAATTTTACAAACCTTTCCCGATATTTTACAGCTCTACAACTTGTTTACAATGGGTTTTGTGAGGGAGAAATTTGGAGATGAGCATTCGTTTCACTGAGAAGTGTGGAGGAGACGAGAAGAGGAGTAATGTTCTGAGTTCAGTTTAGGGGCAGTAGAAGGGTAGAAGAGGAGTATTTGTATCGAGGAGTTCCCCTCAATCGACAGAGATTGGGGGAAAGGGAGGGGTGTTGACTGTCCGGCTTCTCCTTCCCCCGAACACCCCTTCCTTGGACCCTAAAGATGAAATGACAGAACCGTTTCCCCTCCCGTTTCAAACCCTTTTCTACTTTCTTTTCTTCTTGTTAGCTGATTTATGGCTGGTTTCTTTTTTTGTGAAAATCTTTGAGCCCAATTCTTTACCTAGACTTCTGCAGGGAAATTTAAGATATTGAAGTTGTATAGCTGTTTATGGAATTTGAGATATTGGAGCTGTACCTATATTTCATTACTATATCTAGTTAATATCCGTTTTTACCTACCGTAAATACTGTAATAGTACCCCACCCCCCTCGTACAGTCGCGTAGTCGCAAAAGTTTTTTAGTATTTCATTCTTTTTCAAAGCGCCCGTACTTTCAAAAAATGCGTCTTTGGTATCAAAAAATAGCTGAAATTCAGGGCTATTTTTTGATACCGAAGCGCGCATTGTAGCATAAACCAGTGTCGAGAAAAACTCGTTCAAAACTAGACTACGCAACACTCCGCACCGTCATTATCTTTGGTATCAAAAAATAGCCCTAAATTTTAGCTATTTTTTGATACCTAAGCGAGCATTGTAGCATAAACCAGTGTCGAGAAAAACTCGTTCAAAGCTAGACTACGCAACGCTCCGCACCGTCATTATGGGGGTGGGGTACTATTACAGTATTTACGGTATCTATTCTATTGATTGATCGTTATTTCAAAATTCAATCAGTAGAAAGATCTGTCTTTTCATCGAATTGCTTGAAAGTCAACTATAGTCTTACGAAATTCTCAAGAGGAGCCGAATATAGGCTAATTCGTCAAGGGTACGGGAGTGTGGTCCGGTTAGTCGATGGAGTCCCTAGAGCTGACTTGACGAGGTCTTTCTCATCTTGGCATTAGGGGGTTCCCCTTACCCCATCGATAGGGATGGGTGAAGGGGATGGTGCCAGCTGCGGGCCCTTCCCGTTGTCCCCATTCCCTGACCACAACAAAATATGACGCCCCCTTTCCGCCTTATTTCCTTTCTCTTTTCCCATCCAGGCTCGATTCTTTATATCCAACGTTATATCCAATAGCTTGAATGGTATTATATCCAAATTTTCTTAGTTTCATTAAATACAGCTTGTCTAGTCAGTTCTTATCCAATGCCTAGTCTAAAAGTGGCTTTGCTTTAAACAGATTTCTGCTAAACTTTCGTTAACATTATTTCGTTAGTCCTTTTTTGCTCCTTCATATTTCTTCGATGATTGTTGCAAATGATTCGGCGATGATTCACTTTTGCAGATGTTTAGCTTTAAAAAACGGGAAACCGGGATAGACACAGCTGTGCATTTTTTTTAATAATCAAAAAGTGGAACTGAAATTGAAACCCCGGTGTGAAAGTGAAAATACTTATGGGTAAACGGTAGCCAAAGAACAGGGTAAGCTTTCGTTTATCTCCAGATGATTGCAAAAAGGTGATTGAAAGAAGAAGGAACTCTTTGGTTACTAGGACAAATAAAGAGCAAAGGTTGCTGGGGATTCCCCTCTTTGTACAGTCGTCACTTTCCCTTAAAGGGGTCTTCTCTCTTTATTTCTCCTTCACTTCCCCGCCACTCCTCTCTATCGATTTCATTTCCCTTAGCCACATCTCGTAAGCATCCAAATGGATACCCAATAATTAGTGCTTTCAGCTTATCGACTCGATCATGAATCTATAATTTACGTGAAGCTTAAGCATAGACTTGGGTAAATTGTTTTTGGTTCTCAAAAGTAGGTTCATATTTTTCAAAGGTTCTTTTGAAATTTAAAACCTAATCCAGTAACTGGATTGATCGTTCATTTACTCAATTTTTATAGTTTAGCTTAACTAGATCCTTTTTTCAGTTGATTAGAAGATTTAGATTTAGTTACGATTTCGTTAGTTTGTTTGTTCCAAGTCTAGCTACATCAATCGTAGTCTGTAAAACAACAAACTAATCTTGATCTAATTGTAATAATTACGAATTTACCACTTTCTATGATTCGATGGTTTAATTACTTTCTATGGTTTTGATTTAAACCTTTTTGTATTATCTAGTAAACCAAATTTACGTATCATTTTCTGTTAATAATCAAAGAGTTCCCAAAAGAATAATAGCTTACCTTTGCTTAAAGCTATTGCCTTGTGATTAACGAGGCTGGGGAAATACGATGAGTGCGGGAATTTTTTTGTCAGTGTGCAAGTGGCTATAGCGCACACAGACAAGTGACCAATTGGGGCGTCACCTGACTCCTCTCGTGTGCAAGAGTCTTCTCTTCGTCAACCCATTCGTGCTCCTTCACCTCTCGCTGGACTGGTGTGTGCCCCCTTTTCTACTCTAGACGAAGATCTCTCTTCCTCCCGTGAGCGAAGGCTATTTTGAAACGTCCCCCCTTTTCTTTTCTTTTCTTTTACCCTCTCCTTTTCTCTCTATTTCCCCCCGAAAACGACCGCCAATCGATTTCCTCCACCAACAACCTCCCCTTTCAAACCACCCCCAAAAAATCTTTGTGTGCAAATTTTTATTGGCTCAAATTCGCGCCGATAGCTTTCTTTTGCTTCTTTTTACTAGCTTCCGGTGCTTTCGGTTAAAGCAATATTTTGAAAAAATAAAATATTATTTTATAACATTGAAAGAATGTAAGAATTTAGATTAAAAATTAAGTGCAAATATTTTATTCCTTTAAAGATATTTAGTTAATCAATTGAAATTCTGGCATTGAAATCTAAGATTAATCTTTGGTAAAATCTTTTTTCTCTCTTTTTAATCGTGATCAATAGAAAATGCGTGGTTATTTCGAAATGTGTCGACAAAAAGGTTTTAGTGTTTTCTTTTTATTGTTAACTTTTTAATTCTTACGTCATTGAAGACTAATCTTTAATGTTTAGGGATCAACCCGCTATTCGCTATGGCCGAGGCCACTGCGAATTGGGGAGATTTATGGGTGAGTGATCATTTCTTTCAAATTTGATGTAAATTTGATGCAATGAAATGTGACAACGAATAAAAGTCGGTTTTTATGAGATAGAGCTGCAAGTTTTCTAACAATAAAGTAGCTTTTGAATATGATTTGTCTAATAGTAATGAGGCACAAGAACCATGCAAGCTGAAAAAACGGTTTTGGAAGCTTTTTCTTGGTTCGTTCAAGAATTTCAGTCAGATTCTTGGGGATGCCAGCGAAAGTTTAACTGCCTGATGGGTACAATGATTTTATCCAGTTGATTCATCGAAATCGAACGCGTTGATTCAGCAAGTGCTTTGATAGTTTGAATAGATATTTTTGAATAACAATCACTGTTTGTTGAATGCCAAAAAGGTTGCCGTTATCACGAATTCACCGCGAAATTCTAATGTATTTAAAGCTTTCTCCCTCTTTTTCGCAAACGTTGGCAAACACTAGCTCTTTCAGGTCGTTCTCTCTATTTTTAAAGGCATGCTAATCTCAACACGGTCCGATTCACGCGAGTCTTTATATTGCTTTGCCTTTCCGCTCAACGCCCGCTATACAAAAACTGGTCGACTTCTAAATTTTTTGACTTTGCTCGTTCTAAAATGAAACGAAGTTTTTCATCATTAATTCTATTCGATAATTCATCTATTTTGGACACTTTTGCTACGAAAGCAAACGTTATCTATCAAAATCTTTTTGATAACTCCCTACTTAAGGATCAAAAGGTATTAAAAAAGAGTTAGGAGTGTCTGTACCTGTTTTACAATTAGCAATTACTAGTACTTGGACCAAACTTTGGGTAGAGAGTGATTTTTACCCTTCATGACACCGAGATCTGAAAATTGCGGGTTAGGTTGGGTGATAACTGGTCGCAACGCGCTCCAAAAAATGCTGCAATCATTTTTAAATATTTTGCCATAAGGTAGTCAGCCTTTTTATTCTATGAAACTGTTATTAAATCATTTAAAAAATCAACGAAAGTTTAAGGCAAGATTTTCACGGTTATTTAACAACATTTAACAATTTTCTTTTTTTAGGATCAGGCCGATGCGGTGTCCAATCACTCTTTGAAAGGAATAGAGTTTCTGGAAAAAGTCGGCAACTTCGTCAAAGAACGAGCATCAATTGAAGAGGAATACGCGGCAAAACTAAGGTTTGTTTTTGGAAATTCAAGTAAAGTTTTACTTAGAAAGCAAGCTAGGGCTGAGAGGTAGGAAAAAGTTTTAGCTTATTGCTTTAACTTCCAAATCCTGAGTCTATTTTAAAGTCGTTATTGTTTATATATTCCATTTTAAAAATTTTTAGAGCGCTGGCAAAGAAGAGTCAAGGGAAAAAGAAAGAAGACGAAGACGCGAAAGCTTTCACCTATGTGCGATCTTTTAACAACTTGCTACGAGAAGTCGAAAGTCTTGCAGCGCAGCATGAAGTTTTTCATTGAAGGTTGCCTATGACAATTTTATTTAGGTTATTGCCGAGCGTTTGAAGAAAGAAGTGGTGCCGTTTGTAACGATGCAATCGAACACACATCGGCAATCGAGGAAACAGTGTCTTGGCGATCTACAGCAAATTCATCAGAACTTGAACGCCTCGATTGAACATCACTTCAAACAACAAAAATCTTACGGGTTGGTTCTACTGCTCTTAAGAACGTACAATCGTCATCAAAGATAAAGCAACGTGATAAGTTATTGCGAATTCTAGATTATCTTTTTTTTTTAGGAAAACCTTCAAAGAAGCAGAAGCTGCGTACCTCAAGTACTACAAAGCTGAGAAGAACATGGAAATATCGAGGCTCGATTTAGAAAAGGCGAAAAACAATGCTCAGGTTAAACTTTTTCAAAAGATTTATTAAATTTAAAAGTTTTAGTCAAGAAACTACTCGTGCGAACAAGCGAAACAAGCCTACGCAAGCGCTCTTGATTCTGCGAATGAGGCTCAACGAGTACATTACACTACCCTTCTGCCGCAAGTTTTGGAAAAAATGAGGGTTTGTGATGATTATCGCTAAAAGCACTGTTTTGCTTTAGCTGGTCGATGAAGAAAGAATAAAAGACACTCGACAAGCGATGGACTTATCTGTTTCAATTGAAGTAGAGGTTACTCCGATCATTTCAAGGTTTTGTTTGATTGTTGTTCTTTAACAAGTTTCTTTAGGTGTCATCAAGATATGAAAGGAGCGATTTCCCAAATCTGTGAAACGAGAGATAGTGCAACTGTTGTCGAATCTTTTCGGTAGTATTTTCTTTTTGTATCACATAATAGTTTTTACAGAACTGGCTACAAACATCCGTTGCCGTTTCCATTCGAGGATCTTGGCCGACCGGAGGAGATTTTAACAGCTGGACCCAATGGCGAACCCGGTGATGCTACTTTGAAAAGGTAATATTTCAAATGTATTTTAAATATGATTTACCTATGTTTAGGGGAATGCTTGGTGCTCCAAAGAAGGATGGAGGCAAGTCGGTGACTCGCAAGCAAAGCATGCATCAAAAGATCTTTGGCGGTGGCGAAAAGAAAACGGTTCGTTGTTGAAGTTTTAACATTAATGAGCCTTTTTAGAATGATTCTGATTATGGAACATTGCCGCCACAACAACGGGCCCGGAAGCTCCAAGAAAAGATCTCCGAATTGGAAGGCGCTATGCGGAAAAGTGCACAAGCCCACGATGGACTACAGCGAATGCAATCGGTGAGTGTCAAAATTTTTTTTACCATTTTCTGGGCAAATTCTTGAATATTGAATATGCTGATAAACTAGCTTGCTTAGACCTATAAAGAAAACCCTCGTCTTGGCAACCCATCGGATTGTGATGCGCAGATAGCCCAATACGCAAAAGAAATTGACGCTCTTCAACAACAAATTAGCAAACTAACTTTACTTCTCAATTCGGCGAATCGGGAAATGGGTATGAATTTCGATAAATTTCTTTGCTATCTTGTCAATTTAGGTGGCGGTGATTCAACACCAATTTCGATGCGATCACTCGACTCTACAGCCCACTCCGTTCACTCGGGCCACTCCTTTGAGCCACCACCACGACCAAATCCGCCTGCGAGTCAATCCAGTCAACGTACTTCTTACAGGTAACGAAAGAATGTCGTTTAGTATTTTGATTGCTGTATTTAGTGAGGAAAGCGTCTCTAGCGAAGGAAGCCGAACGAACGGACATGCTCCCACTTGTCGAGAAGAGGTTATAAAGTTGTGAGTTGCTCTTCTCAAAATAGTTTTAGGTTTATGAAGAACCCGCGCTTGGGACATGTGTCGCCCTATTTCCATTCGAAGGATCAACTGATGGCACAATGAAGTTGGCAGAAGGCGAGGAGTACTTGCTGCTAGAAAAGGTAAATTTTTGTTTATAATTTTTTTTTATATCTTTTCGAAAGATATACACCACCATTTTTGCTATAATTCTTTTTAGGATGAGGGCGATGGCTGGACACGAGTGCGAAAGATTGATGGAGCGTTTGAAGGCTTCGTTCCGACGAGTTATCTAAAGTGTAAGTACTATCCCGAATAGGCTCCATCTATCATTGCTCTGCACATCCCCTGATTCGAGTTTGATCCCGACCCTTTTCAAAAACCCATTTCTTGATACATTACTTGTGTATGTGTATACCGGTTTCATTGAATTATGAGAGTTTTATTGATTCCGTTATTGTTTGTTTTAACCATATTGGTCTATAATTTTCTTTGACTAACTTTTATTGGCTAAATCTTTGTGCGATTATTTGAAAAATGTGAATATGCTTTTACTGATCAAATTTTCTCATTTGTTGAATACTGTTTTATCCATCCCTCTTATAATCGTATGCACTTTTGAAAGAGACTTTGCCTTTTGGGTGATGAGTCTTCTAGTCTAGCTTGTTTTGCTTCCCAGACCTAGATCCATCTGTTGTGAGCATGAAAAATTTTTGAATTCGAAGAAGTTTAACCGATCGCTCACAGCAGTAGTCATTTTTCGTCTCGTGCCTCTAGATTCATTTGTATTCGACGATTTGCAAATGATATTTCTGTTACTTTAAAAATGCTCTCGTGTGTGTCTCGGGTCGCCTCATTTTAGACATTTTCCTATTGAAGTATATTCATTCTTTCATTGCATCCTTTATTCTTCCATTTATTTTCTTTTTTTGTAAAGCTCTCCTTTGATTTTTTTTTCAGTTCAAAGTGGTGGCATTATAAATGTATTTTATCATTTGGAAAACATAAAATGTGTCCATTTAGGCGGAAAACGAAAAACGTAATTGATATGCAGAAAAAGGAAAAACCTAGTAATGGACGGCGCAACATCAAAAAGTCAACAATCAGCGTATCACAGAGATGTGAAGAAAAAGTTGATTAGGCGAGAGAGAAATTTAGAAGGAATGTGTCATAGATTTTAGAATAATTGAAAGGCTAACTATGTGGACTTCTAGGTGAATCGTCTTCTATGTTAGCGAGAGGAGCTCGAATCGGTGGGAATTGTTGCTGTTGTTTTGATTGATCGCCCACTCCACTCTCCAAGTCAGCACTTTTACCGCTACCCTGTTTGGTCGGAATTGTGGCAGTGGAGGTGCTGGCTGAATCGAGCATTCGCTCTTGTTTGATCACGTAACGACGTCGAGAATGACCGCTGAAATTGAGAGATTTGTGAAATCGCAAGAAATTTAGTTTTTGGTATTGTTGCTACTTACACGCTCTCACTATCACTTTCCACTCGTCGAGTCGGACTGACGGAAATTCGGAAGCGTCGCGTCGGAGAAGCCGATCTTCTCATCTCATCTTGTGAATCGGCGCTTTGTTCTGGGTCAGCCTAAACTTGTTTGACTTATAAAATTGAGAAGATAAAAGAAGGGAGAACAATTCTATGAACAATTCTACCAGAAGAATGAACTTTCGACTTTCTAGATTGAAACTTAAATCTTGTTTTTTTTTACAAACCATTGATTTACTCATTGTTCTCGGACTGTGAACCTTCTCGGGACTTCTCGAAGCAGGACGCGGATATTGGGGTCGATTGATGGGTAATGGAGATCGCATTTGGAGTTGCCGGCGTCTTTCTTTCACCTATTTTTCTTGTAAAAGGTGGATTCATTAAAGAAATACCTCATCAATTGACGGCCATGGTTGAAATTCGGGTGCGGTGTTCTTTGGATCGAATTTGTTGGACGGTGAGGTGCCATTCGTTGAGATCTCCGTTTCGGACGGGGTTTCTTTTGTGGGGATGGGTTGGCTGAGTTGTTTCTCGGGTGGTGATTGGGGTGTCACCTCGGCGGAGTCTCGTTTCGTTTCTGAAATCGAGGCGAGAATAATCTTTGAAGCTAAAGATAGCTAAATTTGTCTAAAATGAATTTACAATTCTTCGTTCCCTTTTATCCACTGAACGACATTGTATTTTAAATCACTGTACGTTTTTTACCTTCTTCAAGAGTCGGTTGCAATGGTCGATGAGTCGGCACTCTTGGCGGCTCTTCCCTTCTCGCCAACTTTCCACTACCCGCTTGTATCATCCTGAATTTTTAGCTTTAAAAGATTTTGAATCATTTTATGCTATGTATACGCTAACAAGACAAAACGGAGCCATGCAGTAATGAGAAACAAAAAATTGTTCTTCTATTGTTCTTCTATTTTCAAACATACACTGGCATCCCGGTTTCCTCATTGGTGAACTCGTAAATTGATATGTACGAAGAGCGTTTACTTGAGCGTCTGAAAAAAGGAAAAAGCACACATTGGGTTTGGGGGAAAGAGGAGTCAACAGAAATTGTGGGTAAATGAGTCATGCTAAACGACATTAGGCGACAAATTAGGGTAGATTGAATATCTTGGATTTGGGTTAAGGGAATTTACATTGGCGAAACGTTTACCTGGATCCTCCAGCAATGACAAAAGTGGGTGGAGAGGCGATGTCTTTGGGGAAACCTTTGAGAATTGATGAAGTTGTTGAGAAGCGACCGTCCATCAACGGTTTTATCAAGCTTCTGAAAGGTGAGTGAATGGGATTTCACGCTTGTAAGTCAGCACACTAAGAGTTAATCTCTCTCTCAATCTTTAAGAGTTAATCTTTCCACGCTAATATCGATACTCGATTTGCTTTGCTTAGCTTTGCTTAGCTTTGCTTATCGATAAGAATCGATATCGGTATCGATACTCGATAAACGTATCGATAAGCCTTTTCAGTATGCTAGCTCATTCCCTTACCTAATTTCTTCGGGTGTCGCCACTTCAACGACATTGCTGTGGACATCGAAAGACGTGTTCGATGGGGATTCACGCCATGGGCGGCTCTGAGAAAAAAGATTGGAAATGGATATTTCTACAAGCTAAGAAAATCGATTGAAAATCCAGTGAATTCTAAATCTTCTCACCCTTTCTACACTATGGCTATGGCTATGTGAACGTGGAATGACATCTGGACGATCTTTTGGTGGAGTGGTTTCACTACTGTGCTCGGCCAGTGAGCTAAAAGGTTTTTTTTATTGATCGAATTTTTAGACATTCAGACCGGCTGTTCAGATTCAGATTCTATTAAACATAGAATCGCTAGTTAATAAACCATTTTCTAAAGTGCAACATCTACCACACTTCAAGTCTACGATTATAAAATGAAAACTTGCCCAAGACTTGGATGAAATTGTGACATAGCTGGCAGAGTCTCGGCTGTACTTGATGGAATAGCTGAAGGCAAAGGTCTAGTTGAAGGCTCTTGACTCTCCGGTAAATCTTCAACTTCTGTATCCGATTCAGAGTCTGACACAACGAGTGAATCATCATAATCTTTCTGAAAGGAATTGTTTCAATAATTCTGAATTTCTTTTACTCCATTGTGTTGCCGCCAAGGCTGTCGGCGTTTCTGCTCGATCTCGGTGAGATGTTGTGGCATTTGTGGTCGTTTCTTATCCTTATCTCTATTTACTTCAGGTTGTTTCTTTTTCGCTCCACCACCAGCTAATTCGAAGATCTTTTTCTTCTCCTCGGTTCGTTCCTGAAAGTTTAATTGAATTGTAATCGATAACCGACAAGAGCTTTGATAACAGAAGTGATTTTGGTATAATGTAAATTGGGAAGTCAAAGTTTTGGAGCTGTTCTAGATCAAGGTTCTGGAACTGTTCTGGATGAAAGTTCTAGAGCTGTTCTAGATCAAGGTTCTGAACTGTTCTGGATGAAGTTCTAGAGCTGTTCTAGATCAAAGTTCTAGAGCTGTTCTAGATCAAGGTTCTGGAACTGTTCTGGATGAAAGTTCTAGAGCTGTTCTAGATCAAGGATCTAAAGCTGTTCTAGATCAAGGATCTAGAGCTGTTCTAGATCAAAGTTCCAGAGCTGTTCTAGATCAAAGTTCTAAAGCTTTTTTGGATCAAAGTTCTGGAATACTTACATGAACAAGTTGTTGCTGTAGATCGGTGTTAGCAGCACGGAGTCCGGTCACCAGAGAAGTTAAAAAGTAGATGATTAAGCTGTAAAGAAAGGCTGTAAAGCTGTAAAACTTTTACAGAAATCACAAGAAAATACTTACACAAGAAAGATGATAATCGGAATGACGACCCCGGGCGAAGCGATGTGTTTCGCGTAGCCGAGTATCGTTGCGTCGACTTTACTCTGGATCAAATCGGTGACAACTGTGTAGAAACCGTCACGACCACTAGAAATCAGATACTGTAATTAGTCTAGCAAATCTTAAAGTATTAAAAATAAATTCAGTTTTCTTTTTAAACTTACGCAAACGGTCCACAATTTGTCGATGGTTTTCGGCTGCCGATTACATAACCGACCTAAATCATTTTATTTTTTACAAAAACTAAACAATTTCATAAAGAAATCAATAAATAACAAAAGATTTTCTGTAAAAATTTTCTTTATTTATTTGTTTAATAAACTTTTCTTCTTTTTATTTAATAGAAACAGACCGGCAAAGTGCACATCAACAGCCATAGCAGTAAAATTGTCAAGTAGAAATTTGATGATCTAAATTATAATGATTTAAAGAATAAGAATAGTAAGAATAGTGAATCGCTTAAAAGCCTTAAGCTTTACTTTTAAAGTTTTATGTTACACTTACGGTGTAGGCTTGTTTCCGCAGTTTGTTTTGCGCAACTCGCCATAACTTTCTTCTAAGTAAGCCAATCTTTATGATTTTGATTTCATTTTGTCCTTTACCCTTTTTTGCATTCTAAAAACAAAAACATTTTTTTTCCTTTTTCCCCGCCTCTTTTTTCCCCGCCATCCATCCCTTTTTTTAGTGCCCCTTTTTGGTTTTGGTTTTATTTTGTAGATCTCAATAAGTGCAACAAAACGACACCAAAGTCATAAAGATTGGCGTATTTAGAAGAAAGTTATAGTGAGTTGCGCAAATGATCCTGTTGCGCAAAAAAAATTGCGGAAACTAGCCTACACCGTAAGTGTAACATAAAACTTTAAAAGCAAAGCTTAAGGCTTTTAAGCGACTCACTAAACATGGAAACATATGTCTTTTTTTTGCGCAATAGGATCATTTGCGCAACTCGCCATAACTTTCTTCTAAGTAAGCCAATCTTTATGATTTTGAATACATTTTGTTGCACTTATTGAGATCTACAAAATGAAATCAAAATCATAAAGATTGGCTTACTTAGAAGAAAGTTATAGGAGTCGCGCAAACGATCCAGTTGCGCAAATGACCTAGTTGCTTTTGGTTTCATTTTGTAGATCTCAATAAGTGCAACAAAATGAATTCAAAATCATAAAGATTGGTCGACTTAGAAGAAAGTTATGGCGAGTTGCGCAAACGATCCAGTTGCGCAAAACAAATTGCGGAAACTAGCCTACCCCCCACTTACACTTCAAAACCTATTTTTGCCAAGAGTTTGACTCTCCGTTTAGCTATCCAAATATAGACAAAATAAAACATTGCAAAAAAATAATAGATAAATAGCTGATGAATTGGAAAGAAGCCAATGAGTACATGCAAATGTTTTAGGATTGAAATGGATTGGGGATGGACACTTGCGCGTCACCTGTTCACATCACACTAATCTAGACCTCTATTCGATTGGATTTTGCTTTTTTTCTGTGCTTTTTTGTGTGCCTTTCTTATTCAAAAAGCTCTTTTACACATCATATAGAAAAATTGACTTGAAAATTTGGCTTTTTGATGGTTTTTGTTGATCATTTGACTTCAAATGAGTTGCGACTAATCGCTTATCCGAAATTTGCAATATTCTCAAGATTCTCAAGCTCTCTCAAGATCATATAAAGTGCTAATAACGTCTGGTATGTATCTAAACAATTCTAGAACAATTTGAAAGCTAATGAAAGATTTGAAAGCTTCATTTGATGTTGTTGCAAGAAATTTGAAAGCTATTCTTCTTGATGAACACTTTTTTATTACTTTAATACTTTGAATTCGAAATCTTTTTACTTTATAGAAAGTACAAGAGGTTTTAAAAGTTAATAAGTGAAAGTTGAATCTACCTGGATGCTCGAAAGATCTCTCTAGCGGGTACATTGCATGTCATACAAGCCCATCCACGTAGATACAGCACGATGATCAGTTTGATGTTGTTGAGAAAAGGAAGGAGAGGAGCGAAGAAGAGTCCTGAATATTTGAATTCTTTATTTGAAAAGTTCTAAACATGATAAAATGAAGATTTAAAAAAATTATTTGGTACATGCATAAGAAATGCGGATTTCAACATTTTCATAAATTTCGAACGATAGAAATCTGATATCGATGAATGTTATATACTATTTGAAAGTTATAAATCTCCTCTACAAAATAGGCTAAAATGTTTTTCAATTGATCGAAGCATTGAAGAAATTTCGAGGCCGAAATGCGAGTGACCAAAAAAAGGGAATCGAGTCACTTTAGGGACAAGTTTAGTGTGGTCAAAATAAAGTTAGCTTCCCAAAATTGGACGTTTATAGTGGAAAATTTTGCTATTCATCTAGAAAGATTTAAAAAAGAAAGATTTCTTTAGACTGACTATGAAATTTCAAAGAAAAATTCAGCTGATTTTTGAGAGAAATTCAAGCGACTAAGCATTTGAGTTGATTCTAGCGATATATTGTCATTTAAAAGACTTGATCTTTACTTGTAAAGCCTTAAATTTCACATAAATTTACTCTAATTACAAACGGTACTTATGGGTTTGAGATAGTGCATCCTTAAGCACTTGACTAAGTCTATAACGACGCTTTTCTTAGTTTAGCTTAACCTTTATCTACTATAATTTAAACTAGAAGTTTAATTTAAACAGTTTAATAGAAACAGTTTAATTTCAACAGTTTAATTTAAACAGTTTAATAGAAACATTCACTTACCTAGCCAGATCATTCCTTGATTGTTGATGATATGCAGCACATTCTCTGCCACTTTAAACTCTCCGTACTCGGGCTGAAAGAATGAACTTGTCTTGATATCTTTTCTACTACTAAAGTAGATGTTTTTCATTCTTGAGCACAAGTACATTACAATATTTATGGAAACCAATAGGTTTAAAGCTCGTTTTATACAAATCTAATGTTAAAAAGGTGAAAAACATATCAAAAACATCTACTTTAACAAGTTTAAGTCACTTTCTTTCAAAATTATTGTCTTTTACGTTGATGTTTGTCTAAAAACTCTTGTGAAAACCAAAATAGTAAAGAATCTCTTATTATTAAACAAGGATAACTAATCTAAAGAAAATCTAATGGCTCTTGCGTAGTTTGCGGGTATTTTGAACGGGTCGTCACGCTTTAAAAGCCTATAACTTTCTCCAGAGATTATATTTTGATTAACTTTTTATATCATTGTACAGAGGACATTTCAGACTTTCAAATGATACCAAATAAAGCTTGACTGGATTTTTCATTCCCATGCAAACAAGGCGACATGACACCCGACTTGGATAGGCCTCATTTGCTCAGAGTTGGCTCTGATTTTCTTGGACTGGATTATCCAAAGAAGCTCTATTTGTTATCATTTGAAAGTCTGAAATGTCCTCTGTACAATGATATAAAAAGTTAACAAAAATACTAGGTCTGGAGAAAGTTATAGGCCTTCAAAGCGTGACGACCCGTTCAAAATACCCGGAAATTACGCAAGAGCCGATTTGACTTCTTTAGATCGGCTCTTGCGATCTAAAGAAGAACCTGAAGAAGTCAGATCGGCTCTTGATCAAATGATGGTCGAATTTCAAATGATCGAATTTCAATGAATAGATTATTCGCATAAGAAATTGAGTAAAGTAAAAGTAAAAATGTCAATTTTGTTCAAATTCTGTAAATTAGTGCTTTCTTAAAGATTTTTTCTCTTATAAATCTACTTTGAAGCCGCTAAAAAACCATTAAATTCAAAAATTCTCATAAATATTGAATCTTCTAACTCTAAACTAAAATAACACTTGAGTAAACACTCACAAAAGTCGTCTCAATATCCCAGCACCACCAACTCGAGCAATATTTGATCCACAAACCGCGGACGAAATCGATTAGCAGAATCGATAGAATCGTCACGATCAAATCCATAGTGACAAGTTTAACAATTTCCTAGAATTTTGATTTTTGATAATGAATGATTTGAATCAGTCTTGGACTTCTCTTAACCCTTTAACTTTAAGAAGTTTTGATAATGAATCATTTGAATCAATATTGGACTTCTCTTAACCATTTAACTTTAAGAAGTTTTGATAATGAATCATTTGAATCAGTTTGAATCTCTTAACCCTTTAACTTTAAGAAGTTTCGATAATGAATCATTTGAATCAGTATTGAACTTCTCTTAACCCTTTAACTTTAAGAAGTTTTGATAATGAATCATTTGAAATCAGTATTGAACTTCTCTTAACTCTTTAACCTTAACAGGTTTTGATAATGAATCATTTGAATCAGTCTTGGACTTCTCTTAACCCTTTAACTTTAAGAAGTTTTGATAATGAATTATTTGAATCAGTATTGGACTTCTCTTAACTCTTTAACTTTAAGAAGGCGATTTCTCAAAATCTGAACGAATTTGTGGAGCATTGGTCACTTTTTTCAAATGAAAGACGAATTTCTCAAATTGATTGCAAAAATTGGGATTAATAGTCGAGAATTGATTTGATTTTTGACAACAATATCATTCGCTTTGATTTTAACAAATCCATAGTGACAAGTTTAACAATTTTCTAGAATTTTGAGTTTTGATAAATTGAATTGAAAAACCTGTCCAATCATTGTTTCCCAACAAAGTTTATCCCCAAGATTTTCTCCATCTTTCAACAATCGTCTCTCTGCTACGTCTCCTTTTCTCACTAGAATTTCAAATTCTTCTACATCTTCTGCTCTTCTTCTTCTGCTTACCTTTAATTTCAGGACTTGGCTCAATCGAGATGATATCTTCATTTCTTGGTGCAGGGAGCTCTTCGATATCCACTCGATCAGGCTAAATTTAGAGAATAGAAAGAAAAATTAGCTAGTTTTATTAGTCTTCAGAACTTCAGAAGAGTTAGTCACATTATGTTGAACAATAGTATTTTAAAAACTCTACCGTAATCGCTAAAGGCTTCTCCGTTGTGGTCGTTGCTCTAGCCGGTCTGTCTATTAGAAACTCTGCTGAATACTCGTCATCTTCGTCGGCTTTTAGCTTCTTGTTCTTTCGATTTGAATCATCCATTGGCTCTACATCTTCATTGGGTCTTTTTCTGGCATTCGGCTTTTTCGTGGTTCCACTCGTTGTACCGGGAGTTCGTCGATCGAGTGGAGATCCAGCTCCGGCTCCACCCGGTGATTTCCATGACGGAGTCGGTCTTCCTTGTTGTTTCGGGTACTTTGTCGGTGGGATGGTTGTCGGAAAATCTGGTCCACCATATTGCTAAAGATCAAAATAATATTCTTATCTTATAGTTGAATATTTTTTTCACAAAATTGCTATCTCAAATCACAAGGCATTATTAACATAAAAACTATTGTTTAAATTGTTTTTAATCTTTGAAATGACATTGGTGAGATTAAGTCTTGAAATAGCTCAATGGCTAGAGCACAGGAAGCGAAAAGCTCGAGGCTCCAGGGTTCAAACCCTTCTCCAGACATTCTAATTTTCTTGAAATCAACCTCTCACCTGTTTTACTTTTCCTGGATTGAATGGAGGAAAAGTTCGGGGTGGAGGTGTGAAGAATGGTAGAGGATCTGGGCCAACACGTGTCGCCTATTTTTTATTAGTCTTCAAAACTTAAACTGTACACTTACCACAAAAGTTTTCGAGTTACTCGCATTGTGTCGAACAGCATTTGGATGATGAATGTTCACAGGGCCAAATTGAGGCTGCACAGTGTAGGGAGTGGTTTGAAGATGACGAGTTGTTCTCCGATCTCCTCTCACTGGTACTCGATTTGTTTGATGATATCTAAAAATTCATTCGTTTTTCTGGCAAGTTTTCAATTAGTTTAGATCAAAATTGAATGGAAATGGAAAACTAGAATGTCTGGAGAAGGGTTTGAACCCTGGAGCCTCGATCTTTTGGCTTTAGCTCTTGAGCTAGCCTTTAGCCTTTGGTCAGGTGCTCTAGCCATTGAGCTATCCTGTATCTTCTTTCCAGAAAGAGGAAGTACAAGGAAGCAAAGAAAGGAAGAAAGAAAAAGTTCATTTTCGAATTACTTTTGTGTTGTGATTTGTTCAAGATAAGCGGCAAACTCGGATCGATTGTTGAACTGAAGACTAGCGAATGGTGGTGGTCTAGGCTCACTCTAAAAACAATCTCACATTGTCTAGTTATTCTTATTACTATTTATCTCTGATTTACTTTAGTAGACTTTCCTTGATTCCCCATCTTGTACACATCTCTCAAAAACTCACGGGACTCCAAGGCATTCCCCCCATTTGTCTTTTCCCTCGATGATGGATCTGTGAGTATTCGCGTTTCTTTTCCAATTCCGTATCCAATTTATCAAATAATGCCACGATCAGTGTCACGTAGTTGACAAAGTAAAGGATTAAAACTCTGAAAATGTTTAGATTTTATTGAAATTAACCATTAGAGAATGGCTATTTGTGTTTTTTTTAGCTTTTATTTAGCTCAATATTAAACTACAGCTCGAGACTGACAATAGCCTATATCTATAGAACAACCTACCGTAAATACTGTAATAGTACCCTACCCCCCCTCGTACAGTCGCGTAGTCGCAAAAGTTTTTTAGTATTTCATTTTTTCAAAGCATCCGTACTTTCAAAAAATGTGTCTTTGGTATCAAAAAATAGCTCTGAATTTCAGCTATTTTTTGATACCTAAGCGCGCATTGTAGCTTAAACCAGTGTCGAGAAAAACGCGTTCAAAGCTAGACTACCCAACACTCCGCACCGTCATTATGGGGGTGGGGTACTATTACAGTATTTACGGTAAGTGAACTAATTGTACAAACCTTCCCAAATGTGCTCTCAGCGCTGTCCTTGGATGATATCTTTCCATTTTTCCAACTAAATCGAAAATCATTGGAAACACGTGAGTGATCGTTGCCACAACTGATGGAACCTGAAAAGCTTTTCATTTAAGCAAAACTCTGCCAAAATTTAGTAACAAAGATTCTAAATTTCTCTAGATTTTGTTTGGATCTCTCTTTCCTTGAGTGCCCTTCTCTATCTCCTAAAGAACTGACAAAGATTTTTATTAAAAATCTAGTGGACACCTCTCTTTGTGAATTTTTGAATCTTTCATTTAATCTTTTTTTCTTTAGTTACCTGATTTTTCGTGAACAAATCTCCTTCTTCTTCTAAAATTGTTTTTGATCGATTGACAGCGATTACAATGCAATAGATTGAGAAAGCCAGCATGGAGAAGATAATGAGATTTGCGAGGATTCTTAGCAACAATTGCACACAACGCATTCGATTTCGAGCACCGACACGACATTCGGCAATCGATTCCTAGATGACGGTAATTGTTGAAGATTTTAGATTTCTTTTGAAAAGTAGTAAAGATCAAAGAGTTGGATTTTGTTTGAAAGTTGAAAGCAGGGCTTTTTCTCTGTCTGTTTGTCATTGGCAATCTACTTATTTCGGTCTTATCCTAGTTATCTTAGCTGAGTTTTTGTTTAAAAAGCATTGAATTTGCCTTTATTCGATTCGGAATCAAATTCCCTATCAAATGAAAGTAAATTCAACATTTTAAAAAGAAAATCAGCTAGGATACGAGCAATTGTAGATTGTCAACAAAAAAACCGATTGAAAATAGGTTAATGGGTGATTTAAAGTTGAAAAACTTCGTTTTAAAGTTTTAAACTTTATCAAATACCTAATCAGCCTATCAGAACTTTATCAAATACCCGATCAGCCTATCAAATACCCGATCAGCCTATCAGAACTTTATCAAATACCCGATCAGCCCTATTAAAGCCAACATTTCTTTAGTTAACTTAGACTCTTTTGATTCAAAATTTTTAATAGCCATTTCACTGACCCTCAGCTTGATAACAACAGCCATCACCGTGTTACTCGCCGTATCCTGATTCCCGATTGTGTAATCCCATCCGGTAAACACTCTCCAATTGAAAATATACTGATCCGCTTTACTTCCCGATAACTTTGACATCCGAGCATTTTGAGCCATTCTAAAGGAACGTCTAAAAAATCTCTCTCATCAATGACTCACTTTCGTAGAATTGCAAAGAAACTATATCCGAAAATGAATAAGGTCACTATAAAGTAAGCGAGTGGCAAAGCGTATTTCACGTTTCGACCCACGAACTCGTCATTTGAGTAATACCCATAGAAAATTGGCGAATAGCGGAGATAACCCTGAAATGAATTTGATAAGTTGATCCTTGAAATTTTTCAAAAGCTTTAAGAACTAATGCCAAAGCTAGAAAACTTATGAACGCTAATTTAAGCGATCAGACTATGCTAAAGCTTTACGATAAAGAATCTAGGCAAGGATTTGTTTTGAGAAATAATAGATCTTAATAAAGTACTCACATCAAAATGCCATACAACGGCTAGCTTATCAGCGTGTTGTCTCTCGTGTGGAGAGATCTCTTTTCGAGACATTGTTCGATTCTTTCTCCATGGATCAGCGGCCGCATCAGCGAGTGCCTGAATGAAATTTATTATATATAAAAGTCTGTCTGTCTGTCGGGGCATTTTCTCAGCAATGTTTTGAACAAAAAAGCTAAGACTTCCTTAGAACCTTTGAACCATAGAAAGACTTCCTTAGAATCAAATAAAAAAATTAAAAATCAGGATTGACTGGCACTACGGGGTGTCGAACCCGGGACGTGTGGATTGTAGACAAGTGCTCTACTGACTACATCCCTGTAGTCAAAGTGACACAAAGATCCAGCCAGTAAAATGCAATGTTAGCGGGAAAAGATACCACTCTTTTATCCTATAACAAAATGATTCTATTTAAAATGATTAGAAAAAAGCTAGAGGCTAGATCAAAGGTGTTTTGAATTAAAGATCGCAAACAGATTATCGTCTAGCGTTTTGATTAGCTTCAATCCGTCCGTTCAATCCGTGACATTTACTAGATAAATATCCAGTGAATATACTTTGCATTCAATGATGAATTTTATCAATTTCCCCCTTACCTCAGGAACTACAACAAAGCAGACGACGATAAGTGTGACGATCAAATTGACAAAGATGAGCCATCGAAGAAAAGTGAAATAAGACGAAACCACTGATCCAAAATGGCCTAAAAGAAGTTTGTAACAATAAAAAGTTTCCTTTACTTTCTATCCTTTTAATTTTTCCCTCCCATGGGATGAGATAGGTTTTGAAATTGTCGAATGATCGCTTCAAGAGTCGCAATGCTTTCTTCAGTTCTTCTTTGTAAAGATGCGTCTTTGAGATCTTTGATTCGTGTTGTTCGAGATATTTTTGAGCAAGTCTAGAATAAAATTGTTTTTGAACTTTAAAAATTGGCTTGAAGTGTAATTTACTTGAGTGTTCTCCTTTTTCTTCCCATACTCCATGGTTGCATTCGCAATTTTCCGATCACCTCCTTCTTTTGGCGAATCTTGTTAAGTAGATCTTGTCTAGAAAGTTTTTATTTGCAATTTAATTCTTTAATTCAATATGTCTAATCGGATAAGTCAGAAGCCAGTCCAGGCTTTTGTGGGAAAGGCTTGCAATGAAGTGAGGCAAGACAAGGCAGAAGTCATGACCTGGATTTCGACTTTGCTTGACCAGTAAGAGAATTCAGATCTTACTATTAGCTTAATTTTTTTTTGCCTTGCTTTCCTTCCCTTTCTTCCTTTCTTTCTCTTCCTTATCTTTCCTATTTCTTCTTGAGAAAAGAAGGCCCGATAGCTCAGTGGTAGAGCTGCTCGGTATGCGGCATGGGCTTGGCTGCTCTGACTCTTACACTGACTCTGGTAAAGTAAAGAAATTTGGCTTAGAACCAAGGGGAATTGAACTCGAAGATTTCCCTTGATTCTAAACCAAATTTCTCTACTTTACCAGAGCCAGAGTAAGAGTTAGGGCAGCCAAGCCCATGCTAAACCCAAGACTTGGCTTCTAGCCTGGAACAACATTGCTGGTAAGTATCTATTAGGTTTATCGGTGTTTCAAAGCCAATCAACAATACATCAAGTTGTGCTTTAGCTTTAGATGGTAAATTCTTTCACGACTTGCAACAATGTTCTTTAAAAATACTCTAAGACTAAAATAACTTTAAAGAAGAAAATAGGTTGACCAACCGAGTGACCGGTTTGTTCTCTTCGTCCTCATCATCTTTATTCTTTCCCAAGATGTTCTCCGATTCACTAAATTTTTGAGATTTTGATATAGTAATGATGTTTTTTTATATAAATCTCCAATTAGCCACTTTTCTGAGAGAATTTCTTTTTAATTTATGACCGGTGAGGGTATAAAAAAGAGAAAAGCTTAAAACAGCTGACGCTTTTTGTTGCACCTTAATGAATTCATAAAAAAAGTGCAATTGAAGAAAGTTGTCAATAAAGAAAAGCTAAACATTTGATTTTATTAGTTCAATTCTTAATTCTCAAGGCAGTAGATTTGAAGTAGATGGCAGTAGATGTACTTAGATGTAGTCAAGGCAGTAGATGTACTTAGATGTACTCAAGGCAGTAGATGCACTTAGATGTACTCAAGGCAGTAGATGTACTTAGATGTACTCAAGGCAGTAGATGTACTTAGATGTACTCAAGGCAGTAGATGTACTTAGATGTACTCAAGGCAGTAGATGTACTTTATGCTTAAAAAATAGAAACCCAACCTTTCTGGAAAACTCAATTTTCTTATAGGAAAGCTTAGTGACAAAACAAAGAATGCAGTGAGCTAGGAAAGCTGTGTTTCTGAGTACGCGAAAGTTCACAAAGTACGCCTCACGTTGTCTCCTCATCACTCGTATCAGCTTCATTGATTGCTGCGGCTTGTCTTTTCTTCAACGCAATTGTATTGCGTCTAAAGACTGTGAGCAAATCTTGAAACACGGATCCTCTCCTCGGCAATGAATCATCCCAAGAAACTTTCGACGAAACATCTTGTGGCGGTAAAACGATGGAGACTTTTGGATGCGGTAAACCATCCTTTTGACTCATCATCAGTCAATGAAAAAAGAAAGAATAAACATTTGAAATCTTTTCAAATCATCTCTGAATTAAACATTGTTAAAAAGAAGAGCAATGTTTTGAGTTTTTCTCGAAAATCTGCAAAAGAACAATGCATTCTTTGAGAGTTCTCAAGGGGATTGGACGCGTATCGACCAGGAAAACAATGCGAGATTTAGGAAAAGACGAGTAACAACAATTTATGAGTGAACATCATTGACTACGAGAACAACAGTGATTTGCAAAAAGTTTTGATATCTTTGTACTATCTTTTTAAAGAATTTGTATGATTTGACAGGTTTACATAAGAAAAGCCTTTATGTTTGATGTTTGGCTGAGGCTTTATGCTTTAAAATAACTGTTTTAAGCTAAACTTATTACTTGGTAAGGTACGAAAGTGGTTCTAAAAAGTTTCTTTTCAAACGGAATAGCAAATATAGTTCTAAATCGTAACTTTAGTGACCGTCAAATCAATTCAGAAATATTGATCAGAGAAAGGGAAGCTCAGAATACAAGCGATCACGAAAGCCTGTAGCCTTTAGCTCAATATTAAACTACAGCTCGAGACTGACAATAGCCTATATCTATAGAACAACCTATCGTAAATACTGTACTAGTACCCCACCCTCCGCGTACAATCGCGTAGTCGCAAAAGTTTTTTAGTATTTCATTCTTTTTCAAAGCGCCCGTACTTTCAAAAAATGCGTCTTTGGTATCAAAAAGTAGCTCTGAATTTCAGCTATTTTTTTGATACCTAAGTGCGCATTGTAGTATAAACCAGTGTCGAGAAAAACTCGTTCAAAGCTAGACCAAGCAACACTCCGCATTATGGGGGTGCGGTACTATTAGAGTATTTAAAGGTATAGCCTAAACCCTCTCAAATCAATTCCCATTTCCAGGTCCAGGATACTCTTTTTTATCCCCAAAAAAAAATTGATTGATATGTAAATGGACGAAATTTTAAGAAAAGCCTTTAACTTTTATTGATAAAGTCTAGAATTTGATGGCTTTTTGACTTTAAACTTTAAAACGGAAAGACTTTAAGAGTTTAAGAGTTTAAGAGTTTAAGAGTTTAAAGAGTTTAAGAGTTTAAAGAGTTTAAGAGTTTAAGAGTTTAAAGACTTTAAGAGTTTAAAGGCTTTAAGAGTTTAAAGGCTTTAAGAGTTTAAAGGCTTTAAGAGTTTAAAGACTTTAAGACTTTAAAGGCTTTAAAACAGAAATGAGATATGAATAGAGTTTTTTTGAAAGTGAATAGAACAAAAATAACAAATAGAAATTTGTTTGTGTTTGAAAATCTTGTTCTACAGACTTTAGCTCAATTCTAGGCTTTAAAAGGAAAACTTTTGCTTAATTTCAAGAATGAAAACCAATTTTTAAAAAGACAGATTTTATAGAAAGATCTAAGCTTAAAAATAAAGACTGCTGCCTACAAAACTTTAGCATATCAAGCTCCTCCGCAAAATCATATCACTTGCGGAAAAGAGAATTGAGATGAGATGGCCAATCGAGCTTGTTTCTATCTTTTTTGTCTGTTGGTGTCTGTTGGTGTCGATTGAGAGGATGGGCATGTGCTCAATCTCCTCTTTTTTTTCGTTCATCTCCCACCTCTCAAGCATCACCTCCTTTCACCACTTACTATACGAGAATCCCCTACAATCCTGGGGTGTTCAATTAGATCGAAAGTAATTTAATCTTTAGCTAAATGATTGGTTTGCTTAAGAGTGAGTAATAGGTTTTCAAATTTGAATTCAGAATATGGCTAAGCTTTCTTATTTTCTATAAAGTGGATAAGAGATAACAAGAACTAACTTAAGAGCTAACTTAAGAGCTAGCTTAAGAGCTGGCTTAAGAGCTAGCTTAAGAGCTGGCTTAAGAGCTGGCTTAAGAGCTAGTTTAAGAGCTAGCTTAAGAGTTGGCTTAAGAGCTAGCTTAAGAGCTAGCTTAAGAGCTGGCTTAAGAGTTGGCTTAAGAGCTAGCTTAAGAGCTAGCTTAAGAGCTGGCTTAAGAGCTAGTTTAAGAGCTAACTTAAGACTTAAGAGACTTAAGAAAACTTAAGAGATAAGAGTTAACTTCTAGAAAAGTACCAGAGACGAATGGCTTTAGCTGTTCTCTGAAAATCTTGGAATCTGGAAATGGATCTGGATTAAAAGCTATACAAATTTAGCAACAACAAAGGCTTTTCCCTGATCTTGTTCCCTTTCACGAGTCTTAAAGCCACTTTTTTATTTCCCTGCTAAGATTTCTTTAATTCATCTTCTCAACAAAGCCTCGTCGGGGTCATTGTCTATGCCCGCTTTTTTTGTGTGCATTCTATTCTCCAATAGCTAGGGACCAATTCCAGTAGTGCAGCCACAAGCCTAGGCCCCTCACCCATCCATTCCCCCAACCCTTCTTTAATTAACAAGCAAACAGCCACCAACCTAGCCTCTCCTCTCTTCATCTCTTCACACCTCTTTCTCTTCAAACCTTTACTCATCTTGCTTCTCTTTCCAAAACTACGATTAATCTCTTTCTTTTTCTACTTGTTCTTTTGCAGGTAGAGTAATTTGAGTAACCTGCGCCCATTCGAATGTGCTAAAGCGTTCATCGATGTTTTGGTTCTAGAGAAATGAGTGAAGGATTCGATTTTGAAAACAAGATTTTGTTAAAGTTTAAGCAGATTCACCTGGATTCATCTTTAAGTTTCTTTATAAATCAAGATCAATAGTAAGCTGAGTTTTTTTTTTTCAAGTTTATTAGCTCAGTGTTTAAACATTTGATAATCAATTGCTTGCTTTGATAGACATTTGATAGACTTTAAACAGTTTCAAATTCAACTTCAATTTCAAATTCAACCTCAGACAATGTAACAAGTTTGGCTAGAGAAATTTTGGGGAATGCGCATTCTCAGTTCTTGTGCAAGATTTGGAAAAGGGTGATGATGGGGTCATATGCAGAAAGAAATCCCTGGAGAGAACACACCCACATTTGGACTGAAATAAACTGAAAGAGAAAGGGGGAAAGAGAGATTCGGACATTCGACTGGAAAGAGGATGGGACACTCGCAAAAAAACCTCGGCAAACTCGGCACTAACATCGATCCTCGGCACTGATATGGACAAGTTGAAATAAGGAAAATGGGAGTTTTGAACGGCAGATAGACTCGAAACAGAATAACAGACTTGTAAGTCTTCAGATATAGGAAACTATAGTTTAAAGTTTAAAACTAAAGCAACTAGGAAAGCTTTAAAGTTAAAAGGAACAATTTCATCGACTTTAAAGCAAGGAGCAAGCAATTTTAAGCTTCATTCTTTTCTTGAACCTCTCAGAAATTGGTTATTGAAATTAGAACCTGCAATTTGTTTCACAAACCCAAAAGCATAGAGAATGTCGAAGAGTTCATCGTCGAGTGTGAGCTTGGAAGAGGCACGATCACCAAGGCTTCCCTCACGCCAGACAACACCCCGTGGATCCGTTGAGACTTCTCTGGAATTTCATTGGATGTTTAAAAACTCTAGCTTTGTCGGATTTGATCTCAAGATATTAGAAAGTTTTTAATGCCATTATGAGAAGTCAGGCTAGCTTTAGTTCTTGATGTTAGTTGAAAAATGGAATGTGAGACAGAATCAAGACTTTGCGTATATAGTTAAGACGGCGTATCTATTTAAGACTGCGTATCTACTAGCTAAGACTGCGTATCTACTAGTTAAGTCTGCTTATCTACTAGTTAAGTCTGCATATCTACTAGCTAAGACTGCGTAACTACTAGCTAAGACTGCGTATCTACTAGCTAGGACTGCATATCTACTAGCTAAGACTGCGTAACTACTAGCTAAGACTGCGTATCTACTAGCTAGGACTGCATATCTACTAGCTAAGACTGCGTAACTACTAGCTAAGACTGCGTATCTACTAGCTAGGACTGCATATCTACTAGCTAAGACTGCGTAACTACTAGCTAAGACTGCGTATCTACTAGCTAGGACTGCATATCTACTAGCTAAGACTGCGTATCTACTAGCTAGGACTGCATATCTACTAGTTAAGACTCAAGGATTGAAAACTTCTAACGTTAAACCCAATATGTCAACTTATAATGTTTAAGTACAGATCACCAAACATAGAAAACTTACGACGATCGAGCGGATTCATTCAATGTCATTAGTGGGGCTACGGGGGGCGCATTTCGGATTCTGATGATACGGGGGACAACGGGAATCACCCCAATAAAAAGCAGAACGTAGAACAAACAGGAATTGAGGAAAAGAATAGAAATGGAATGGAATGGAATGGATTTGAAGTCTTAAAAAGACGATGGGGCACCTCAACTTCCCCCAATTACCCACCCAAGGTGTTGGGGGTAGCCCGGGTTCTTCCGGGGGTCAGTGATCACTTTAGGTAAACTTATATAGACTTATATAGAACTTATACTTATAAACTTAAATAGAAATGCTTCGGGGATCTTTATAATATAAAAAATAGATAATTTAAGAACATAAAAACGTTATGAATGATCAGAAGATCTTATTTACCAATACAGAATGGCAATAGATCTGTAAACCAGCCTGGGCACTCAATGTAAACGTATAAAGTTCTAAATCGTAGCTTTATTGAGCCTCGAATCAATTCAGAAATATTGATCAGAGAAAGGGAATTTCAGAATACAAGCGATCACTTAGAAAAGCCTGTAGCCTGTAGCCTTTAGCCTGTAAGCCTGTAAGCCAGAAAACCTGTAGCCTTTAGCTCAATATCAAACTAAAGCTCAAGACTGACAATAACCCTATATCTATAGAACAACCTATAACCAAAACCCTCTCAAATCAATTCCCATTTCCAGCTCCAGGATACTCTTTTTTATCCCCAAATAAAATAAATCAACCCCATTCATAACCGAGCCTATATTCCTCTCGATGGCTCATTTATATGGCCCATTTATAGAGCTTACCTCAGCAAATTCACCCTTTTTTGTCCCATATGAATAAGAATAGGAATTTGAATTTTTATGAAAAAGAAGAAAGAATGGAAAAATTTTTGAGAATTGGTGTGAACATTGGCACTCTTTAATCCCAAGGGATCAGTGGATTTTGTTTATAGAGGGGTGTCTGGCAAAATGGTGCCTTTTATTTTGTCGAATCTTTGCAGGACAAGAGTTAAGCTATGTAAGCCTTATGCTTCATTAGATTAAGTTTTTAAGCTTTGCTTTTTAAGATTCTAAGCTTCATATGAAGTTTCTAAGCTTTATATGAAGTTTCTGAGCTTCATATGAAGTTTTTAAGCTTTACTCACCCAAAGATACTTTGCCTTGTCATTGCCCGTGCTCTACCCGGGCACCTTGGTGCTTGGGCGGCTCGTGAATAGACCCAGCTTGCATAGAATTAAGAATAAAAAGATTTTTTTCCAAATTCTAGAGAAACAGGGTGTTGCTTTGAGGGGGAAAAGTGAAGGAAAGGGTTAGAGAAATGGGAAAAGAAGTGAAAGACACGTGCCTCTCGACGGGATTCGAGGGTTGGAGACGGAGAGATGAGCGACGAGTTTGTGTGACTGCAGAAGAGGAGGCTGGCTGGGGAGTGCCCATTGCTACTGATGGGAGTAGAGACGGGGCGACGGCTCCGGCGACACCGCGAGAGATCACCGAGGCTCGAGATGGCACCATCCTGAATCATTTTAGATTGTATGTACAGCTGAGGATTTACCTAAGTCTACTAATATATTATTTTGTTGAAATCTTTCAGAAATAATCTTGATATTGTTCTCAATTGTCAAATTCTAAGCAAAATTGAGTCTAAAACCTGGAACTGTTGATTCTCAAAGAAGTAACAAAGTAAAAGAAGTTATTTCAAAAAGAGCTAATGTCAAACAAGTTGACAAGCAAGTTATTTTGCTTGACTGATCATTTAGATGAGTTATCTTAAGTCATCTAAATGATCTTCATAAGTCATCTAAATGATCTTAAGTCATCTAAATGATATTGTTAAGTCATCTAAATGATCTTAAGTCATCTAAATGATATTCTTAAGTCATCTAAATGATCTTCTTAAGTCATCTAAATGATCTTAACCTTACCTCAAACTCAACTCGCTAAGATGACGCGTTCTTCGATATCGAACCGACATTTTTTAAAATAAGAAAGAAATTCTAGCTTTAGAAAAAACTCGAATCAGCTATTGACTAAAACAAATTCGAAAAACGAGCGAGATTTTGCCGATAGAGGCCGCCATTTACGACGCATTTTACTCCTTTCCACAACCTGAGCCCATTTAATTAAGAGCTCTTTTTTTTCCTTTACATTTTAGTGTATGCTGATTGTTGTCGATGATTTATATCTAGAAATTTCGTGAAATTCTAGATATGGCTGGGTGTTCGGATGGTAGAAAGGAAAGGAGAAAGGAAAGGTGAATGATATGGCTCTGGGGAAAAGTCTGGCCAAAGGAATAGGCCTTTCAATGGGAGAAAGGCTTTTCTTTTCTTTTGAAAAGTTGATTATTATGAAACTTTTCCAGGGGTTTTTAAAGGAAATGTAAAAATCTGAAAATATGATAATCTAATGCAATCTGCAGATCGTAATAATCGTAATAAACTGCAGATCTCTTTGGTATTGATAAAAGATCATTGAGAACCTATAAGATTTTTAGAGTTGTTCTAACCATCCTCTAGAGTCTCTAAGGTTAGAGTAAACTCTGAAATTACTCTGAAATTTTATCTACAGATAGAAATCATCATTTTCAGCTTGTAGAGAAAATTTCAGAGGAATCGGCCAAGAAACGGCTGAGAAAACGAAGGTGGGATTGGGTTCGGTTTGGAATTTTCCTAAGTCTAGTCCAGACTTGATGAGTTCTAACATTTTTAGCCTAATTCTTCAGTAAAGCTAAAGCAGGACCAGAATCTAGAATAGATTTGGTTCTGATCTGTCCTTGGCCTGACAAAAATAGCTTTTTAACACCAATCCAAGTTGCCAAGTTGATTTGGGATCAGATAAATTTGTGCTAGCAGTCTATTATTGAATCAAAGACTAAATTAATTGATAGTACTAGATAACATAACTAGATACCAATACTAGATAACAAAGAACATGAATGCCATGAATCAATTGGACTTGATTACTTGATTACTAGATTACTAGATTACTAGATTACTTGATTACTTGATTACTAGATTACTAGATTACTTGATTACTAGATTACTAGATTACTTGATTACTTGATTACTAGATTACTAGATTACTTGATTACTTGATTACTTGATTACTAGATTACTTGATTACTTGATTACTAGATTACTAGATTACTAGATTACTTGATTACTTGATTACTTGATTACTAGATTACTAGATTACTTGATTACTAGATTACTAGATTACTTGATTACTTGATTACTAGATTACTAGATTACTTGATTACTTGATTACTTGATTACTAGATTACCTGATCACCTGATTACTAGATTACTAGATTACCAGATTACCTGATTACCTGATTACTTGATTACTAGATTACCAGATTACTTGATTACCAGATTACCAGATTACTTGATTACCTGATTACTAGATTACTAGATTACCTGATTACCAGATTACTAGATTACTTGATTACTTGATCACCAGATTACTAGATTACTTGATTACTAGATTACCAGATTACTTGATCACCCGATTACCTGATTACTAGATTACTTGATTACCTGATTACTAGATTACCGATCACCAGATTACCTGATCACTTGATCACCTGATTACCAGATTACCAGATTACCTGATCACCAGATTACTAGATTACTTGATTACCTGATTACTAGATTACCAGATTACCTGATTACCAGATTACCAGATTACCTGATCACCTGATTACCAGATCACCAGATTACCTGATTACCAGATTACTAGATTACCTGATTACTTGATCACCTGATTACTAGATTACCAGATCACCTTGATCACCAGATTACCAGATTACCTGATTACCAGATTACCAGATCACCTGATCACCTGATTACCTGATTCCAGATCACCAGATTACCTGATCACCTGATTACCTGATTACTAGATCACCAGATTACCTGATCACCAGATCACTAGATCACTTGATTACCAGATTACTAGATTACCTGATTACCTGATTACCTGATTACTAGATTACCAGATCACCTGATTACCTGATTACTAGATTACTTGATCACCTGATCACCAGATTACCAGATCACCTGATTACTAGATTACTAGATTACTTGATTACTAGATTACTAGATTACTTGATTACTTGATTACTTGATTACTAGATTACTAGATTACTTGATTACTTGATTACTTGATTACTAGATTACTAGATTACTAGATTACTTGATTACTAGATTACTAGATTACTTGATTACTAGATTACTAGATTAGTTGATTACTAGATTACTAGATTACTTGATTACTAGATTACTAGATTAGTTGATTACTTGATTACTTGATTACTTGATTACTTGATTACTAGATTACTAGATTACTTGATTACTAGATTACTAGATTACTTGATTACTAGATTACTAGATTACTAGTGCTTTATTTATATAGGTAAGCAACTTGAATGCCTTTTACTAAGAGTAAATCAAGACTTATCTATCAAAAGAATCTCTCACCAATATGTTTTCGATTTCATCTTGAATATCAAATACTAGTCGTTTTCAATAGTAGGCATGATTGTAGAGAAAAAAGAGAAAACTTTTCCCAATCGAATGGGCAGTTGGTGAAAAAAAAAATAGGTGAAATGGTCAGTTTCATGTCAGAAAATCCTCAAAAATTTTGGGGTTTTTGGATAAAGAAATAGAGAATGAGCTGTCTGTCAGTGTTTGTGAAAAAAAAAGAGAAAAAGTTTTGAGGATTTTTTTTGGATAAAGGCGACAAATGTCCATTGGAGTCTCTCTCTCTTTTGTCTTTTCCTTGTTTTACGCGACTCCCCGCGACTCCCCAATAGTCTTTTTACTGAGAAAAGCAAAGATTTTTTTTGAAAAATTGCAGAAACAACAATAAAACTTTGTCATTCTTGAGTTTTGGTTGAGCAAAAGTTGGGAAAATTTTAGCTGTTTTAGTGGGATAAATGAGATGAGATCAAAGTTTTGAACTTAAAGCTTCAAGCTAAACTCTCTCAAAGCTGAACAAGCTTTAAAGCAAAAGTCTTGAACTTAAAGCTTCAAGCTAAACTCTCTCAAAGCTGAACAAGCTTTAAAACCAAAGCTTTTGTTTAAGTTAAAAAGCTATAAGCAATAAAACAAAGTTAGATTACTAATATATTTTGTTAACAATATTTGAATCAATTTTGAGACTAACTGTATACTTTTCAAGTCAATTTACAGTCAAAAAAAAATTCTGCTTCTAGTTGTTTAAAGCTTTGACTTCTGGTTTGAAACTTGGAGTTGGTTTGAAAGCTTTTGCTTCTGGTTTTAAACCTGGAGTTGTTTTCAAAGCTTTGGCTTCTGGTTTAAAAGCTTTGGCTTTTGGCTTGAAACTTGGAGTTGGTTTGAAAGCTTTGGCTTCTGGTTTTAAACCTGGAGTTGTTTTCAAAGCTTTGGCTTCTGGTTTAAAAGCTTTGGCTTTTGGCTTGAAACTTGGAGTTGGTTTGAAAGCTTTGGCTTCTGGTTTCAAATCTGGAGTTGGTTTGAAAGCTTTGGCTTCTGGCTTGAAACTTGGAGTTGTTTTCAAAGCTTTGGCTTCTGGTTTCAAATCTGGAGTTGCTTCCAAAGCTTTGGCTTCTGGTTTCAAACCTGGAGTTGGTTTCAAACCAATGTTTAAGATTAAAGCTATAATATTACTGAAGAAAATATTCTTATCGTAGATAATTTTAACAAAAATATCTATTCTTAACGCAACTCACTCGTTTTGCTTCTTTCTAAGCCGTAGAATCACACGATGAGCCATATTTAAGAATAGAATCTGTATAGAAGCTGTATAGAAGGTTTTGTTTTCTTGAAAACAACTAGGATCTCTTTAAAGAAAAGTTTCAAAAAACTTGCGAGGAGGTGCTGATTGGGTTATGTTTCAAAAGGAGAAAATGAGAAAAATGGGGTAAGAAAAGGAGGATTATTGCAGGGAGGATTTTGAATAGAAAAATAGCCGTGAGCTTATGTAAAAACGATGAATTGACATGTAGGTAATCGCGCCGCTTCTGGCACACGGCTTTTGAGTATAAAGGGCAAAAACGAGGCTCAGTAAGAAAAGGAGGATTTTGAATAGAAAAATATTATGCTTATGATATTTTAAAAATCATTTAGCTTTTACAATTCGAAGCTCTGTGTAGAGATTTCACTCACTAAAGAATTATTCCGAGTCCAACCGAGCTAGTAAGCCAGGCAACACAGGTAAGTCAGGTCCAAGCCTGATTTCTGACCTTTTTTGTGGATCAGAACAGGCTAGAACCGGGCTTTGATCAAACTTTGAACTGATCAGAAAAAATGACTATGGAATAATCCCAAATAACAAGCGAAATTAACCTTTTTACAGACAAGCTTATGAAGTTACAAGATATACAGTACTGGACAATGAAATATCATACTTGAAAAACGATCGTCCCTTTCGCGCGCGCTAAAATGCGTCAGAAAATACGGTATTTCTAAATATTAATATTACCATTGTGTAGCCCTTGAAAAGAGCTTTCAGAAAATGTATAACACTAATGGTTTAAACTAGACTTCGGAAAACAAAACTTAACCAAAACCAAAACCAAAACTACCAAAACCAAAACCATAACAAAACCAAAACCAAAACAAACCAAAACCAAAACTAACCAAAACTCGCCAATATCTCGCGACTGGGAGGAGCTAGCGAAAATCTGTTTGCAGATTTGAAATCAGCATCCAAAAATCTATCCCATAGGCTATTTTTTGTTTCGAAATTTCGAGGTCGTGTTTTGGTCCTTTTTTCGGCCGCGAGATTTTGTGGAGTGAGAAAAAGTGAAAGGCTAATTTGCATTTTATATTAAAATTTGCATTTTACAATTTTAAATTTACATTTTACAATTTCAAATTTACATGTTAATTTATATGCAAATTGAGTTTTGGTTTGTTTTGGTTTTGGTGTTTTGGTTTTGGTGTTTTGGTTTTGGTTTTGGTTTTGGTTTTGGTTTTGGTCTGTTTTGGTTTTGGTTTTGTTTGCCGAAGTCTAGTTTAAACTCAAAGACAACGGAGTTACAGACGCGCGAAGGTGACGATCGTTTTTCAAATATCATTTTTCATTGTCGAGTACTGTACTTTGTCTAGCTTTGGCTTCTGGTTTCAAACCTGGATAAGCAATAAAGGTATTTGAGATGTACCTAGTTTGCAAACATATACTTTCTGTACCCGTTTCTCACTTAACAGAATCGTTTCTTAAGAATTTATCAAGAAAGTGTTCCCGTTTTTGAGCACAAAGTGCAAAAAGTATGCAAAAAGTATGCAAAAAGAACCTGCTTGTCTGATACCTGATAATCGTTCCATTAAAATAAATAGTATCCATTTGATTCAATTAAAATTAACTTTAGAAAAGAATGAAAGGCAATAGAAGAGTTCTTTTCTATGCAGAAACACGCGAACATTTTGTGGATGGAAAAGGGGAAAAAATAAATGTGAGATCCTCAATTGACCATATGTAGAAAAGGAAATGAATTAACTTAAAAAAACGGGGTAGGCTAGTTTCCGCAATTGGATCGTTTGCGCAACTCACCATAACTTTCTTCTAAGTCGACCAATCTTTATGATTTTGGTTTTATTTTGTAGATCTCAATAAGTGCAACAAAATGAAATCAAAATCATAAAGATTGGTCGACTTAGAAGAAATTAGCCTACCTCTAAACATGGAAACAGATGTCTTTTTTTTGCGCAACAGGATCATTTGCGCAACTCGCCATAACTGTCTCCTAAGTGGATCAATCTTTATGATTTTGAATTCATTTTGTTGCACTTATTGAGATCTACAAATAACTGGAACTTGAAATAACTGGATAAAGATATTCAGTTAAGGATTTTATATAAATGTTTTAAATAAAAATCTCAATAAGTGCAACAAAATGAAATCAAAATCATAAAGATTGGCTTACTTAGAAGAAAGTTATGGCGAGTTGCGCAAACGATCCAGTTGCGCAAGTGACCTAGTTGCGCAAAACAAATTACGGAAACTAGCCTATCCCAAAAAAACACTTACAAAGAAGTCGAAGATTTTCGATCATCTCGTTGCGCGGATCGATTTCTCGGTGAGCTGAAGAATCATTCAAATTTCAATTTCCTACAATTTACCTGCTCATTCCACTTTCCGGTCTTGAGCCAAAATCCATCAAAATCTACTAACCATTTTCATATAAATCTTAAGCAAAAGAATTGAAATGTAATGAAGATTTTTGTTTTTGATGAACGATATAAATGATTGATAGTTAACTGTTATAAATATTATATGCTTGAAGCATATAAAAATTGTCTTCAATATTTTGAGAGCTAGTGAGTTTTAAAAGCTATCAGAAGTCTAAAGCTCTTAGAAACGGTTTTGAATTTATCTAAAGCAGTTCAAGAACATGAAAAACTGGTACTTATATCCTTAAATTTAGATTTTTTTAAACTATTATTAGAAAAAAAAGTTTGAATTATCCATTGCATTAGGTTTAAATGAGACTATATCAAAAGAGCGCCGCCAGTGCTCCATTCAAAAGAGCGCCGCCAGTGCTCCATTCAAAAGAGCGCCGCTTAAAAGAGATCAAAATTAAAAGAGATAAAAGATCAAAAGGGGGGATCATAGGGATTTTGGAGGGGAGGACATCAGGAGGTATTGGGTTGATGAATTGAAAACTGCCGGCTATTGTCATATGTGATAGTTTGAGCACTTTCTTCAAAAGAAACCCATTTTGGTGTCAATGGAAAAGTTGTAGAGAATCAAAAATCAAGCTTATATCCAAATTTTCAAAATGATTCAAAAACTGGCTTTCAAGAAATGCGAAATTTACGAATTTTCACAAAACTTGCATTTTAAGCGGAACTACTAAGTGTATCTTTTTGGAAATTTCGCTATAAGCCTAATTTTTGATTCTCTACAACTTTTTTATTGACACCAAAATGGGTTTCTTTTGAAGAAAGTGCTCAAACTGGGGCATTGGGACACCTCCAGTCCTCGATTTTTGAGTCTCACACTTGTCTCACACAAAAACCAAAATCCTACGAAGAAAGAGGAATCCGCAAATTGCCTGTAAAATGGGCAGAAGTCGTCAATAATAATGGAAATTATTTCGAATGGATTGATGGTTTTATGTTGAATAAATTTTAGTTCAAAGTCCAGCAGTTTTTAATTCACCAACCCAGTATAATAAAATTCGCCCTGATGTTGCAAAACTGACACACTCCAAAGAAATAGCCTTGTTTGGGGACGTTTGGCGCATTCCCCATACAGTCCGGACCTCTCCCCTTTTGATTATTATTTATTCTGGATCATGAGTAATGAGCTTGCGGGAGAACACTTCGATTCGGAAGAAGCAGTCAAAAATTGGCTTTGAAAGTTTCTCGATTCAAAACCAAAATCCTACTACGAAAGAAGAATCCGCAAAATTGCCTGTAAAATGGGCAGAAGTCGTCAATAATAATGGAAATTATTTCGAATGGATTGATGGTTTTATGTTGAATAAATTTTAGTTCAAAGTCCAGCAGTTTTTAATTCACCAACCTAATAGAACTATGGACATAACTTTTTTTTGTTTTAAATATGTTTTTCGTTCATTTCAGAGCATTTCCAATTGAACTAAAGTGATTTTAAAATGAATTTAACTAGTAATTTTTTCTTCATTGCTTCAAAAAAAAATGGCATTAAAAAATAGAGGATTTACGGTAGTTAGTTTATAAAGTTTAGCTTAAAAAGTACAAGTACAATTAAAAAGTTATTGTACTTTAAAGTAGTTTAAAAAGTTTAAGATGATTGAGAAAATGTTTTAAATAACAAAAAGTTACTTAAACATTTTCTCAATCAATTTATAAAGTACGAGTGAATGTAAGAAATGATTTAGATTTAAACTTTAGGTTTAGAAAAGAGAGGGTGTCCGCTTTTCTTCAACAAAATTGAGAAAGGGGGAACAATCATTTCCGGTGACGGAAGTATGGACCACTAGACTTTCTTCTTAAACGAAGACTCGTCTACTTCAACTCTCATTCTCAATCACTACTTTTTCATTAATAGATTGAGCTTTAAGCTTTAGAAACTAATAGATTTCTCTTTCAAAAAACTTTAGTAAATCAATTTTTCAACTCTGGCAACTCTGTAAAGTGTTTGTAATCGATCTGTCAATATAATGAGCTTTTAAACTTTATTCCCAACCATAACCGTAACTATCAGACTTTTCTGGTGGACGACAACAACAATATCTCATTAAAATGAGCAAAAGAAATACGAAAAGCAATAAAATGAATGGAGTTGCCAAAGTGCCGACAAGAGTTCCATCTAAAATTTGAAAGATCTTAATGATTTAGATATTCTTATTTACCGAATCGATTGGTATCTGCTAAAACGATGCGGCAATTTTTCAATGGAGTTTTCAGTTTCTTTGGTGTTTCCAAATAGAAAACAGGGATATCACTTCTTGCTCGATTGTGGGGCATCCATTGACCAAGTACGAATATTGAGTTGATTCGTGTGCCGATTGGAACCTAAAGAGTTGAGTAAAAGTTACAATAAAGAGAATGGAATGTAATGAGCTTCACTTAAAGAAAAGTTTAAAGCAGTTTCCAAATTTTGTTTAAAGAAACTCTTTAAGTGTCAATCCAAATTCTGTTTAGCATTAATTGAAGCGTTTAAAAAGATAACTACTTACAATAAGGCTTACTGTAAGCTCTGTAAGTGTTTCCATTCTCAAATTAGATCTATACTTACAATAAAGCTTACTGTAAGCTTTGTAATTGACCCAATTCTCATCGATGAAGCTACTTTCAAATGCAAAACGAAACCAATAGAAGTTGAAATAAAATCTACCTCAAAAGCATCCGGCAGTACAACGCTACACTTTGGGCACTCATCACAAGTGAAAATCGCTGAAACTTCACCAAGAGCCCACTAAAAGTAAAGGTTTTAACGTTTAAATATCAATTTTATAAACTGTTCTCATTTTTCGTTGTTGCTGTTCTTCTTCTTTTTGTTCTTCTTTAATTTACTTTGTGAAATCTCGGTTTCCTTGGTGGATCCATGCAGAGTGAATCAGGAGAGATGAGACTCCAATTGACTAGAACGGGAGAAGCACTCAAAAAGGGAAGTGACGTCACTGATGGAACATGTGGAATGACTGAGACGCGAGAAGTGAATGACGAACATTCGAGGAGTGTCTGTAAAGGTTTGAGATTGAATAACAACTGTAGACTCAATCGGTAGCTTATTATAACCTGTGAATTATGACAATCATAGTCAATAAGATCCGGAGTTAAAGCACCGATTTATCTACAAATAAAAAGAGAAATCCCTATATAAAAGGGTATCAATAGATGTTCTTTATGCGTGTAATCGTTCAAGATCTAGCAAACCCTTTCAATGTAAGAGGTTTCCCTTTTCGAATCCGTAATCGAACTTTTACTACCCACCAAAGCAACTTCTTGGATCAAAGTGAATATTAAAGTTATAGAAATAGACATTGAAATGAATTCGCTGACCAGTTTAGACAATGTATACAAATCTTTGGTTCAATTGCCAAGATGTGGGTGGAGAATCTGATGGATGAGCTGGCTTTTCCTTCTTCATCTAATAAGCCTAGCTAAGCGAGATCTATAAGAGAAATCGGAGCACTCTCCTCTTCCGCATCTCTTTCCAATTCAGCCGTTTTTCTCATCTCCCCTTTCTTCTTTTTTTTTTGGCCTACAAGTGGTCAAATTTCTTTTCTTTCTCGATTAGCACTACTATGGAAAGGATTTTTTTTTAAAGTGAAAGTCATGTGGCTCGTTTGTAAATGTTAAAAACGTGGCTATGAGTTGTCATTCACAAAAAAACATTTAAATCTGAATCTGAATAGGAACGAGAATTTGAAGAAAAAAAAACTTTTAACATCATCCAGTAAGAATTCAAATGATAACAAGAGCTTGTATTAGGTTGTTAAAAAACAACCTAGTACAAGCTCTTGTACTAGTTTGCGTTTGCGTTCGTTTGCGTTTGCTTTCAGTTTGCGGTCACTTGCAGAAAAGTTCAAATTATCGAATTATTTTGGATAATGGATTGTTATGATTTTTAGCTTATTTGAAAGCCTGTTTTTTGCGCGCATTTTGGGGGTGGGACAAAGGTGCACCTTTTTTTTGTGCACCCGACCAAAAGCGCACCTTTTTTTCGCTGGAAAAGGCGTCAAATTTGGGCTAAGAGGCAAAAACTGCGGAAAAGCGTTAAGTTGCGTAGTTTTTGCCTCTTAGCCCAAATTTGACGTGTCAGCGAGTTCTAATTTGTCGAAATTCGGAATCTACGCATATGATTCCCCTATGTGGAAACATTTTTAAAGCTCTACGGCCTTTTCTAAGGCCTTTTCCAGCTAAAAAAAAGGTGCGCTTTTGGTCGGGTGCGCAAAAAAAGGTGCACCTTTGTCCCACCCCCCGCATTTTTTATATAACTTACTTTACACAATCCACATATTTAGATGGATAAAAGTGAACTTCGTGTTTTCCTCCGTCACTATTGGAAAAAAGATCTGTCTGCGAGATCTGCTGCTGAAGTGATTTTTGAGGTGGAAGGCGATGGAACTGTTGGCGTAGAAAAACAAAACAGCTGCAATCGAATGGTTCGAATGCTTCAATGACGGTGATTTTTATCTTGAAGACAAGAAGTTGAAGAAGCGTGTCAAGAGTCCTTTAATTCAAAGGAGCCGGCTTGGTACTTTGAACAGGTCCGAAATTTTGCTGATCGATGGCAGAAGGTCGTTGGGAATGACGGACGATATTTCGAAGAGTGAACGTTGTTGTTTTTGTTGATTATTGGCAAATAAAAACTGAATTTTTCTGCAAGTGACCACGAACTTTTTAAACAACCTAATACTTCGAATATCCAGGGACAAGTTAAAAGCAACAAAATCAAGTGAGTCTGTTTACTCTTTTAGTATAACCACGGGTTAAACAAATGAGATTTAGTCTGGTTACTCAGTTCTGACTGCAATGAGACTAGAGCGTGTTTTTCTGTACTAGCATAATATGCTTGTGCGTTGACTGTAATTAGGATAAATTTTAAAATTCAATAATTTATTCTTCCCAATTAAAAATGGGATACAGTGGGCACGAAAACACGTGTGCATCAAGGATATGTACAGACAAAAAAGAAACGATAGAAAACGTCAACCTGTATTTGGGAAAGAGTCAAGAGAAACCACAAAATAAGCGTCATTCGGGTAACTTATAGCATTGCTGGAACGGCGTCTTCGGTTTGTGGCAAGAGGTACCGAGATGGATCGTCGGCTTTCGATGGAGATTCCACTGGAGCATCGGATTGCGGTGCTGAAACAAAGAAAATCATGTTAATAAAGTGTTCCGGAGAGGGGATTGAATCCTTGACCTTTTGCTTTCCAATTACTCTAACCACTGAACCATTCGGTACCTTAACTTGCCAAGAGAAAGAAGGAAAGGCAAGGTAGAAGAAGATAGAAAGAAAGGCAGAAAGAAAGAAGTTAAGATTGGTTCTAAGCTCTAAGTCTAAAATAATATTCTATTGTAGTAAGGCATTTAAAAAAGTATCCTTAAAAGCTTCAAACGTTTCCTTAGGTTCAAGATTTAAGTCAAGGTTAACCTGCAAAAACTTTCAATTCAGAGCTTCAATTTTAAAGCTTTTTGAAGCTAACAGGATAAATTTTCAAGCAAACAAGTGAAAATCTTTCCAAATCTCATAAGTTCAAGCTTTTCATAGACTAGGAATCTCAATGACACTCACCGATATCGATAAAGTACAACTCTTGATCGAGCTCTGGCATCGGCTCATCGGCTAGCATCATCTCCTGATCAAACTTCGTATTCGCCAATTTCACGCATTTTCCATTCTCCTCTTTTTTGTTCCCATTCATTTCCAGCTCAAAGCCTGGTTTGCATGTACAAGTGACCGTCTTTTCGCTACAGTACGCGTTTTTCACCAAGCATCTAGAATTATGGCTTGTTCAAATCTTTAATGTCCAAAAGTTTAATCACCTCTTCTCTTCAACCAAAGTATCCAAACAATATCCACCGATCGTTCCATTATTTCGTTCATCAACAGAGTCCATAAATATCACAGTTGTTGGATCATAGCATCTAAAAATAGTTAAAATTCACGGAAATCTCATATCACATACCGTCCCGCAATATTGCTATGTCCTTCCGGGCATTTCTCCACACATTTTGAATCATGAACAAGCGGTTTTGAAGCTGGACAGATACAATACCTAAAAAAAAATAGATTAATTGAGTTTTTCTTTGACAAAAACAAAAACAAACCCTGAATCACAAGTAGCATTTGGTTCTTTCGAAGCACACTGATCGTCCGATATACAACCCTTTTGTCCGACATAGAGTACTAAAACTGTTGAGTTTATCTTTCCAAGTCTTTTAAAATAGCTATCTACTAGATAAAGGGGAAGTGTCTGTCCGTCGGCTCCCTGCGGACCGATTTAGATCTTTCTTTTCTAAAACTTGAAAAATTCTACTCGACCTTTCAAACATTTCCCATCAATATTATAAAATCCAAGTGGACATTCAGTTGAGAAAACTGGAGGCATTGTAGTAATATTTGATGAGGTTTTGAGAGAAGATTGTTTTAAGGTAGAGTTTGAAGCAGTCTTTTCATCTGTCTCTGGCGGTGGGGTGGGAAGGGATGAAGATGGCGTGGAACAACATTGCCAACGGTTCACCTAATGATTTGAGTATGATTTTATTTAGAATTCGTTACCTCATCAGCGAAGAGACAAGCAAAGCCGGCAGGGCAAGGGTTCTCATCACAGGTGACTACCGATTTATCCGTGCCTACAAGAGCTCGAGAACCGGCTGGGCAACCACTATTGCCGGATAAGGAGTTCAATCGAAGTTGGCGACCAATCTGCAAAGAAATGAGCATGAGTAGAGTATAGAAAATCCTATTTTGCAACTTCAAGAATACAACTATACCTTTTCTCCAAGCTTGAGCGCTTTCTCATACTCATTATCGGGCGTACCCATCACTTCCCATCCTCCCGTTGAAGCTTCGACTTTTTTGTTTTGATTTTGTCGTTGTTGAACCACCAGTTGTGCAACTTGTCTGCCTTTCTCGAGTTCCTAAAAATATATTAAAAGCTCTTACAAATTCTCTAACCTTTTTCTCCAAGTCAGCAATTCCAAACGATGGAACAACAAGATTTGGTGGTGGAGGAGTGAATCGATTTGGTCCTTGGATGCCCCTGAACTGGCCATTTTGTCCAAAACCGTTGTTGAATCCATTATTAAAGCCGTTGTTGAAACCATTGTTGTTCGTTGGAGTCTTGGGGAAGTTTGGAAATCCTTGTCCAGGAGCTGGGGCTGAAACAAGATGTTAGGCTTTATTTGTCAAATTTAATTTAACTCACGAAGTTTATTGAACTGCATTCCAGGCATGGCAATGGATGGATGATACTGACGAGCTGTTGAGTCCAGTGGAGCACAGCAGAATGAGTCCTAAATATTTAATATATATAAAACTAGTTCAAATCCTAGAGTAGATTTACCTTATTTGATAGTTAGTTGAATGCAGGAGTAGCTTATTAAATTTAGATCCGATACCTGTTTCTCAGCCGAGTAAATGCAGACATAGGGCGCATTGTTGGGGCACGGTTTGAGGCTCATATGGCAAGGAGATGGCTGTCCATACCAATCCACATGAGGGATTTGGCCACGAGGGCAATATCCTGAAAAAGGTAATTGAAAGATTTAATTGAAAAGGTAATTAAAAGGTCATTGAAAGAGTTGCAATATTTCAGCATACCTGCGAATTTTTCCCCGAGATCACCTTGTGTACAGCATATAAATTGTCCAGGCATTGTGCTTTCCAAGCAATGAAAACCATTAGGGCAAGAGTCACGAAGAGGAGAGCAGAATTGTTTCTCTTGAGTCACTAGAAAGATTCAGATATGATAAGATATTTACAACTCACCGGGATTCGTGTACGCGACTCCAGCAGCACAAGTCGGCGTTCTCGGCCCACCATCAGAGCAACACAAATGATGAAGTGGATTGTGCGAAGGAACACACGAGTAACCAGATGGACATTTTGTTGATCCTGGTGGACAGGCGAGTGGTCGGCCACCAAATTCATATGGAGTTGATTGAGCCGGGCAACGAATCGATTGCAAATCAGCACAGCAAATGGCAATCCCCGCGTTGGAGAACTCGCATTTGAAACCGTCTGGGCAAGGACCTTCTGAAGGATTCATCACATTGCATTGAAGAACCATTCCAATATCGTCTCTAGAAAGAACTTGAATAATAAAGCTGCTCAACTGGAAAATTGTTCTAAAGTAAAGCAACATAAGTTTATCTAATAGAATATTATATTCGGTAATGAACCTGTAAGGTCTATCTCCATTCTTGCACCTTCCAGCGTTGGACTCGTGAATCGACGGAGCTCCAACAAGTCCAAATTGTCTTGATGCAGTGGTTGGATGTTGAGGAACCCTGAATTTCTTTAAATTGAGCTAAACTCAAGATCTTACTTATTCCCAGCTCTTTGTTTGCCAGTGTACCGCTCGCAACACATTGTCACATCGAGAATATTAGTCGTTTGGCATTCAGTTCCAGACGGACATCCGAATTCGTTCTCGTCACAGATTTGAACCTAGACGAAATCACATAATGTACATAATAGACATGAGAAAATTTCAACCCGAACCTAATTCCACCGTTGTTTTCTTAGCCGATTACTCCGAAATTTTGTCTACAGATAGAAATTGTCATTTTCAGCTTGTAGACAAAATTTCAGAGCAATTGGTCGAGAAAACGAAGGTGGAATTAGGTTCGGGTTGGAATTTACCAATGTACACAATAAGTTTCCAAATGCTCTACCTGTTTATTGGTGAGTAAAACTGGGATAAAGCCGATTTTGCTGCATTTAGGCATCGTAAGTCGGCAGCAAGTGCCCCTTTCGTAGCCTTCCTGAAAATTTTTGATTAAAGAGAAGGAATTGAGTGCACGAACCTTTCTCAAACAGATATGACCGTTAGCACATCCACCAATAGTGTTGACTGTGCAAGGTTGTCCATTTCCAATTATTCCATCGGGACATGTCGACTCGCCGAGAATCGAGGCAAGTGATCCAGACCCAGAGGTGCGTGGACGTTGAACTTGACTTCCTGGATTTGTCTTAGTTCCCCGATTCTTTGATCCATGCAATTTCCCGGGTCTCTGCTGGTTGATCGAGTTTGTGAGTCCCACCGAGCAGCACAAATTGAAGCCAGTGATTGTGCTGAAACGGTAAGAAACTGTCTGTAACTGTAAAATGAGGCAGGAACATTTCTAAATAGTACAGTAAAGCAATAGGTGTAGGATAATCTGCCTAATACAGACTATTAAAGCCTGAAGGTGTTAGTACAATGAGACACAATGGTGTAAATCTTTGTATAGCACAATGTACGCTTTACTGATTTACTTTAACCCACCTGCTTTCCATACAAGCATTTCCCCTTGGACACGTGTCACTTTCCATACTACAAGCAACCACTGAAGTAGAGCCTGAAAGCTGACTAGCTCATATGAATATTTTGAGTTCTGAAAATCTGTAGGGCATAAAGTACTCTGGCGGCAATGGGATACATCTGGTAGAGGATTCGCCTGGTACGCAGAGGTCGCGGGTTCAAATCCCGGTGCCCATTTAATTCCAACCTATAAAAGACCAGCCTTACCTGGAATATAATACGGACTCCTTCCACCGGGACATGAGTGAACAGTTTGGCAACAGATCGGCACATTTGTGGTTGATCGTACACATGATGAGCTTTCTGGGCAAGTTCCTCGTACATTCAATGTGCACGATTTTGCAGCAATATCTCCAGTTTCTACAAAAGCAGTCATTCCACGAGGACATTGACCGACAGTGGATGCTTGGACACAAGTAGTTGAACAGATGGCTTGTGAAGTGAAACGGTTTGATGAGCCACCACAACCTAAGATGAGATTCAGATATTTTAAAGCTCAAGAGGATACAATAGAATCTCTAGCTGATTAACTTACCATTATATAAGAATTGTCGGCACTTTTGTTGAGCCGTATCATAGAACCACATCGTTCTTTGTGCTGTACCGGCACAAACGTTTCCTCGAGACATTGGAGCGGCACAAGAAGTTCCTAAATAGTTTTTGAACTATTGGATTTTCTATTCTTACTAGTTTCTGGACAACAATATCCTTCCGGATTACAATTGTAACCATCAGGACAACCAACGGATCGATCACATTTTTGAGCTCGATTGTTTGGGTCGACGAGCGGAGCTGCACCACCACAGGCTATAAAAGAAAACTTTACATATGAAATTGGATTTAAACAGGTGTGAAATTGATAAGTGCCTTAACTTTTACCTGTATCAATAGCATTTAAACAAAAATCGGCACAGTGTTCGATTGAGTGAAAGTTGTTTCCATTTCCATTGCAACCATAGTATTGGAATGGTTGACATTTTCGGGTGGCTGGGTTGAAGAAGAATCTAAAAGGATTATGAATGATAAAAAGTTCGACTGATAATCGATTAGACTTAAAAATTTAAAGATCATTCATCTAATGATGAATTTCCTTTAAAAACAAACCTCTGAATAGTCATTTGTTTTCCAAAACAAGGCGTTCCAGCGGAAACCATTTCGTTGCAAGTAAGCTCTAAAATATTAAGAATGTTACTGATTTTGATTCCAAATTTCCACCTTGAATAGGGCAACAAATTGGAGATGGTCCAAAAGCTGGCGTAGTGCAAACATGTTGACGAGGACAAGTGTTGAGAGAAGACATTGAACAAGCCGCATTCACAGCGCCAACTCGATAAGCCTAAGAAAATAAACTTTAGAACTTTAGAACTATGGCTGGCTGTGCAGTAAACCTGTTCATTTTCGATTTAATGGTCAATAGGTGTACAACGGAAAAACACGATTTGACCATTTTAACAACTTTTTCAGGGTTTCTTGCTACACAAAGATTGAATTTTCTAAGCTCTATCTAAGCTCTTTTGGTTTAAAAACTCCTGAAAAGTAGCCGTTGAAATGAAAGCTGCTTTTCCCGTTGTACACCTATTGAAAATTAGACTGAAAATAAACAGGTATAGAGCTTTGAATTCTTAAAAATAGAACTCACTTGTCCATTTGAGCACTGTGAATCAACGCAGAATCCCTCACACTCTTCCAGTGAGTTAAAGTTGTTTGCATTTCCACCACATTGCGAAAATTGGAAAGATCTAAACCTCTTGAGATCTAGAAAATTATCTATTTCTCAAACCTGCAAGATCCAGTCGTTTGATCAAAGTAATATCGAGTGACAGCTGGTCTTGTGTTAGCACACGGATTTCCCGAATGTCTTGGCTGGATGCAAACGTTTTCTAGAAAAGAATTCATTTAATTATTGTTTTTCAATTATTACCCTTTCTTGGACAACAATATTGCGCTCCACCCGTTGTCACACATTCATATCCATCTTGACACGGGAGATTCTCATTGCAAACAGTCAATCCACCGCCTAACGGGAGACCGGCAGGGCAAACGCCTAAGAGAATGAGGTAAGAAAGTAAAGTGAATGGCAAAGAACCGAGGGGAATTGAACCCTTGACCTTCTGCTTCTGCTTCTGTTTACCGGGAATGCTCTAACACTGAGCTATTGGCATCTTTGCCCAAGGAAGAGAAAGAATGCTATTCTTACCAAATGCAGGACAACATTTCTCATCACTGCACACATATCCGGCTGGGCATGGAGTGTTGGCCGAGCAGAATGCCGGGTTTGCCAATGGGAGATCTCCGTTTGGACATTGCGCTGAATAGAATATTCGATTCAAATTTGCATTTAACCAATCAATTTTCACTGATCTACTGCTGAGAAAAAGACAATTATAAAACTTTCAAAAAGCTTACAACTTCTTGCATCTCCATCAGCTTCCGAGCAACAGATGTACTTATTGAATTTGGAAGATCTAGCACATTGGAAACCGTTTTGACAAAGATTTGAGCTTTTTGGATTGCATTCAACGATACTTCCAGTGGCTGGGTGAATGAAACCAGCAGCATTGAATGGACAACCGAAATCCTTTCCACAACATCTAAAACAACTTTTGAATACATCCCAAAAAATACAAAGATGAGTGATTTACGTAAAATAAAAATGAAAGAAAAATGCCTTGTCGTTGTTCCTCCAATAAGATTGCAGCCAAATCCGGTTGGGCAAGAGTCTGACTCACCAAGCACACAGTTTCTCGGTCGTCCGGTTGATGGCTAAATAGTTTTGATAAATTTAACCAATTTCAAATAGTTTTTCCACAATATTTTACAGAATTCCTATTCAAAATGATATTTAGCTATAGAATTTTCGATAAAACATCTCATTTAATCCAAACAAATTCTGCTTAACACTTTCTAATCAAATTTTCAAGTGAATCAAAGCTGAATCAGAGATCTTTCTTTCATTTCATGGCTCAATAATGGATCTCTTGGTTGAAAAGAAGTGGTGTTTACCCGTCGGGTTGTGGGGGATTCACCGGACTTTTTCTCGGCCGATAGTCCAGCCTTAAGGACCATCAAGTCAAGAAAAGGACAAAAAAATGAAAGAAAAGAGACAATCCGGCAGCCACCAGCCGTCTTTTCTCTTCTAGAAACGCCGCACTCTCGAACGTCTCTGTAAACATCACTTCCGTATTTGTACGCTGCCGTCGGCACTCCGATTAAACAATTGCCTCAAGTGGGAATTGAAAGGATTTGCGATGATGTGAAGAAAATGGAAATATCGAGAAAATGAAGGAAACTTTGATCGACTTTAAAATTTAATTAGAAAGTGTTAAAGTTAAGTGAAAAAGTTAGGTAAAAGAGTGGATAAAGAGTAGAAAACTGTAATGAAAATTCCAAAAAAATGATTGTTGAGAAGTTTTGTGAGAGAAAATGAATGTATTTTGGATTTTCGAAGCCACAATCAATCCAAATTTGACTTCAAAACGAATCAAAAAGCAAAGAAAGACTTAAAATCCGAGCTAAGCATTGAAAATTTCTTGATGACTTTAGACTTGATCAGTCAGATCAGATCAGAATTCATCCGTTTTCAAGCTAAGCTCTTTTTTAAACGTTTGAATTCATAATCCGAGCTAAGCAATGAAAATTTTAGAATTGATCACCTCAATGTATGTGACTTGATCGCTGCTGCACATGTTGAAATCGTCTGGAGTTGGAGCTGTGTTCTGACAACAGTAAGAGGTGCCCGTTCGTTCATACATTCGACAAACATAGCCTAAAATTCGATGTAAATTGAGAATTACATTACAAAATCTCAAGAAAACCAACCATCAGGACAGCTGGCGATCGACGGATTGCACACGACGGGCGCCGAGAGAATCGTTAATGGAATACCCGAACCACAGAGATCGTCTGGAATTTGTGACTTTAGGAGAAAGTTTTGATGTTTTTAGGAGTGTCAATAGTTGAATAACTTTTACAAATACTTTTTTTGGTTCCCCACCTGGTGCCTGGAAAAACGGTTGAGCGAGAATCGCGTCCGGTGAGTCGCTCATCACAATCGACTCGCATTGACCGCTCTTTGCATTGAAGAGCTTTCCAGAGACGCATTTTCGCTTGGAAAATGTTCTAAACAGAATTGTTAACTAGGAAACAAGAATTGAATCTTGATCTAGTGCTTATCAAACTCTAATCAACTCACCCCTCCAAATTACAATACAAATAACTCTCCGGGTTCTTCGGATCGGCCTTTTTTGTGTCGCTCGATGGGTCGCATTCGAGTTTTGCGTCAACGAGGAGTAAAATCGAGGATTGAAGTGCTAGCAGCGAGAGTATTTTCCATTGTTTTGGCTCCCGCATAGCTTGCCTAAGGAAAGATTTTAGATTTAAATCAACTTCACATAAGTAATAAGATAAATCAAGTTTGACAAAGCCAAAGCTAGATTAACAGAACATAAAGTCGATTGGATGAGCTAGGAAAAAAATAGTTGCTGAGAAGGAATATTGATATGAATCTACAATAAGAGCTGTAAGAGTTGTAAGAGTTAAAAACTTGCAACAGTTACAATAGTGACATAACGATTCCTGCAATTGTAGGCTTACAAATCCTATAAAGACGTATCTTCTTGATAACAATAGCGTTGTATATAAATGACTGAGCTTGACGTAAAGATTCACGTAAAGTACGTGTGCTGGAAGGAGGGGAGGAGTGATGGGAGGAGCGGACGCTGATCCGTATGGTGAAAAAGAAAGAAAAAGAGAAGGCGGACCCAGTCTTTTTCCCTCTTTCCGCTTTCTCGTTTTTCTGGTTTTCCTGATTCTTTCTTTTCAATGATGAGGTGTGAACCTCCCGTGCGACGGCTTTTCTCCTTTTCTGTAGCCGTTCAAGAGGTTTTCCAGAGGAAAGTGGAAAAGGTAAAGCCCCGAAAATAGGAGAAGAGCCTTCAGGCTTGGCGAAGGGTTCCGGCTTCCGTGCCTCGTCACCATTAGTAGATTCTGGAAAGGGATTCAGATATTCAATCTTGTAATATTGTGCAATTGGGAATAAACTTTAGAAAAAGATTCCAGTGAAAGTGAATTTAAGTTCTTAGTTTTTAGAACAAAGCAGCTACGGTGATTTTTTCTTAACCAACAAATTACAAAAGATATTGGTATCATCGGTTCCCAACTAAGGCTGGTGATGAATCTCGTCTTAGACTAAATGCAAAACGAGATTTAAATTCAACTTCGGTTTACTTGACTCTGAAACTTATTTTGTGTCTAGATTTCTGGGGAGTGGGACAAATGCGACCTTTTTTTGCGCACCCGGACATTTGCGCGCCTTTTTTTCCGCACTTAGCCCATTAGCGCACCTTTTTTCGCGTTTTAAAAAAGCTCTAAAAGCGAATATTAATCAATTTCTATTCCAAAAGTTGTTTTTCTAGGTAATTTGAGGGCGTAGAATCGAAATTTTGACATAACAGAGCGCGTGGAAGCGAACGGACGGAGTTATACAAAGAGAAAAATCGACAATTTTCTGTAATTTGACCTAGCCGTTTTGTCGTTCAAATTGGTTCCACAAGCTCTGTTATGTCAAAATTTGAATTCGATTTAGGTCAAAGAAAAGTTCTTTTCAGTTAGCTAACTTCTTTCACTCTTTTATATGTTATGTTCAATTAAAAATGTATTCAAATCAAACGTTCGGCTTGAAATTTATTGAATCAATTGTGTAAAATGTGAAAGGCTCAATGCGAAATGAAAAAAATCTAATTTTGTCACGCATGTACTAATGTTTTCTTTATTGGTGTTAGATTGAATCATCAGCAAGCTTAAACAATGTTGTTTTTTTTCTTTAATAAATGCTAAAGATATCTTGAAAAGATCTTTAAATTAAGAAAACAGTAAAAACTTATTGCAAAGATAAAAAAGCTGTAAATTTTACGCGATATTAAGGTAAAAAAAAGACCTTAAGATCGCGTTCTACACTCTTTTGTGACTGTGAATCTCGAGATTTTCCGTGAATTAATTTGCAATTAGGTAAATCGTTCCTTAACTATCAAGACTGACATTAAATCATTAGATATTCAAGCAGATTTTTACACAATTGTTTCGATAAATTCTCGACGTAACATATCTTTTCCTTCATACTATGACAATATCTAATAAACTTAGACAAAGAGTTTTTACTTTATAAGCTTTAGAGTTAAATTCTAGGTTAGATTTAAAAGACTGTTCTAAAAGATTGTTAAGAAAAACTATGAGCTTCGATTGCTGATTGAACAATGATCTTCACCAAATGGCACTAAGAAGAAGAAAGTTTAGATTTAAATCAAGTTCACATACCGTAAATACTGTAATAGTACCCCATCCCCATAATGACGGTGCGGAGTGTTGCGTAGTCTAGCTTTGAATGAGTTTTTCTCGACACTGGTTTAAGCTACAATGCGCGCTTTTTTGTGTCGCTCTATGGGTCGCATTCGAGTTTGCGTCAACGAGGAGTAAAATCGAGGATTGAAGTGCTAGCAGCGAGACTATTTTCCATTGTTTTGGCTCCCGCATAGCTTGCCTATGAAAGATTTTAGATTGAAATCAGCTTCACATAGGTAATAAGATAAATCAAGTTTGACAAAGCCAAAGCTAGATTAACAGAACATAAAGTCGATTGGATGAGCTAGGAAATCTTTTCCTTCATATTATACTAATAAACTTAGACAAAGAGTTTTTACTTTATAAGCTTTAGAGTTAAATTCTAGGTTAGGTTTAAAAGACTCTGTTCTTCTAAAAGATGCATTCATTGTAAAGAAAAACTATGGGCTCCGGTTGCTGATTGAACAATGATCTTCACCAACTGGCAATAAGCACATCTCAAAGTTGCTCATTTATTTATGTATAAATCTAAATGCTTAGAGCAGATACAAGAATGAAAATGGCAGCTTTACAGACCACTTCAAGTCAATGTTTTTTGGTTAACAATTTTTGGTAGACTGAGATCTTTCCCCTTTTCTCCGATTGTTTGCACATAAGAAAACGCCGTCGGGCAATCGAGAAAAAAAGGAAAAAGACAAGAAAAAGGACTGTTGAGTGGCCAAAGAGCCATGGACTAATCCCACGTGAACACTGAAAAAAAGAAAGAGAAGCAACTATGGCAAAATTCTTTTTTTGTTCTGCATCGTCGGCATTCCGATCTCAATGTGTGAACGAAGTGTGGGTCTTGTTCAGAAATCGTTTGGTTTTCAATGTTTCTAGAAACCAGAGTGACTTGGGACAAAATTTGGAATAGAATGGAAGCTTCTAGACCAAAGGGGTTTACCAGATTGTGAGTGATTACGTAACCGCACAAAGAACTCTTTGGAATCCTTTTATAGGGAATTCTCTTCTGCATTGTAGATGGTATAAAAAAGATATTTAGCTGCGAATTTGTACCCGGGGGTTTTCGGGGTCGAGGAATCGATTGAGCAAGCTCGTTTTTCTGTAATCTTATTTAAAATCATCATTTGAAACAGTATTACCATGATACAACGATTCAACAAACACTTTTCATAAAAAATCCCGCTGACTCATGCTTCTCAACTTCTCTTTGTTCAAGCTTTCTCAAAAAAACCTGCAACTAAACAGCTTATTGGTCGGTTAAGCGGAAGACGGCACTCTAGAAAAATAAGTGTTATTTGTTAGGGCCATCTGGACAGGACAGTTCTTGTGTTTATTCTATCTGACTCACCCCTATCCCTGAATTCACTCATTTCCCTCTCTTTCCACAACCGGATTCCCGCATCTCTCGTGATTCATTGGCACCGTCTACTGTTTTTCAAGATATTGAAAAGTAGAAAAACTTTTCTTCTAGATAAATAAATCCCCATAAAATGTTAATAAGTTAACCTGATTTACTGTTTTTACTGAATTTTACTGTTTTTTTACTGATTTACTGAAAGCTTCCAGATTTAATCTTAATCTACAAGTTTTAAGAAAACAGCTTCAAGGATCTTGTTTTTTTATCGATTAAGGAATCGTGTGAAATATTGAAAATTTCTTTAGAATAAATCAATTTACATCTAGCTAAAATGAGTTTTTTTTTTTTTGAGGAAATTGATAAGAATATAGTAAAACATTTGTTCCTCACTTTTGTTTCAATAAAAATTTTTTGAATTCAATTCAATCAGCAACTAGTCAACTGATTAATCAATATTTCTATTATCAACACTACCATTTGAGTTGAAAATTCGAATTTACATATTAGGTTGGCAAGAAAGTTCGTAGAAATAGTTTACAAAACTTCTCTTTTTAACACATTCAAAACCAGTTGACCGCACTAATGAACATTAGTTTTTAAAGATTTTTTGTGATTTATTTTTGCAGAAACTTCTCTAATTTTATACTTGTTTTTAAGAGAAGATTCATAGCTAACGAAAGAGTATAATAGTTTAGTTTATCTTTGAATATTCACTAAATTATGACTAAAACAGTTAACAACTACACTACTGGACAATGAATATCATATTTGAAAAAAACACTTTCGCGCGTCTATAACTCCCTTGTCTTTACCGTATTTCTAAATATTAATATTACCATTGTATAGCCCTTGAAAAGAGCTTTCAGAAAATGTATAACACTAATAGTTTAAACTTAAAGACAACGGAGTTACAGACGCGCGAAAGTGACGATCGTTTTTCAAATACCATATTTAATTGTCCAGTAGTGTACTTTCCATGTCTAATTCTCAACTTTCCCCCATTTACTTTATGTTTTTAAAGATTTCTAACACTGAGATCTTGTCTTAGTTAATTTCCATTGATTTCTATTTATTTTTAATACTATCTACACTACTGGACAATGAAATATGATATTTGAAAAAAGATCGTCACTTTCGCGCGTCTATAACTCCCTTGTCTTTATCGTATTTGTAAATATTAATATTACCATTGTGTAGCCCTTGAAAAGAGCTTTCAGAAAATGTATAACACTAATAGTTTAAACTTAAAGACAACGGAGTTACAGACGCGCGAAAGTGACGATCGTTTTTCAGATATGATATTTCATTGTCCATTACTGTACGTGTACGACTAAAATGCCGTTGTCGCGAATGTGTTAAAATGGTTCTTTATTATGTATTTATCAGTTTATTAGTCTTAATTGAATATTCATTTTTAAGAGAAGATTCAGAGCTATCGAAAGAGTATAATAGTTTAGTTTATCTTTGAATATTCACTAAATTATGACTAAAATAGTTAACAACGACGTGTACGACTAAAATGCCGTTTTCGCGAATGTGTTAAACTGGTTTTTTTATCAAACTTTCTGGTTCTTTATTATGCATTTATCAGTTTATTAGTCTTAATTGAATATCCATAAATCTTGATAAAAATATTAGAGTTTAAGAAAATTTCATTTATTGGATTTGAGAAGGCAATAAATACAGACAAATTCGGCACCAAGGTCAGCGTTTTTTTTTGGCAAAAAAATGACATCAAAGCACCAAAATGAGATGAAAAAAGCGAAAGAAAGCAAAAGAAAGCGAATTTGGTATGTTAATTTCTTTCAAGATTACAAAAATCGTATCACAGTAAAGATTGAGTTGGGGAAAAAGGTTCTGTGCAACATTTATTTCTTGAGATTGTTCGCGAATTCCTTTAGTTTTTCTTTAAAGTTCACTGCACGACTGGTCATTGTCTGAAATTAAAAATTAAAGATTAACAAAAAGATTTTGAACTAATAGGAGGCGATTATACTAGTTTCAGTCAACTTACTGTGACAACCCTATAGCTAAAAACTGGTTTGTGGCTTGGCTTTGCCTGAACTTATAGAGCTGATCATCCATTCCCAAAATCCTCAGCCCAAATCTGCCTAGTATATGATGTTACGACCGATCTAGACTGATTCTAGATCGGATGTTCGATCTAGAATCAAACCGATCATTCTAAATCTAATAGGATGTCTAATTTAGAGTGATCAGCTTGATTCTAGATTGAACGTTTGACGCTTGATCGAGCGTGATCGAACGCTTGATTCTAGATCGAACGTAACCTATACATATCAAGGGCACAGTTAAACATCCCTAATAAAAAAAAATGTTTATTTGCCGTCTCAAAAAGTATTCATCTCATTCTAATCATTCTAATTACAACTGATTGGCAGATATCGCACACAAAAATCAGCTAAAATATGAAATTTGACAGTTTTTGTAGTGCGTAAATGTTGTGTGGTAAACCAGGAAGAGTTAAAGAAGGGATTGGAATTAGAACCGATTCTCATCAAACCAAATTACCATATTTTCTCTAATAGTAGTGCACCCCGGCGTGCCGAGTTGGTGACTATTTTACGGTTTCCAAGCTTTTGCAGAAGCTCAACACTCTAATCCCCCCCAAGATCTCATCGTGAGCTACATTTTCCAATCCCACATCGATAGGTTCTGATAAGTGGTTCTCGAGATTTCGAGGAATTTAGGCGACGCTCAGGGTGCACTACCATTTTCTCTAATAGTAGTGCACCGCACCGAGCCGAGTTGATGCCTATTTTACGGTTTCCAATTTTTCCCAGAAGCTCACCACTCTAATCCCCCCCAAGATCTCATCGTCAGCTACATTTTCCGACCCCACATCGATAGGTTCTGATAAGCAGTTTGCGAGCTTTCGAACAATTTAGGCAAGGCTCAGGGTGCACTACTATTAGAGAAAATACAGTATCTTGGTTTAACAGGATGTAAAATTTATCGAAAAGCCAAATTTAAGGCAAATTGGCATAGTCAAGCCCAAAACCGTCGAAAATTTAATTTGTTAGCGGGATAAATTTCTTTTAACATGGATTTAAGAAATTTATAAATGAAAATTACATTACTAAACCTAGTTGCTGATAATTTGATTTGTGAGAATCGGTTCTAATCTAGTCCTTCTTTAATTCTAAAAATATTAATTCTAATAATGTTCCTTTGATTAGTTCAAAGTCGCAAACCTTTTTCTCGTTTTGTGGCGCCTCAATGCTGCACACTCGTCCCTCACGAATATCATGAGCCAAACAAACCAAAGTGCCCACATCGATTCCCTCAGGGAAATTCTAAAAATAAATGACTTATAAAAACATATTAAAACCTTAATAATATTAAAATAAAAGTAAAGTATTCAAAATTTTACCTGCAGCAATCGAAGTGACTCGGCAAAGCTTGCACTCAATAGATAATCCCGTTGTGACTCGATCATCGCCAAACAAACATAAGGTAGCAAAGAAAATCTGAATATTTTCTGTTTTAAGCTGACTTTAAGCTGACTATCTACCTAAGCGTATCAGCAAATAGAGAATCCCATAAAGTGATTACATCGGGGAGAGCGAATTCTTGGGAAAGTAAAAGGGAAAGCCAACGAAAGGCGTAGAATTGAGGGAGAATTTGGAGATCGATGACCATGTGTTGGTGGAGTTGAGCATCGAAAGAATTGAATAATTCGTGGAAAGAGCGCATCATTGATTCTAAAGGAAGATGAAAGGTTATTTTGATACTCTAGACTGTTTAGATCATCTTTGCAAGTAAAAGTGGACTAGTGTTCAGGAGGTTTCCTTCTTTCTTTCTTTCTTTCTTTCTTATTTCTTCTTGGGCAAGGAACTGATAACTCAGTAGTTGAGCATCTACCACTGAGTAGATGCTCTCGGTAAGTAGAAAGTCATAGCATCGGTAAGTAGAAAGTCGTAGCATCAGTAAGTAGAAAGTCGAGGGTTCAATTCCCCTAGGTTCTAAATTAATTTCTTTACTTTTTACCTATTCCACACTGTGAATCATCGAGCGTTCGGATGAAATTATCCTTGATCTCAGTCATCAACTGTTGAAAGCAATAGAAGGTATCGGCTTCAGCGAACTCGGCCCATTCCTTATCAGAATCCGAAGCAAATACGTAGTACAAAGGGCCGATCACTTCGTTCATTCCCTGAAAAATTTCAAATATATCTTTATTTCTCTATTAATTAAAGTATACCTGTACATATTTAACTCCAGGATTCAACTTGCTGTAAATGAAGAGAATTCGCTCAACCACCTGTAAATCATTCATTTCTATATTCCAAAATAAACCTTAACAATAGTAAAAGGTTTTTAAAGGTTTAAAAATGAAAATGCCTACCTGCCAATGTCTTTCTCCTTGAATGTGATCAACGGGAGAACAAACGTCATTGCTTGCTCGTCGACGTGCCGAATTCTTTAGCTAAAAGAAAATAAGTCAAAAAAAATATTATTAGAATATATTTTAAAAGGTTTATAATTATGTTTATTAAATTTTTACATTTGCCACTCCAAATTTATCCACTCGAAAGTCTTGTGCTTCAAGCTCAGCGCCAGTGACTCGAATCGATAGATTAACCCGGCTTCCCGACTATAATTTGGGGAGTGGGACAAATGCGACCTTTTTTTGCGCACCTGGACATTTTCGCACCTTTTTTTCCGCACCTTGCCCATTAGCGCACCTTTTTTCGCGTTTTAAAAAAGCTCTAAAAAGCTAATATTAACCAATTTCTATTCCAAAAGTTGTTTTTCTAGGTAATTTTAGGGCGTAGAATCGAAATTTTGACATATCAGAGCTTGTGGAAGCGAACGAACGGAGTTATACAAAGAGAAAAATCAACAAAATCAAGAAAAATCAATTTTCTGTAATTTGACCTAGCCGTTTTGTCTTTCAAATTGGTTCCACACGGTCTGATATGTCAAAATTTGAATCCGACACCCTCAAATTACCTAGAAAAACAACTTTTGTAATAGAAATTGGTTAATATTAGCTTTTTAGAGCTTTTTTAAAGCGCGAAAAAAGGTTCGCTAATGGGCTAAGTGCGGAAAAAAAGGTGCGAAAATGTCCGGGTGGGCAAAAAAAGGTCGCATTTGTCCCACTCCCATAATTTGCTAATATATTTCGCAAAATTAAAGATTCAATGAAAACTATTGACTTACTTTATGTGGAAATAGAGTTCTTTGTTGAAAGAATTGAATCTCCGGGCACAATCGTCTCACATCTTTATCGATTTGAGCGAGAGTCACATTGTCTTCAAAAAATCCTTTCCATTCGGATGATGTTGATTCGTTTAGCGGCTAAACTTATATAATATTATTGTGATTATCAGCAAAGGAATGATTCTTCGAGATTCTTAGAGAAAATGAGATGTTTTGCATTTGAGTTTTGCAAACTTACATGATCTTCTTCTGATTCAGCTTTGAGTAGGATTAATTGTTCAACTAAAGTATCATAGTTTGCTCGATGTTCTTTAAGGAATTGTTTCCATAATTGTCGCTCAGCTGGGAGATAGTTTAATAAAAGACGCCAGCCAATTGGTCGAAGAAGATCGGGGATTCCTGGAATGAGATAAATTGTTTGTTTGAGATAGATTTGGCAATTTTTGAGCTCACAGAATCTTCTCAATTTCACTCTAATCTCTTTGTCTTTGATTTTATTCGATAGAAAATGAAATTCTCCATCAATTGATATCCAAATCAAAAAAAAATCTAGAGAAATTGACCGAGATATGTCATTTTTTTTTTCTTTGGCGTTCACACTGTAAAATCGTAGATCGATTTTGCCATAAACAATAAACAATTGTGGATTTCTATAACGAAATTTCATAAGGAACATTTTAAGATCAACCACAAGTCGATTCGCCAATTAGAAGTCGAGATATGGGGGAAAAGAGAAGAGTCGTCAAACTCCGACTCTCTACCCCCTAGAGATTTGTAGATTTGTAGGGTAGACACTTATCTCGATAAGCAATACTTTTACCCTTCCTATTCAAGCAAAGAATTCTTCTCCATTTATTCTTTTGAAGAATAAGAATTGTTTAATTTAAAACAAACCATAACTGCAAGCGCTTTTCAACTCTTTCATATCGATCTTGAGCTTTTCAATCAGCAGCACTCCCTCGACTCTTTGTAATCTAAAAAAAAGTATTGGATAGAAAAAAAAAGAAAACAAGTTTACATATGATCCTCAAACAATCCCGTATCCAGATAAATCTTTTCCGGGAAATATATAGTTTCCATTATATAGAAAAATGGTAGGGTTTTAAAGATTTTTTTGAATGAAAATTGACATGGGGATTGTTTAAAGTACGAGTTTACTGATAAGACGACGCCAGGGCTTTTTTTTTCAAGGTCATTTCCAAAAATAAGTAGAGAATTTTTGAAATTCCTTATCAAAGATATAAGCTATATAAATTTGAATGGAAATTTTTAAGGATTTCCAATTTTTCCTATTTGAATGAAAATTTTAAAGGATTAAAATTATGCTTATTCTTAATAAACCTAAAAATATTAAGTTGAAGAGAAATATTGAAATAACTGGATAAAGATATTCAGTTAAGGATTTTATATGAATGTTTTAAATAAAAATCTTCATTAATCTTTGGGGTAGGCTAATTTTGGCAACTGGGTCATTTGCGTAACTCGCTATAACTTTCTTCTAAGTGGACCAATCTTTATGATTTTGGTGTCGTTTTGTAGATCTCAATAAGTGCAACAAAATAAAAGCAAAATAAGAAAGATTGGCCCGCTTAGAAGAAAGTTATGGTGAGTGGCGCAAAAGATCCAGTTGCGCAAATGACCCTTTTGCGCAAAAAATTTGGCACAAAGGAGCCTATCCCAAAACCTGCGCAAAAAATTGCCTTTGATTAAGGATAGGGCTTTCATTTTGTTGCACTTATTGAGATCTTTTTCATTTTGTTGCACTTATTGAGACCAAAAGCAACTAGGTCATTTGCGCAACTGGATCGTTTGCGCAACTCCCTATAACTTTCTTCTAAGTGAACCAATCTTTATGATTTTGATTTCATTTTGTAGATCTCAATAAGTGCAACAAAATAAAAGCAAAATAAGAAAGACATGGAGAGTTGCGCAAAAAAAAATTGCGGAAATTAGCCTACCCCTAAACATGGAAACAGGTGTCTTTTTTTTGCGCAACAGGATCATTTGCGCAACTCGCCATAACTTTCTTCTAAATGGGTCAATCTTTCTTATTTTGGTTTCATTTTGTTGCACTTATTGAGATCTACAAAATAAAAGCAAAATCATAAAGATTGGTCGACTTAGAAGAAAGTTATGGCGAGTTGCGGAGAAAAAAAATGCGGAACTTCGTTTACCCTCAATCTTTACCTTTCCAAATATCGATTGCTCATCTCATTTGTTTGTAGCGTTTTGTAATTGGCTTTCTTTAAAAAAAAAGGTTGAATAAATTAAAAAACGTCCGTTTTTTTATAAAAAATAGATATTCAATAAACGGTTAAACGTTTTTTTTTTCTGAGTTTCAGTCAAAATTTGAAAAATTTTTATTCCGGAAAAGAAAAAGACCCAGAAAAAATGCGAAAAAAGGCATTGAAATTGATTAAATATTTTATTTTATGAAAGTAAATTGAACATTTTACAATAATCACACAAAAAAAATCAATAAAATTGAATAAATTATTGATAAAAGAAAGTTTCGAATGAAAATTTAGCGATTTTTGTAATTTGTCTGACTTTTGGGAATATACAGTACTGGACAATGAAATATGATATTTGAAAAACAATCGTCACTTTCGCACGTCTGTAACTTTCTTGTCTTTGAGTTTAAACTATACAGTCCATACAGTTCTGAGAGTCCCCCACCCGATAAAGCTGCCGGGGTTGAACCACCTGTAACTAAGCTGTCATGACCGACTGTCTAAGAGCTAAGGCTAGACTTATCTTAGTCAAGAAGTCAAAGGTTCAATCCTGCTGTTAGATTATGATTCTTTCTTTGATATACAGTACTGGACAATGAAATATGATATTTCAAAAACGATCGTCACTTTCGCGCGTCTGTAACTCCATTGTCTTTGAGTTTAAACTATTAGTGTTATACATTTACTGAAAGCTCTTTTCAAGGGCTACACAATGGTAAATATTAATATTTAGAAATATCGTATTTTCTGACGCATTTCAGCGCGCGCGAAAGTGACGATCGTTTTTCAAGTATGATATTTCATTGTCCAGTACTGTAGTACTTTGTGATATAAACGCACAGTTTCTGGCACACCATTTGTGAAATTCTGGGGGCTTTTTAGTAAGTCAAAATCTTTTAAAACTTCAAAACGCACACTTTCTGATACACTGAAGTTTTCAAATTTGGCAAACAACTGTATTTTGTGTTCTAACAAACGCACAGCTTCTGGCAGACTGGATTCTACACTTTTCAGCAGTATTACACGATTAACTGCTTCAGTGAAAGAACTTTTATGCCTCATAATATGCCAGAAAGTGTGCGTTTAGTCTGAGCTGAAAGTACAAAGCTTGGAAGTAAAGTACAAGTACAAGACTTGGAAGTAAAGTACATGTACATGACTTGGAAGTAAAGTACATGTACAAGGCTCGAAAGTAAAGTACAAGTACATTGCTTGAAAGTAAAGTACAAGTACATTACTTGAAAGTAAAGTACAAGTACAAGTCTTGAAAGTAAAGTACAAGTACAAGACTTGGAAGTAAAGTACATGTACAAGGCTTGAAAGTAAAGTACAAGTACAAGTCTTCAGTATGCTAGAAGGTTTGCGTTTATAAACTTGCTGGCTAAAGCAGAATTTCAAAAAAATTGAAATTTCAAATTTCAAATGCTAATCCACTTTAAAAACCCAATAAAAAAAAGAAAAATAATTGAGAAAAAAACAATTTTTTGGAGAATGAGAGTGAAAAGAGTGAAAAAATTGCACAAAAGGCTATCACAGCGAGAGATTTACAGTTTAAAGAAGAGAGAAAAATGCGCGAATTGAAACGAATTCCAAAAAGTAAACAAACGTTTGATATTTGGGAAATTGGGGAAATTATTGAACAATGGATTTTGGTGAAAATAAAGAGCGATTTTCGATAAAGCTTGCATGAGACTGGATTTGGATTCTAATAGAGTTAAGGTTCTTTTAGTCAGTCATCCTTAAAAGTAACTTTTCCTAGCAAAGCAAGGAAAAAGATAGATCCTGATTTGGCTGCTGGATTCGAGTCTGAACCTTGTCATGCTTTGTCAAGGCACTTCTGGCCTTGTCTTTGCTTTTGTGGTCTCGTTTAAAAGTCTTACTTTAATAGGGCTATCGTTAAATAGCTCTCAATTTTAATCATTAATTCGATCTATCAAAAAACTAACAAATCTTAGAATTAGAGATCTTTTAAAGTTTAGATAATTGATTTAAAGACTCAAGTGTAAGACTCAAGTTTAAGACTACCGAGAGTGAGGCAGAGAGGCAACCTTCTCTCCTTTACCGCTCGAATTCAATGTATAAATAGGTATAAGCAGCTCAACTCTCTGATGGGGAGCAAGACTCAACTCGACCTCATGCAGCAACTTGGATTGTCAATTTTCGAGATGAGTCGTCGAACCAATTGCTCAAGAGACTGTATCAACCGAGACTCAAGTGTTTATCAGGCTGTACCGAGAGTGAGGCAGAGAGATAACTTTCTCTCCTTTACCTATTTGTAACTTGAATTCGAGCGGTAGAGCTAAAGGCCAAGTTAAAAATGACTAGCTTGCTCTTTCCTTAAAAATTGCTGAGTACTGGGTTGTAGTTTGACTAGTTTAGTCAAAGTCTTGAATCAGTTCTAGATCTAATCCATCACCTTAATCCTATCATCTCCTCCAGATCCGCCAGAATTGCTGAGTACTGGGTTGCAGTATGATCAACCTTAGTCCGTCAAAGTCTTGAATCAGTTCTAGATCTAATCCATCACCTTAATCCTATCATCAAATCCAGATCCAACTTGTAAGTATTGTATATAAGTTAATGTAATGAAAGAAAGCTATGAGGGAAAGTATGGCAAATTTTAAAAGTTAAATAAATAATACCTAAAATAAGTTTTTTAGCAAAGACGAAAAGTCGATAATTTTGACTAGTAAAGTGGGGAATTTTAGGGTTAACTCTTTAGACAAATTTACTTTACACATTTTTGTTTAGAGATCACGATTTGTTTCGCTAATTACTAGATAACTGTGAGAAGATGGAGAGGGTAAGTAAAACAATAAAAGATGTAAAAGAAGATAATAAATAGAAACACAGGGCAGATGATGGGTTGCTTTTTGATCTCAAACGATTTGTGCGCCCTTTCACTTATGTTTCTAAATGACTTATGTTTCTAAATTACGAGAAGAATGAAGAATTGAATGTACAGAAAGGGTGTTTAGATTTCGAGAACAAAATACAGCTTTAGTTTCTTGAAATTTCGAGACTTTAAAACAGAATATACTCTCTTGGGATGTTAAAGAGACTCGTCGCTTGAACATTGCAATCAATTCGTAACATTGATACCTAAAATCTTTGATTAGCTTTAAATGAAAGCAAAAATTAACTTATTTATTATTTATTTCTCACATTAACTTTATTTTATCTAATTTTTATCTAACAATAACCTATCAAAAAGGAAATTTCTGTAGAAATGAGCAGAAAATTGAGTTTGATTCGTTTTAATTAAAAACAAAAAGAATGGAAGTGCTTTAAAACACATTAGAAACCTTAGACATTAGCTAATTTTTAAAATTACAATTGTAAACTCACAATTGGATCACCTCCAGTAGCATTTGGGGCCAAGGCAGGCACGATAAGGGAAAGTCTCGGTTGAGTAAGTGGATCTCTCATATCTGATGGCATCAAAAGGTACTAAAGTTTGATAAACTGATGGGATAGATTATTTACAATACCTGACCACCAAATAGATACAATGTATCTTTTCTTCTTTGCACTGCTCGAGCCAAATTTGTATAGAGTTCGGCATCGATCCGTGGTGGGAGAGAATGCTCAACGAAACGCGGCGTCTCATAGCTTAAATTCGCCATTTTTGGAGATCCTGGGTGATTCTTGATGATCGATGATCTAAAAGAAATAGTTTATAACTTTCATAGCTTAATTTTCATCATCATAAAAAGTTTCAAAGCTCATTCAAACAAAGATTTTCCAACTTTTTGCTTTAATCTTTAATCTTTAATCATTTAGCTTCTAGAAAAGCCTAATCAAACAATAAAATGGTAGAATAAAATTCAAAATTCATACGAGATTTCGATTCTTTCCCTCAGAAAGTCTAAGTTTTTAAAAAAAAAATTACCCGGTTGAATTTGAGTTAATCAAGTCGAGGTGTTTCCAAGCGCGATCTCGAATCGCTTTTTGCCGAGCTGTCTCCCGTTTTCGTTCACCGGAACTAAAATAAAGAAAGTTTATGTCAAAAAAGATTGTTAAACAATTGTTTGAACTAGTTTTAACTATAAGTGCGCTGATCAGGGTTGACCAGAGCCCGTGCCTTAATATCGTGGGAAATGTTTCCGAAAATTCCGCGGGAAATGCTTCCCCGGGTTCCAGAATATCGCGGAAATAGATGTAGGAAATCCAAAAATATAATTTCTTACGCCATCATCTTTTCCGCGGGGAACTTTTATAATGGAAAAAATAATATCGCGCAAATGACGGCGAGAAACCAGAGGGAAATTTTTGCCCGTGCGGAAATTTCTTACTCGATCATCTTTTCCGCGGAAACTTTCCCGCAAGATGATGGCGTGATAAAGAGATAGGAAGGGAAACTATTTCCCTCGGGAAAAACTAGAGGAAAATTTTCCGCAATATTATGGCCCGAAATTATGGCTAGATTATGGCAGCTTTTTTGGAAAAGTTGCTGGCAAACGTCTGGCTTATTACCAAAGTACCAAGTGTTATATAGAAAAATAAAGCCCTTTATCTTGGCATCGTTTATCTAAAAAGAACTTCCCGATTGGAATTATACAACTCATTTTATAAGCTCTTGAATGAGCCCAAGTCGGCCTCTCTCCAGCTATCTGTTATTTTCTTAATAAAAAATTGTTGTTTAAAAGTTTTCTCGATATTTATTTTGTGAAAAAATAAGAGTTAATATCATTTGATAGCAATAAGAATAACAGTAAACTCTTTTGTCAAAGTTTCATAGCCAAAATTAAGATTGATTTGGAAACTCCACAAAACAGGGAAACTTGAGCTTTTTCGAATATCCATTTGACAAGAAAATTTTGTTTTATAAGCTTCACTAGCGTTATATTTCTGTTGAATGGTACTTTTAAAGTAAAATACCACAAGTTTGATTCAAAGAATCCCTTTTTAGGTGGAAAATGGCAGATAGCTGGAGAGAGGCCGACTTGGGCTCATTCAAGAGCTTATAAAAAGAGTTGTATAATTCCAATCGGGAAGTTCTTTTTAGATAAATGATGCCAAGATAAAGGGCTTTATTTTTCTATATAACACTTGGTACTTTGGTAATAAGCCAGACGTTTGCCAGCAACTTTTCCAAAAAAGCTGCCATAATCCTGCGCCACCCCGGTCCTATTTTCTATAATATTCTTTATTGCGTTAAAACAAAATCGAATTTTTAAGCTTTTTCCAACTTTAAGGAGAGTGATAGAACTTTTAATGCACCCTTTAGGTTTAAGTGTTAAGTGTTACCTAGTTCTCGGCATCACTCCAGTCTCATTAACCAACAATCGCTGAGTGCTCCCAAATCTAACAACTCCTCCATTTGCAGCCGAATGTCGAGAAACCCATGTATCCAACATGTTCCCAAGACTGAAATATTTAAACATACCGTAAATACTGTAATAATACCCCAACCTTCTCGTACAGTCGCGTAGTCGCAAAAGTTTTTTAGTATTTCATTCTTTTTCAAAGCGCTCGTACTTTCAAAAAATGCGTCTTTGGTATCAAAAAATAGCTGAAATTCAGGGCTATTTTTTCATACCAAAGATAATGACGGTGCGGAGTGTTGTGTAGTCTAGCTTTGGACGCGTTTTTCTCGACACTGGTTTATGCTACAATGCACGCTTAGGTATCAAAAAAGCCCGCATTGTAGCTTAAACCAGTATCGAGAAAAACTCGTTCAAAGCTAGACTACACAACACTCCACACCGTCATTATCTTTGGTATCAAAAAATAGCCCTAAATTTCAGCTATTTTTTGATACCTAAGCGCGCATTGTAGCATAAACCAGTGTCGAGAAAAACTCGTTCAAAGCTAGACTACGCAACACTCCGCACCGTCATTATGGGGCTGGGGTATTATTACAGTATTTACGGTAACTTGATTGATACTTCTATTTACTTTAAAACTCACATTTGAAAATCTGTTGAATTGGCGGATTGATTGAAAACAGTTTGTAAAGTCTCAACGGTTTTCACGAATTTCTCATCAACTTTCAGCGTTCTTGATGGTGATTCGGGTTTAAATTCCCCAGAAGGAGCTCTGAAAATCCATCAAATTCTTGCTAAATTTTATCATTTACCCAAAAGGTGTCGAAATAATGCCGGCAGTGAAAACGAGAGCGAAAACGAAGATCGTTCCACCAGCCATCGCTCTCATCGCTCGCACTCCCTTTGCATTTAAATTTGGAGCTTCTAAAGAAGCCAATCCACAACGAGCTCTCAATTCTGCATTTTCGGCTCGAAGTCGAACATTTTCTTTTCTAAAATCAATATAATTTCTATATAATCTTCAAGCTTTTTAATCTTAAAAGATAACAAAATTTTTCTCATTTTCTAAAAAAAAAACTGTAATATTATTTTACATGATTTGTCCGGATTGAATCAATTCTTAAACTCTGTAATAAAAAGACAAGATACTCTATTACAATACCGCAAAAGTGGGGCACAGAATTTCTTTATTCTTTTTATTAGACTAGACTAGACTAGGTTAGCCAATTTCCCTGACCTCAACTGCTCATTCTCGTTCGTCACCCTCATCAACTCCTCATCTTTCTGTAACTGGGCCTTCTTTTTCTTTTCCCTTGATTGTTGTGCAAAGTGTCGATTTCGTATCTTTCTTTGCTCTTCAGCTGAGAGTGTCCGTGTTTGAGGGATTAGAGAGATTGGTTGTGCCGTCAAACACGAAGAGACTGTTGTCCCGTTTGTGATTGTTACCTATAAATGTTATCTATTGTTGTGATTGTTACCTACCTATACCTTTGTGTGAAAAAAGATTTAGTTATAAATTTGTTCAATTCTCATTACCGGTTTTCCAAGTATCACTCGAAGAGGTTCCACGTTTTTCGGTGCAGTGAGGACGATTTGTTGTTTAAGCTTTTGATGAACGACGGGTATTTCTTGAAAGACGTAAGTGGACTAAAGTTTTCGAGGTTTCCTTTAGTACAAATCACTTGAAATTAAACCTGTGAGGTAGATGGTGAAGAAATTCTTGTTGGAGAGACACTAGGACACGATTCAACGGGTGAGGGAAATGGGTGAAGAGGCTGAAAAGAGATTTTTAGTTTAAAAGAAGAAAGGTTTGGAAGTTTCAAATTAAACAGCTTTTCTCTAATAGTAGTGCACCGAGCCGAGTTGATGCCTATTTTACGGTTTCCAATTTTTCCCAGAAGCTCAACACTCAAATCCCCCACTAGATCTCATCGTCAGCTACATTTTCCGACCCCACATCGATAGGTTCTGATAAGCGGTTCTCGAGATTTCGAGGAATTTTGGGCGACGATCAGGGTGCACTAATATTAGAGAAAATACGGCATATTGTTGTTAACTATTGTTGTCTCTATTGAAAAGCCTATAATCAGTGTTTAAAGTACTGGCTGGTTAAAGTTTCAATGTTTTAATGTTTCAACAAATGCTTGACTTGAGTAGAAAATGAATACCGTATTTTCTCTAATAGTAGTGCACCCCCGGCGAGCCGAGTTGATGCCTATTTTACGGTTTCCAATTTTTCCCAGAAGCTCAACACTTTAATCCCCCCACTAGATCTCATCATCAGCTACATTTTCCGACCCAACATCGATAGGTTCTGATAAGCGCTTTTCGAGATCTATACTCAAATACCGTATACTCTCTAATTGTAGTGCACCCCGGCCGAGCCGAGTTGGTTCTCGAGTTGGTAACCGAGTTGGTAAGCGGTTCTCGAGATTTCGAGGAATTTAGACTACTATTAGAGAATAGACGGGATCTTTATTTCAAAATAAGCTCACAATCAGTATTCGTTTTGTAATCAACGGTAATCAAATAGAAAATTCACTTAGAAATTGATTGGCTTTAAATCTACTGAATCAATTGAAATCTAGAACTAAACAAACCTCATCAACAAACTCATACGAATATGGATAATTGTGATTGTTGTCATGTGAAGGGAAAACGTCATTTAGGACGAGTGGTGGCTGAGATTTGATCTGATTTTGTTGGTATCCATTCATTTGGCAATTCCTCTGTTCCTCATTTGACCAGCCACTAAATAAGGAAATAGAAAAGGTGAATAAGTCACATTTGAAATGATAACTCACGAGCTGGAAGCAGTCGAATCTCTTCGACCATTCACCGAACCATCGGAGTCCTGAAAAAAGGCTTTATTTGAAAACAATTTTGTTTATTTGTAAACATTTCCATCTTTATTTCCTTTCTTTACCTAAATATCTTTTATTTTTCAACTTACAGTTAAAGGAGGAGATGGAAAAAAGCCATCAACATCAGTTGCACAGATATCTTGTAAAAATGTTGGATCAATCGAGTCCAAAAGATCTCTCTAAAAGAAAAGTTTTATAAAAAAAGGCATTTGTTAAGATTTTATTGAATAAACATCTATTTACTATCATTTATTCTTATACTGTATAATGTATAATTTCAATAAATGAAAGATTTATTGCTTATATTACTCAATTATTATATTACTTATTATATTACTTATTATATTACTCAATTATTATATTACTTATTATATTGCTTATTATATTACTCAATTATTATATTACTTATTATATTACTTATTATATTACTTATTATATTACTTATTACATTATCTTATTATATTACTTATTATATTACTTATTACATTACTCAATTCTTTAATATCAAAGGACAAGAAAATATTGAAAAGCCTTCACTGTTATCTGAAGCAAAATTTTGATTTTTATATTCCTTTATCTTCTTTAATGTTTTGATTTTGAGCTTTCAGTTTAACTAATTTTGTTTAGAAACAAATTGACAAACCATTTCATCTGGATAAACCCCGATTCCATCTTCTACATCCATCCTAGAGTGGCTGAAAAGTTGACATTATTTAATAAAATTTCACAAGTAAAAAGAAAAGTTAGCGTTATTTCATAAAATTTCACAAGAAAGAAGAAAAGTTGACATTATTGAATTAAAATTTAACAAGTAAAAAGAAAAGTTAACGTTATTTAATTAAATTTCACAAGTAAAAAGATAAGTTGACGTTATTCAATGAAAATTTCACAAGAAAGAAGAAAAGTTGACCTTATTCAATTAAAATTTAATAAATGAAAAGAAAAGTTAACGTTATTTAATTAAATTTCATAAGAAAGAAGAAAAGTTAATGTTATTGAATTAAAATTTCATATAGAAGAAGAGAAGTCATCTTTGTTTTTTTGTTTGAAAGAAATCTAGGTCAAGTCCAAAAAAAGAGTCAGTTGCTCAATGTAAACTACAGAGGAAAGCTCATATAGAACAGGGAAAAGGGGAAATGAATGGGCGTGCAACGTTGCACGTCCAAGCTATCCATTGATTCTCCTCTGTGCATACAAATTGCGCGTACAAAGGAATGGCTTGTAGTTGATGGACAAATGAGTTACTGTGGGGGTTTGTGTGGGTCTAACGGATCATTAAAGGTTTAAGGATGTCCTTGAGAGTGATGAATCTCGAGTAGAAGGTACAATTCTTGTCACACAACAGAATGAGAAACAAAATAAAACATTTTACATACGAAAAAGATCATCTAAAAGATTATAGCTTATAAAAAGGTCTTCTGTTCGTATTTTCAGCCAATTCTCAATCATATAGTATTCAATTGAAAATTTGAATTCAATAAGTTTAACAAACGAAGTTAAACTTATTGCAATTCAATGCTAATTACAATAATGCAATTCGGGGGTGGGACAAATGCGACCTTTTTTTTGCGCACCTTTTTTTTTGCTGGAAAAGGCCTTAGGAAAGGTCGTAGAGGTTCAAAAATGTTTTCATAGAAGGGAATCGTATACGTAGATTCCGAATTTTGACAAATCAGACCTCGCTGACACGTCAAATTTGGGCTAAAAGGCAAAAACTACGCAACTTAACGCTTTTCCGCAGTTTTTGCCTTTTAGCCCAAATTTGACGTGTCAGCGAGGTCTGATTTGTCGAAATTCGGAATCTACGCATACGATTCCCTTCTATGAAAACATTTTTGAAGCTCTACGACTTTTCCTAAAGCCTTTTCCAGCAACAAAAAGGTGCGCAAAAAAAAGGTCGCATTTGTCCCACCCCCTGCAATTCAATTTAATTTTCAATGCAATTTAATGCTCTAATTTTTGAGACTAATTTTTACCATAACCTTTGACTGCATTTTTGATAGGAATTCTAGAAAAAGTTGACAAGACAAAAAAAGGGAGAAAAAAAAGAAGTTTCCTTGATTATACAAGGAAATAAAGAAATTTATATGATTTATATTAGGTTGGCAAGTTATAAACGATCGTTTTTTGGTAATGTGTTTTCTGAAAAAATGGCTTATCCAATCAAAAAACGGTTTACTTCATTCAAAAGCCCTATCCTTAATCTACAAGATGGCTTTTTTGTATTTGTGAAAAATGTTTTATTTTAGAACTTTTTCAGGCATTAGAACTAATGTAAGAGTTGAAAATCCTGGTTTCTAGCATTCATGAGCCAATATATTTATGAGTGATTGAATACTTTTTAAAATAAAACGTTTCATCGATTATATAGTTTCCCAAAAAATTTCAGAACAATCCAATCGATCGAACCGTTCTCTTTCTTTTAATCTTTTTTTTTAAAATCTTGCTTAAATTCAAAAGAAAATGGATTAAATTAGCACAAAAGTGCATTTTGAGCCTAATTTGAAAATCAACCTTCCGAAGATTGGATTGTTCTGAAATTTTTGGGAAACTATATAATCGATGGAGCGTTAGATTTGAGCCTCATGAATGCTAGAAACCAGGATTTTCAACTCTTACATTAAAATGCCTGAAAAAGTTCTAAAATAAAAGATTTTTCAAAAATTCAAAAAAGCCATTTTGTATTAGGTTGTCCAGTTATAAATGCGCGTTTTTAAGATAACAACTCTTTATTTTAAAACCAACAGTTTAACAGCTCAATCAACAATATATTCACCATTTGTTAACATTATTTGTTTCCATCTTCCATGCAAAGAATGAATTCCCTCCGCGTAAAAATTGGCTTGTTTTGAGGCAAAGAAGTCGGCTATCCATTTTTCGACCTCTTGAACTTCTTTGAACTTGTTTCCGGCCAAATGGCTTCGCATTGAGCGAAATAAATGGTAATCCGAAGGCGAAATATCCGGAGAATATGGCGGATGCGGGAGAGTTTCCCAGCCCAACTCTTCGAGTTTTTCCTGAACAATCTTTGCAACGTGTGGACGGGCGTTATCTTCAATGAACTTTATGTTTGAAGGATCAAGGCCTTTTTGTAGCAATACATTGTTCACTCGTTCCAATTGTTGTGCATACGTTTCACCCGTGATTGTTTGCCCAGGTTTCAGCAGCTCAAAATACCCAATGCCTTGGGAATTCCACCAGACAGTAAGCATTACTTTCTTGTCAAGGAAGTCGGGTTTTGGTGTTGGTATTGGCTCCACACCAGGTTCTAGCCATTGCCGTTTTCGTGTAGAATTATCATATTGAATCCATTTTTCATCGCAAGTAAGTATTTCATCGTAAAACCCAGTATTTTTTGCCAAACGAAGAAGAATACCCGCCATAGTGACACGAGTAGCTTTATTGGCATTGCTGAGAAGATGAGGAACCCATTTCCCTTGTCGGCTTGTTTTCCCCAATTGATTTAAATGCTCAGAAATGGTTTGAGGGCTTACTCTAAATATTTCTGCAAGTTCACGCATCGTTTGTCGAGGATCCATTTCTATCGCCTGCTTCAGTACTGCATTATCGATCGCAGGAGGTCGTCGTTGGTGGTCTTCGTCTTCCAAAGATTCATTTCCTTCTCGAAATCGTTGAAACCATCGGCGACCGAAATAGCATCTTCGCCAAATACTCTGCAGAGATCTCGATGGGATTCAACGGCATTTTTGCCCAATTTGAAGTCATAACAAAGACTGGTACGATGACGAAACTTCGTCTCGGTTATTTAAACACGGAAATTAAATCAAAAATGAATTAGTTTAACGTCAAAAACACGAAAAGTTGTAATAAATAAGAAATCTTGAACAACATATAGAGAATAGGGTTTGGTAAAATTGTATAGCCCTAAGGTACGCTGTTCAAGAGCAGGCGCGCATTCATAACTGGACAACCTAATAGATTAAGGATAGGGCTTTTGAATCAAGCAAACCGTTTTTTGATTGGATAAGCCCTTTTTTTTGAATAGGCCTTTCAGAAAACACATTACCAAAAAACGATCGTTTATAACTTGCCAACCTAATATTTAAAATAAAAAGAATACAATATGAAACAATTTAAAATTGATTTGATTGTAACATAAAATTGATCTGATTGTAAGATAAAATTGATCTGATTGTAACATAAAATTGATTTGATTGTAACATAAAATTGATCTAATTGTAACGTAAAATTGATCTGATTGTAAGATAAAATTGATCTGATTGTAACATAAAATTGATCTGATTGTAACATAAAATTGAGCTGATTGTAACATAAAATTGATCTGATTGTAATATAAAATTGAGCTGATTGTAACATAAAATTGGTTTGATTGTAAGATAAAATTGAGCTGATTGTAGCATAAAATTGAGCTGATCGTAAAATAAAATTGGTTTGATTCTGATCTGATTGAAAAGAGTTTAGTGAAATTAATATTCTGGATCGTTTTTCGGGAAATGTTTCAAGTGAAGTTTATTGCTTTTCTATGAATAGTGTGAAAAGTGAAATAGAAAAAAAAATCGATAAACGAAATAAACACAGAAAAGGTGATTTTGTAAACGTTTATCTATATGAAAAAGGTAAAATTTCAAAAGAAAATGATTTTGTTACAAGAGAAAGACTAGCGAATCTTTAATCTTAAAAAAAGAATCTTAAACCAAACTTTAGAACTATGATCTTGTAGAAAATTCAAGAAAGAATTGTTTGATTGAATTTCATAAGATAACTTTCTTTTGATTTCTTTTGTTTCTTTTGAGAAAAGTTTCTTTTGATCAGCCAATCACAAACGAAATGTTTGTTAGAAAGTTTCAAGTGAACCGTTCCCTTTCCACATTTTCTTTTCTATTGCTATCGGCAATAATTCCTTTCTTTCTTTCTTTCCTTTCTTTCTTTCCTTTCTTTCCTTTCTCTCTTTCCTTTCTTTCTCTCTTTCCTTTCTTTCTTTCTTTCCTTTCTTTCCCTTCCCTTTCCCTTTCCTTCTTTCCTTTCTTTCTTCTCCTTCCTTTCTTTCCTTCCCTTTCTTCCTTTCTCCTTTCCCTTCTTTCCTTTCTTCTCTTTCCTCTTCCTTCTTTCCTCTTTCCTTTCTTTCCCTTTCCTTTCCCTTTCTTCCTCTCTCTTTCCTTTCTTTCCTTTCTCCCCTTTCTTCCTTTCCCTTTCCTTTCTTCCTTTCTTCCTTCTTTCCTTCTTTCCTCTTTCCTTTCTCCTTTCTTTCCCTTTCTTCCTCTTCCTTCTTTCCTTTCTTTCCTTTCTTTCTCTCTTTCTTTCCTTTCTTCCTCTTTCCTTTCTCTCTTTCCTTTCTTTCTTTCTTTCCTTTCTTTCCTTTCTTTCCTTTCTTTCCTTTCTTTCCTTTCTTTCCTTTCTTTCCTTTCTTTCCTTTCTTTCTCTCTTTCTTTCCTTTCTTTCCTTCCCTTTTCCCCCTTCTCTTATCACCAAGTACTTCTTATTCGAATTTTCTCTTTTTCTTCACTAAACGAGTTCCAATAGCGCTTGAAACTTGATATCACTAAACGCTTTGGACTCAAATTATCTTTGAATATTTTATCGATGCATTCATTGCTTGGGAGTGTAAATCGATTCAAAGATGAAAAGTTGTTCAAGCTTTAAATATCGATATTGAAATTTCGTGAATATGCTAAAACACAACATTCTTTGATTCAAAACATTGTTAAAAAAAGAAAATCTAACGAGTTTGAAAGTTTGAACTCTAGTCTGAACTCTATATGTATAAAAAACTGGTACATGTGAATTTGTTGGGCGCAATTCTTCATATGAATCACTCGATTTGTGACTTCTCAACAAGAAAATATGTTCATTTTGCAAATAAATGCAAATTGTGATCGAAAATAGTAATAAGTACCGTTTTTAACTATCAAAAGTTTCCTCTCGTACTTTAACCAAACAAAAACATTACTACTTTAACATAACTTCATTTGCTTCACTTTTCTGTTCAATCCACAATGTATACATAGAGAAAACATGTTTTTTTCCCTAAAAAAGTATTATCATTTGATCGACTTTCTCCATCAAAAGTCGACTTTTTATGGGATGATGAGATTGCTTTCAGAAGGAGGTCGATGGGGTAAGAGGAAGCACTTATCCAGAAATACTTGATGGCCTAGTCTTTTCCTTCTTCAGTTCATCAATTTCATAGGGACTTGGGACCTAAGGTCTATCTGATGAAAGAGCTAACAAAAAGAGCTAACAAAAATTCACATATCTAGGATTTAACTAAAGATAAGACAATGGCCTTGTAGGAGGTTTTTTTACTTGTCCCTTACATGCCTCACATAGGCCCTAGGCTCTGATTGATCCTGGTCATGGGGTGGGCCAAGCCTCAGTCCAATCTAGAATAGCATCAATCACAGTGAGTCTACTGTGTGATATCAAGATATCAAAAATCCATCCAACAGTTTTCTTGATTTCTACCCCTTCTCCTCTTCCCGGATCTATAGATTAGATAAATTAGGTAAATTTATCGTAAAACACATAGGATTATAGAGAGCCTAGTTCATAGAAATGCTTAAAAGATAACAAAACTCATCTAAACATTAGACTTTTACGCGCATCGCCACCTCTGCCGGCCCTGGAATCAATTTAACCTATCTAGGATTTAGGTAAGAGTGATAAAAGAGCCAAATAGCCCATCCCAGCTAAAACAAATCAAATAGCCGAACTTAAACCCAAGTCTTCTACTTCTTTCCAGACCTAGAATCAATCTAACTCAGGTTTTAGGCAAGGATAGGAAAAGCCCTAAGCCCTGGGATCACAGAGAAACTAACTATAAATTCCGAGATATGTAAGGGATAACAACAAAAACCCCAGCCTTCCACCCTTGTCTCTTTACCTCTTCTAGCCCTGGGATCAATCTTATACACCTATGTTTTAGGTAAGGATAAGAGAGCCAGCCCTATGGCCCACCCCATGACCAGGATCAATCAGAGCCTAGGGGGGCCTATGTGAGGCATGTAAGGGACAAGTAAAAAAAACCCTCCTACGTGGGCGGCTCTATTCCCCATCCTTGAGAGAGTCCGTGACGACAGCCCCACATCCATCCAAACCACTCAGTTCCCCTTCTCTCTTCACTCTTCGAAGCTATCATTTGCCAGATTTCTGAAAAATTTTGTGTGAAATGGGTAAGTGTCGAAGTGCGGACTCGTCTCCCATCGAACAGCAGTCACAGCCTTGCACTCAAAAGGAAATCTCCTCGTCAACCACCTCACTCACTAACACCACTCAAGCAATGAACTATTTTCGGCACATCCCTTTAGCGAATTCACATCTAGCTGCTGTGAATAATGGTTTGCTTTGGATTTGATTGTGATTGTAGATTCTTTTTCTTTATGGAATGTCCTGATGGGAGGGAAAGAAAGAGTTTTGTGGAATTGAACTGGAATTAGTCGGAATTACAGTAGTTGATTAGTCGTATAGTCTAAATTATTGTGCAAGCATTTGAGCAATGCTTGCTAATACCGTACTCTGTCAGAAAGACACTTCTGTTGCTGCTCCAATGCTTGCTAATAATGCTAATAAAAACATTTCTACAAGTATTCAAGTATCTGGTTTTGTAGAAATGCAAAAACTGGTACTACTTTCAACGAACATTATGCACAATGCAAATTCCTTGTTCTTGAAGTTCCCTTTTGCTTCTCTCAATCTTCATCAATAATTCTTTAAGGCAAAATGTCGTATTGTTCGTCTGCATGTAAGCACTTGCTTTAAAAATCACTTCCTTTAAAGATACCGTACTCTGTCAGAAAGACACTTCTGAGTTAACGAATTTAAACGATTCAAATCTCAGTATTAAACTTAAACCAAACAGACTACGGTAGCTTTTCCATTTAGAAAACTCTTTATTCGAAAATTTCATTACATTTAAATAGAAATTTTCCTTTTCAGCGCTTTTTCAAGATATTCAAGGACGTCAAAAAGAGTTCATGAAAATGTTCAACTCGGGTGATCCGAAAGTAAGTAGTTTATAGTTTGTTAACAAACCGAAAGTAGTTTCTTTTAGATAAATATCAAGATAAAGTATTATAATAAAGCTTTTTAATAAGAAATTATAAGAAGAACATCGAAATTATTGTAAATACCATTCAACTTTCCAGGGAGCTGCTTCGATCTATGACCCGGATGGTTATTTTATGCCTAATGGCCACACACCGGTTAAAGGAAGAGCTGGTAGTTGGAAAAATTCTTTATTTGTTGATATTATTTAGTTTTCTATTCATTAAATCAATTTGTCTTTCAGGAATTGAAAGCTACTTTAAACAGGATATGTCCGAAGGAGTGCAGACTGCACAGGTATCATTCTTTAAACACAAACCTAAACGTAAACATACTAGTTCATCGAATAGAACTAGAATGGAGTTGGAGGCCATCTGGATGAGTCTCCCATTTACCACTTCTCCCATCTCCTTTCTTTACCCATTTCTCAGCAATCATCCATTTATGAAAGACCCCCAGCAGACTAGAAATCACAAAAATTCATTCTAAAAAACTTAATTTAGATCATTACCGAGGAAGTGAATGGGAGTGGAGATTGGGCTTTCGAGAGAGGAAGCTATCATCTTGATGGAACGAAGGGCAAAGAGAGTGGAGCATATCTTCTTGTTTGGAAGAAGGTAAAAAAAAAGAAAGATAGAAACAAGAAAATAAGAATTTCTTAATAAAGAAGTGAAGGAATTGACGAAAAAAAAACTAGATTTTGAGGGATTGAACTTTCGGGCATTGACACTTTAGCCAGTGAGCTCTCCAGGCTATCCAATAGCTTAACTTGGAAAGAGAAAGAAGGAAGCAGGAAGGAAGAAGGAAGGAAGAAAGAAAGATAGACAATTAGATCGTAAAATAGAATAATTGTATTGGTAATTCTATACATTTCAAAGATCAGATTTCATTTTATTAAAAGATTGGTCAGAAATGGCTGTAGATGGCTGTAGATTGACAGAAGTGGCTGTAGATTGGTCAGAAATGGCTGTAGATGGCTGTAGATTGACAGAAATGGCTGTAGATTGGTCAGAAATGGCTGTAGATGGCTGTAGATTGACAGAAATGGTTGTAAATTGATCTAATTTGTTTTTCATAACAAGTTTCTATCTAAATTTTCATTTTCTTAAAGCCTACTATCATCTAAATGATTAGTCAGTAAATTTTCTTAATTTTCAACTCTTCTAAAGTCTCATTCAGGTTGATGGCGTTTGGTTGATCCACAACGATTGCTTTAACGTCATTAAAGCTGCTGATAAATAGATTTTCTTTCAAAAAACTTCTTTCAATCTGTCAATCTTCATTTCCTAGTGTGTTTTTCTGTGTGTAAATGACAGTTTGTTTTTTTTTTAAATTTCCTTTTAAACATCATTCTCTTTTTGTTAAATAAAAAAAGTGTCAAAAGCAGAAAAATTTTTTGTTTTATGTTTTATTAGAGGTTTCTTTTTTTTCAACAATTGGTCACTGACTGCAAAAATGTGAATATAAAAAAGATTTTTTTGACATGATAAAGAGGAGCTCTTAAAGAAAGAATAAAGGAGCTTTTAAAGAAAAATATTAAATAGAAAATAGCGAAAGATTCTCTGAAATTTCGAAATAAAAAGAATGAAACAAAGAACACGCAGCCGTGAGCGAATAGCGAAGAACCCGTTAGGGGAAATTACTGGGAAAACAGAAAAAAAAGGGTGAATTCAAAAAAATGGGAATAAGAAAATAAGAAAATAAGAAAAATTCCGAAAAGTAGACTGATTTGTTGGATTTTTTCTCGAAAATCTTCATAACTTTCGTCATTTTTCTATTCTAAAAACGGGGAAAAAGAGTTTGAAATGGTTTTTTTAAAGCTTAAAATAGCTTTAAACATACCGTAAATACTGTAATAGTACCCCACCCCTCTTGTACAGTCGCGTAGTCGCAAAAGTTTTTTTAGTATTTCATTCTTTTCCAAAGCGCTCGTACTTTCAAAAAATGTGTCTTTGGTATCAAAAAATAGCTCTGAATTTCAGCTATTTTTTGATACCTAAGCGCGCATTGTAGCTTAAACCAGTGTCGAGAAAAACTCGTTCAAAGCTAGACTACGCAACACTCCGCACCGTCATTATCGGGCTGGGGGTACTATTACAGTATTCGGTATATACGTAAAGTCCAACATGTTCCCAAGACTGAAATATTTAAACATACCGTAAATACTGTAAAATAGTACCCCACCTCTCTCGTACAGGCACGTAGTCGCAAAAGTTTTTTAGTATTTCATTCTTTTTCAAAGCGCTCGTACTTTCAAAAAATGTTTCTTTGATATTAAAAAATAGCCCTAAATTCCAGCTATTTTTTGATACCTAAGCGCGCATTGTAGCTTAAACCAGTGTCAAGAAAAACTCTTTCAAAGCTAGACTACGCAACACTGCGCCCCGTCATTATGGGAGATGGGGGTACTATTACAGTATTTACGGTATCTAATTAATCTTTAGATAAATTAGTATTTATTAAATGATTGTTTTTCATTTTAATCAATCAAATTTTCTTTTAGATCTAATTATTCAATGAAATAGTCAAAATAGATAAATATTTAAACGCTAGATCTTGTAGATTTGCTTGGATTTAGTTATTTGTAATCTTGAATCGAATCTCAAAAGAAAAAGGGATTCAAGCGCAAGATTTAAAAGCACTTTATTTGATTGAATATTTGAAATCTAAATATTCAATTAAACAAAGTATTCAGTTTTTACTTTTGTTAGATAAAAATTGATTAAAAAAAACCATTTCCACTCACTTTGAGAATATCGAAAAATCGTGCAAATGCAATGAAATAACTTTCCATGGCTTGTACTTTGATAAAGGCCAAAAAAGAAAGCTTGATTTTTCAACAGAGAACAAAAAGAAAGGCTGCACATTTATCAGATATTAATATATACAAGGATTGTTCGCTTGAAAAGTTGAAAACCGAGAATTCTTGTCGGATTCGATCCGTACCCTATAGAGACGAGAGAATGGGGGAAATGCTATTAAAATAATTAGCATTTCTAATACCGTATCACGTGGAACTTTCAAAAAAATAGATACTAATGAGAACTATTTAGCGGTAGTGGCACTGGATGAGGAGGCTTCCTGTAAGCCTCCTCCATTCAATTTTGTTGAGACGACTTGTGGGGCACCAGGAAGTCTGAAAGATTGAAATCTATTTGATTATTATAAACCCTATAGTCTTTTCCTAATTACAAATTCCTAATTATAATCTTTCCTTCAGATTTTGCAACTTTAAATCTATTTAAGTCTGCTCTTAGGAAAGAAAATGTGAATTGAATTGAATTCAAAATATTAAAACCAACAAATCCTGAAGAAAACATTAAAATAATAGACCAAATTACTTGCCTTTTATGAAAGAAATTCAATTTCTCTTTTCAGAAATGAAAGAAAGGTTTCAAACCTTTCTCTTTAACCTTTTGAAAACTTTCAAATTGAAATTTCGGTTAGATTTCGGGAGTGGGACAAATGCTACCTTTTTTTTGCGCACCCGGACATTTGCGCACCTTTTCTTCCGCACTTAGCCCATTAGCGGACCTTTTTTCGCGTTTTAAAAAAGCTCTAAAAGCTAATATTAACCAATTTCTATTCCAAAAGTTGTTTTTCTAGGTCATTTTAGGGCGTAGAATCGAAATTTTGGCATATCAGAGCGTGTGGAACCAATTTGAAAGACAAAACGGCCGGCTAGGTCAAATTACAGAAAATTGTTGATTTTTCTCATTGTATAACTCCGTTCGTTCGCTTCCACAAGCTCTGATATGCCAATAACTTCGTCCGTTCGCTTCCACAAGCTCTGATATGCCAATAACTCCGTCCCTTCGCTTCCACAAACTCTGATATGCCAATAACTCCGTCCCTTCGCTTCCACAAGCTCTGATATACCAAAATTTCGATTCTACGCCCTAAAATTACCTAGAAAAACAACTTTTGGAATAGAAATTGGTTAATATTAGCTTTTTAGAGCTTTTTTAAAACGCGAAAAAAGGTGCGCTAATGGGCAAGGTGCGGTAAAAAAGGTGCGCAAATGTCCGGGTGCGCAAAAAAAAGGTCGCATTTGTCCCACTCCCTAGATTTTTGTTTATCATCAACTTTTTAACACTCACTTGAGAGATTCAGGAATTTTATTGAAAAACGCGTGAGCAAGGGCAACATCGAGAGTGATTCGTTGAGATGGCTCATAGGTGAGCATCATATCGATCAGATCGAACAATTCTGTGTGATCTGATTCATGCGATTGCATGTAGCGCTGGAATTGAAATCAATTTGAGTTTGAATTCACAGAGAAAATAACGGAATATTTGATTTAAAGGATAGTTTAACAGAATCAAGGAAATAAGCAAGAAAAATGGTTACTTTTAGAGTGAATGTTCAAGTTTCTAAAGATTCAAGAATTTTCGTATCCTTATTGGGCTTGGCTTGAGACGCTTAGTGTACAGTGTAATTACAGATGGTTTATTATCGGATTATTAACTATTAAATCTCTTTAAAGCTGAAATTTTTCATTAGACACAAAAGCATTTCAAAAGAACTTTCGAGATTTCATCTTTTTCTGAATCTGAATCCAGCTCGTCAGATCTCAATCCAATGGATTTGTTCTGCCTGGTATATCCTTGAAGCAAAAGCCTGTTCAAAGGGACATATAAAAGTGTTGAAAGCTTAAAGAAAGTTTAAAGAAAAGTCTTCTGAAAGCTTGGGATGAGCTGGACACCTTTCCTAAACGCTTACTCAGCTAAAAATGGTGATAGCTTTGAATTTAATTATTAATTTGTTCACTGATGTCAAATAAAGATTTTAAAATCAAAGTTTGCTCTCTAAAGTTTAATTTTGTGTACCTATAAAGCTTTTTATCAGCACCTATAATTATGGGTCTGTAGTTCTCGACAAAAGCAACTCCGCCGTCATTTTTTTCCCATTCCTGGTCAACAATCGACTCTGACCAACAATCAATAATCGTCTAACAATCAATAATCGTCTAACAATTCACTCAATCAATCTTTCAAACTTCTCAGCTTAACAACTTAAGTGCTATTGAGCCTAGGAAAGAACAAAATTTACGAAAATTTTCTTTTGGCAAGCATATTTGGTGATTTTTACGTTGGAATCAATGAAAATTAGTGAAAAATGCCGGCAAAAACCATCACAGATTACTGATTTTCTAAATAAAATGTATAAAAACCATAAAGAACTCATAAAAATGACAAAAAAAACAGGAGAAACTTGAAGCTGAATAGCACGTCAAACAAAAATCTTCCGTTATTTTGTCTCCCTATTCTGTTTCAGTATTCTGTCTCACTACAAAATGCCGATCAACACCTACCATTAATGGTTTACAATTGTCCCGCACGAATTGCCCGTCTTGTGACTTCTCACTCCAATCCAGTCGGCCATTGTAAAAGTATTTTGTTCTAAAAGTTGATAAATCAAAGAATTCTAGATTGAAAACCATAGCAAAATCTGAAAAAAAACGTACTTTGATCGTTTAATCATCCTTGCCGGAACACTTCCCAATATCCTTTCCATCATCGCCAAGTGTTCTCGATTGTCGTGTGTTTGGAAAAGTGTCACACCCGAGTAGAGCTCAAAAAGAATACAACCGATAGACCAAACATCGCATGGCTGTGTCCAACCAAGTTCTAAAAGTATTTTAATTTCTTTCAATCAAAACTCTACTAACCCAAGATCACTTCTGGAGCTCGATAATGCCGCGTGCTGACAATAGTCGAGTGGTGTTCGTCATCGAAAGTGGCTGATCCCAAATCGATGAGGCGAACACCCGCATCACGAATGATTTTGATCGGCTAAAGGTTGCAATTTTTGTTGTGTAAGAGTTTAAATTAAAGTAACAAATAGAGATCTAGGTTTGATACTAACAAGGGATCGTTAACGCTCTAGGTTTAGATCTAGATTTGATACTAACAAGGGATCGTTAACGATCTAGGTTTAGATCTAGGTTTGATACTAACAAGGGATCGTTAACGCTCTAGGTTTAGATCTAGGTTTGATACTAACAAGGGATCGTTAACGCTCTAGGTTTAGATCTAGGTTTGATACTGACAAGGGATCGTTAAAAGATCCAGCTCACCAAATGAAATTAGCCATTCGACGCAGAATTTGACGCTGATTCCGAATATCTGATTCGTTTTTGAAAAATGATTCTGAATCGGGCGCAATTCGGCAAACAAATTTGGTTTAAAACAAAAGAAATTAGCGAATTTGGTTCTTGACCTCTCTTTATAACGCTTACGCGGCATTACTTGAGCTAGCTGGCTGGTGTACTGGATAGCTGGCTAGGATACGAAGCAGCTTCTCGACGGTCCGAAACCGCTCGCTTTTTCCTTTTTGTTTTTTGGTAAACACTTTGTCTTTCATAACTTCAAGTCCCTCTTATGCTATGTATCACAAATTTAGAACATAATAACTTTAACAAAAACAAACAAAATAACGTAAACGATTAAGCATAGATATTTTGAATTAGCGTATAATTCTGCGACGGATAGTCTAGGGCTTTGGTGAGCTGGATCGGTTGACCATTTCAGTTCCATTTATTTTCTCACCAACCTTTTTCCTCCGTCCCTCAGCTGTGTCAAATTCGGAGCTCAAAAAAAGAAGATTCTCGGGTTTTAAATCCGTATGAGTGAGTTTATTTCGATGAAGGAAGAGTACCGAATAACAGAGTTGATATCCAATGTACCGAACTTGTTCCATTGGATATGGGTGAAAGCTGTTGGCTTTCTGAAAGAAAATTAAAAGAATTTGAAGATTATACTTAAAGATTTAATAGTAGCTCTAAAACTAACCATAAAGTCAAAGACAGACAAGCCGAGTAGACTGAACAATAAGCACATGTGACCAAAGTAGTCGAAGTGTTCGATTAATTGGATGATAAGACTAAATTTCGATTTATAGATTATAAATAAATGAGATTGACGCACTATTTCCCGTGTGGATCCTTTTTCTTGACCTCGTTTAATACTTTCACTTCCAATTTTGCCGCTTCTCGATACTTGTTCACATTCTTGATGATCTTTAAAGCAAATACTTTCCCATTTGGTGCATCTTTACCCTAAAAATTCGATTTTAATACTTCATTGAATATTTATAAGAAAAATATAAACGAATCCAAATAAACAAACCTTTCTCTCTTTATCAAGTACTTTAACAACTTTTCCGAAAGTTCCTTCACCAAGCGTGTCTTGAATAATATCTAAAAGAAAAACATGAGATTTTCATATAAAACCACGTTCTTAGATTCAGATTTCAATAGAGTGCTTAAAAGTTTTACTTTTGAAAAGCTTATAGCCAGTGCTTGAGCTCATTATTCAGTGCTAAAATTTGAATAAAAGCTCAACAGCTATAAGTTCAACCATTTTTCCCCACTTCAAACCTTTCCCCCTATCAGAAAATCTTCTCTAACAAGAATTCTTTTCATCGTTTCAAATCTCGTACACACATTTGACTCACTCTACACTCACATTACACAAAGAGAAAGAGATTGGGGAGCTTGAGCTCTCATTTCATTCACTCTATTCACTTCTCCTCTTTTTATCCACTAAAATCCCTATCCACGTGCCCTCAAAAATCATAAAAAAAAAGAAGATTGTATCGTAGAGTCATTCGGAAATTTTAATGACCTAATCAAAGCAGGGTATAGTAAGGGATAAGGCCTTATTCTGACGGCACTGTCACATGCGTCGTTGCAGCTCATTGGTAAGCGTATAAGCTCATGCTAATAGTTCAGCCGGTAAGCAAAAGGTCGCGGGTTCGAATCTCGATCATGACACCATAAAAGGTGTTCAACTATTTTTTTGGATGTATGACCGAAAAATAGTAGCTTAAGAAGCTCACGAGATTAAAAAAAAGCAAGGTTTTGGCTTAAAAAGATAGAAAATATTCATGATTTCCTGTTTTAAAATTCAGCAAAAGCATTTGATACTTTTTATTGATCTTTTATTGTTCTTGTAATTAAAAACTCTTAAAAAAATCAAGAAAACTTGTACAATAGCTATCCAAAAGTTTCAGCACACAATATTGCTTGTCTGACAAAAGAAACCTTTTAATAGAAAGAATTAAACAAGATCTTGCTTCTCATAGCAATATTACAGCTTTATCTGATCGGATCATCAATTCTTTTCATCATTTTCACTATTAAACTAGAGATCATTGTTCATTCAGATATAGGTAAGCGATCTCAAAAAAAAATCCGATTTTTAGCCTCAACGGATCGGTTTCAGCCGAGTTGTTCTGGGAATAGGGTAAAAGAAAGAAAAGGAGAAAGAGAAAAGCGCCTTGGGGAAAGCATTTGTCTCTGTTGAGCTGTTCGATCGGTTTGAAAAGGAAAGGGTCTAGGGAAGGGATCGATCGATTGAGAAGGAAAGAGTCCCACATCCGGACAACACCTGACTTTTCCTTTCATCCCATCTCCTCATGAGATATCTTTTGTGGTGACCAACATGACCAAAAAAAATAGATCCTATAGATCTAAGGATAATGTTGTTGTTAAAAGAGAAAGGTGAATTGTGGATGAGTCTTTAGGGGTTTAAAATGTTCATTCCATTTGGAATCATCGATCAATTGAGCTTTACTGGACTTGGAAATTTGGAGAAAGCAGTGAAATAGAGAGCTATCAAAAAAATAAGCTTTTGAACTTTTGATGTTAACAAGTTAGATTTTAAGCTATCTAGCAGTTAAGCTATCTAGCAGTTAAGCTATCTAGTAGTTAAGCTATCTAGCGGTTAAGCTATCTAGCAGTTAGCTGTCTAGGAGTTAAGCTACCTTGTAGTTAAGCTATCTATCAGTTAGCTATCTATCAGTTAGCTATCTAGCAGTTAAGCTATCTAGTAGTTAAGCTATCTAGCAGTTAAGCTATCTAGCAGTTAGCTATCTAGGAGTTAAGCTATCTTGTAGTTAAGCTATCTAGCAGTTAAGCTCTCTAGCAGTTAAGCTATCTAGCAGTTAAGATATCTAGCTTTTTCTCAACTCACATCGTCCTTTGATTGTGTCCCCATTGTTATAGATCAAATGTCCATCTTTGTCGTCTTGAATCGGTGGTTTATAGCTATCTCTTGATGAGTCTCTCTGAAAATAACAAAACTTATTTAAAATAATCTCAGTGTTTTTCTGTTTAAACAAGAAATTACCGGTGTCGGTGGAACGTTTTTCGATCGTCTAAATTTATCTGGAGGCACCGCTTGTCCTTGAATAATTTTATCAACTTTAGCTGACACAGAAGCGGGAAGTTGAAGCTGAGCTAATAAAGCAGCTGTATTCGAATTCGTTGAAGATTTCTTTGAAGACACAACTTCTTTCGATTCTTCAGTTTTCTCCGGCTTTTTCTCTTCACCAGAGAAAGCAGCAGCAACAGCATTAAGGGTTTTCTTTGCCCTTTGCTCATCAGCATCACCCCGATCAGGGAGATCCACAGGTATAAACTCCTCCTTTCTCGGTTCAGTTTTCTTTTTCCGAATTGAAAGCTTTTTCTCAATCAATCTAGGCGTTTCTTTCTCAACTGCAGTGCTTGATTGAGGCTGTGAAGCGGTCGAAGTTGATGAAGTTGTAGCCAATGGTTGACCAACCGCACAAATCGTTGTCCCACTCTTCGATCCATAAGCTTTTCTGAGCGCTTTCGGTGTCCCCTTCACACCATTATTGTCCAAATTCTCTTTCAACTCCTCAATCTTTGAGTCCTGTTTCTTCAAGGCGTCTACCGGTTGTTTTCCTCCAGAATTTTGCCTAATCAATTTCTCAATAGGTTCAGCGGATGGAGGCATAGCAGAGATTGGGGCAGCCGGTGAAGCACCAGATGGAGTGGTTGATAGTTCGGGTCGAGCAAGGGGCACCGGCATGTGATCGGTGGCTGGTTGACCCATCGATTTGTTCGATGTTTCGGTGTTCTTTTGGGGAATACTGGTAGGTATCGGTGAGGCGTCAGGTGGTGAAATGGGTGACGAGGCGGCCTCTTGAGCCGCATGAGCAAGTCGCGAGGCTTTTGAGGGAATTTTTAGAGAAGCTCGCTTCAATTCAGTTAATTTTCCGCCAACGATGGCTCCAGAGGGACCCGAGGCGTGTGGAGGAATCGGCGGTGGTTGTTCTTCTTGCTTCTTTGCCTCTTTAACTAATGGAACTACTTTCACTGGTTCCGAAGCCTTTTGTAAAGCAGCTTTCACTTCTGCCGTCTTTTGTGAAGCAGCTTTTACTTCTGCTGCCTTTTGTGGGGCAACTTTAGCTAGCTCTACTGGCTTTGCCAGAGTTTTCACTGGCTCTACCACTTTCACCGGTGAAAAAGGCCTCCACAACTCTTTCCAATGATTGAAACTTCGATAAACGTGTGGATCAGAATTACATCGTCTCAGTGAAGCGATTAGTAGAGTATTTCTCCTTCTTGACACATAATTCTTATACTTTCTCTTCCTCGGAATCACTACTAGCGGCAATCTCCTCAACGAGTGTTGAGCCTCTTTTTTCGGCATTGAAGGCCCGAGATTTGATGTCGGAATAGCCAGTGCTGGAGTGGGGAATTGTTTCAGATTCGAGAACGATTGAACAGTTTGAAATTGAGGAGCTGGAGCTAGGACAGCTCGTTGCGGTAATTTGCTTGAATAGTAGCGAATGGATGTGTGATTGGGTGAAGAAGAATTTGGCGAGAGAGGAGCCTTTATGGGTAATGGAGACAACGGGGAAGGAGTCCACTTAGAAACGGTGGCTGATCTCGGTGAGTGATCTCGAGAAGAAACTCTAGACGGAGTAGCTAGCGAATTCGTATCAATAAGAACAGCGTCTAGTGGATTGACAATGGCTTGGGATGGTTGGTAGCCACCAGTGGGCACGCTGGGTGCGAAACGCGCGCTCGACCGAATCTCGACAATCGGTGCTAGAGGATAACGGTTTCCTTGCGAGGATCGAGTCCAGAGAAAGGTCCGGAGGTTGAGAAAGCTGGGAACGAGCGAGAGAGACACCGCCCCCAGGATGAGAGACACTTTACACACACGTACCCATCCCTGTGAGATCTGTGAAGACAGCCGGCTGCCTTTCTCTCTCCACTTGCTCCTTGAGGTGGGTCTCTGGCTCATCTTTTCTCAGCCATAGCTTGACTTTCGTGGATAGTGTCGCTTGTTGATTGATGAAAGAACGGGGTTGACGAAAGTTTCGATAAACGGGCAAATCGAACACTGATTTGATGAGCATGACAATGAGTAAATTGGGGGTTTTGCAATTAAACCAGATGAATTTAAAATTTAGAAAAATGATCTAAAGATGCCTGTACCTCATTGTCATCAATGGTGACGAGTGGGAAAGGACGAGGTCGAGGTGGAGCTGGGATAAACTTCTCAACAATGATATCTGATGAGGCTCGACGCTTCTCGCCAGGCTGAGAATTATTGCAATATTGTAATAGTGAATTCTTTGTAGATTTTTGCATTTAAATGTAAAAGATTTCATTGATGCCCGTCTTAAATTAGAATTTTAAAGTTTTATTCAATTTTTTCAGCTATTTTCTCTTATTAGGCTTTCCAAAAAGTTTTTTCTTTCCTTTTCGTCCTTCCTTTTAAAACCAACAACTGCACCAATTGAATTATGGTTCTTTTCATTAGAAAAACTAATCATTTTTCTGCAAAATAACATTAAAACGGCTTTAAAATGTCTTATGACTGGGCTTTTTTGGGAGTGTGAAGTCGGGCGGTCAAAAATGCGGCTCAATGATGCGGTTTAGATAGTTTAGCTAAGGAAACCTATTTTAGTGTCAATAGATAAAAGATAGAACATAAAAAGTTTGGTATGCAGCTAAATTTTCAAAGAAATTCATTCAGCCAATTTCTTCGTAGAGGTTTTTATAGATTTTTAACACGTTTTCACTGCCGAATTTGCTTGAAAGTGAACCGAAATTGACATAAAAAGATGGGAAATTTGGACAATAAACACTTTTTATTTAGAGCAAATCATAGATTAATTGCTGAATTTGTTATTTTTTAATGAAAATATAAAAAGGAACGAAAAAACTTTCTGAAAAGCTTAATAGAAATCAATTGCTTTGAGATTATCCGCTAAGCTATTAGATTAAGAAATTCAAGTTACAATCAATAAAATGTTACTTTAGTTGTAAACAATTGACCAAATCTTGATTAGTTTTTAGTAAACTTTTTAGCCAGTTTTTAGCCCTTCTCTTACTATAAGAAGGTAATCTAAATTTTACTACCTTGGGTTGAGTCATTGATCCATTGGCGACGACTGTTTTCAACTGATCCAGTTTCTAAAGGAGTTGTTTTTGTTTAAAAATATTCTTTATCTTTATCGAACCGATTGTAAAGTCTCTCGATTCGATTCAACAATCTTCTGCGATGGGCATTTTTGCTGAAAATGAAAAGCTTTAGCATGAAAATTTTCAGTTCGGTGTACATTAAAACAACTTTTTTTTTTGTACTCCAGTTTTCTTAACTATAAGTAGATTAGTTTTTCTAAAATGTGCCTAAAAACTATCGTAATTTGGTTTCAATTTTATCCAATTTATCCACCGTAAATACTGTAATAGTACCGCACCACCCTCGTACAGTCGCGTAGTCGCAAAAATTTTTTAGTATTTCATTTTTTGCAAAGCAACCCGTACTTTCAAAAAATGTGTCTTTGGTATCAAAAAATAGCCCTAAATTCCAGCTATTTTTTGATACCAAAGCCCGCATTGTAGCATAAACCAGTGTCGAGAAAAACTCGTTCAAAGCTAGACTACGCAACACTCCGCACCGTCATTATGGGGGTACTATTACATTATTTACGGTAGTTATTCTGAATCTGTGAGGGTTTATAAAGAATTTAATAGTCGACAGATTGAGTAAAGACTGAAAGCTTCAAAAGTTGATTAATTTAACCACACCGATTTGGCCGCCATGGGCTAAAAGCTCTGTATCTTAATCGGGAGCTCAAGGGTTTAATCCCGCCGGGTAGATTATTCGTTCTTTTTCCCCATCTATGGATTTCTCCTACATTTAGGGCTTAGAGGTTGTGCTTTTGTATTGTTTGTCCTACATGATTTGTGTAAATAAATGTATTTTTAAAATAAACTCACCTTGGTCATGAGTATTCCTAGAACTGGGATCAGGTTTATTAATTTCTTACCGGGATATTTCTTCTCGATCTTGTCGACGAGGCTTTTGAGGAGAGTCGAGCTGATACACACTCCGCCGACACTTTTGACGCTTTCGATAAACGCACGGACACCGAATTCTGAAAAGGATTTAATTGAAAGAGTTATTTTTCAACTTATCTCAATGACAAGCTTATATCTTTTACATTTAAATGCCAAGCTTAGTTTACACAAAAACTTACATTGACCCGAGTGGAATTCACCGAACGAATAGAACCATTTCTGATCTGAAAGCGAATGAAATAAACAAATTTAAAGAAATGCAATGTTGCATGTGTTTAGCTTTGTGTTCCAAGCCGTTTGTACTCTTTACTATTTAAATTATTATTTAAAAACGTGTAATATGTAGCTTTTAAACCTGACAAACCGAAGTTGAGAGGACTCGATTGATGGCAGAGTTTGCCGAGTTTTTGCGTGACGTTGACGGGGTGGGCATGACCATTAATGAAGAGGCTGTGGAGGGACGAGAGTTTTCTCTAAAAAATTGAATTGATCATCGCTTACCATTTTTAGTTAAATTATATGTTTATCTTTGCTAGAAACTCTACAAAAAAGCATTAGTTTCTTTAAAGTTGCAGCTTAAGTTTTGATTTCTTTCTAAAGATGAATTTCTAAATGGATCTTTGATCGCTCAGTACTGCTATGGTTTGTTAAATTGATGATATTAAATAATAAATACAAACTCTCACCCATTCGATCCATTTGTTGATCCATTTAGAATAATCACTCGATTCCGGAGATGGATCACTTTCGCTGGGCTTTCAAAAGCTAAATTAGTTAATTAAAAAAAACAAAAAAGTAGTTACCATCTTTAGACGTTGGTGAAACATCGGTGTGTAAAGATGAGCTCGTCAACGTTCTGAAATCAAAAAATTTGTGATAAACGAAGTGAAAAGGTTTTCAGCTTCAACTTCACTTAATATTTGTTTTAGTATTTAGCTGTAAGGCTGACAACAGTCAGCCTTACAGCCAAATACTAAAACAAGCTAGGTTACAAGAAAATGACACCAGCTCAAAGTTCAGAAACCCTCCATACAACTTCTGACGGTTTTCATAAAACTTGCAATTCTCAAAATAGTTCATCGATTTCAATATAAGCTTATGAACTTCAAAATGCAAATATAAGGTTCTTTATTGATTTTGATATAGTAACAATGCAAAAATTTGCGTTTTTCTGCACAAACAACATACTTTGTTGTACAAAGAACACTGCTTTTGTGATCAGAGTTAAGAAAGTCATCAACTAATGTTGCCAGATTTCGAAAAATATATATGAACTCCATGATGACTCTATAAAAAAATGGCTTCAAGGCTTCATGGCTTCAAAAATTGTAAAGAGTGTATAAAACATAAATTTAATGTAAATGTATCAAAAAAAAGGAAAAGAATTGGCTAGAGAGGATTCAAACTCAAGCCAAAAACTTGATGGGTTTTGTAGACTTATCAGATTTAGAATAAGCATAGATTCTATGAGATGCACTCGATCACGAAGCTAATCTCAATGACAAGCTTATGCAAAAGCTTACATTGACCCGATTCAAGTTCACTGAACGAATAGAAACACTAGCACACTATCCGCGCTAGATCAGTGAAGCCATTGGAATGTTTCTTATTGATAAAGAGTCGAAAATTTAAAGGAAATTTTCTAGCTAGATTTCTTGCGATTGCATGAGTGTTTTCAGCTAACTTTTACAGATTTAGAATACGCATAGACTTCTATGAGATGCACTCGATTACGAAGCTAATTCTCAACATCGAGCTGGTGTCATTCCCTTGTTAGATTTTATATCTTAAATCAATTCTTTTTTGACCTATACATGCTAAAAACTTTATAAGAACAAACTATTGCCAAAATTATTGATAAAAACATGAGCTTAGCATCAATCATTAGCATTAACTATTTAATACTTTTCTGTTATTTATCGGTTATAGTTTTAAACACTATCTAACTGCTAGTTGATAGGGATAAGCTATAAAAACTCAAATCTAATCAATTCCTGTAATTTAACAATAACTAGACTCTAGATAACAAATAGTAATGAAAATTTATAGTAAAATCGTCTATTAACTGAAATATTTAAATGCTTATCCCTATCAAGTAGCAGTTGGATAATCTTTAAAACTATAACCGATAAATAACAGAAAAGTATTAAATAGTTAATGCTAATGATTGATGCTAAGCTCATGTTTTTATCAATCCTTTTCTCCGTCACTCACCCCGTTGATCCATAGCTATTCTGCAATCGTCTCCTTTTCGCTTTCACGTCGGCTGCTTGTGGCTCTAAATCTTTACATCGAATAACTATCAGAAACAGAAAAAACCAAAAAACTTAAAGCTAAACTATTAAGGTTAAACTTAGAAACGTTAAAATAACAATTAATGATTGGCTTATTTGAAAATTGGTTAGTAATCAGCTATTTAAAAGTATTTGAAAAGCTAGTAACCAGCTATTTAAAAGTATTTGAAAAGCTAGTAACCAGTTATATAAAAGTATTTGAAAAGTTTAGTTAAAATATTCATGAATATCTTTAAAAAAAAAGCTTATATTAAGGAAAAGTTAAATAAAATTTTCAAAAACGAACCAGGCGTGAGCGATCTTTTTTGTTTCATTGTCGATGCTTTGGCGCGTGGCGCCGTTCTTCCCATTGTGTGTCGAAAATCTGAAATAAACAAAATTATAAAGCTGCATTTAAACTTGTGAAAATTTAAGTGAATTTCTTGAAAAATTAAAAAAATATCAAGAGCATGGGGAGAGGCGGGGCGCGCTTGTCAATGGTTGGTGTTGTGTCAAAAATGCAAACTCCAAAAGAAATCGTTCAGAAAAAGCGCACGAAAACAAAGAGATTAGTTAGATTTTTGAGAAAAGTTCTTTTCAAGAACTGGAAATTTAAATTTAAATTTTGATTTTAAAAAAAATAACTGCCTAGATGCTTTTTTGAGATGTAGTTTTTTTTGAGGTGTTGGGTGAAGGTGGAAAAGGGAATGGAGAGAGGAAAATAGGGGAAAAGGGGAGAAAAGAGGGGGACGGAGGTATTGATTGGCGGTTGGGTGAGAGATGTGCTCTTGGATGGGGAAGGAGAGGAAGACATTGGGCTGAGTGAGGGGAGGAAGGTCGAGCAGGGGAAGCGAGGGGAACAGTACTCGACGGGGCATCGCTTATGGTAGAGGAGAAGGATCTGATAGATAAGGATGAATGTTATAAACAAGGGGAGTTGAAAGCATTGAAGCCGATTGAATATGCATACTGGATTTAGGAGGGGAAATAGCTACTGATTTAGGAAGGAACTACTAGGCTGGAGTAGTAACTATTTGATCTAAGTGAACTATGTGAGCTATGTGAACTATGGGATCTATGGGATCTATGTGAACTATGTGATCTATGTGAACTATGTGATACCCAGAGAACTCTGATTTGGGACAATGATCTATAGAAATCTATAGAAACAGATCTTTAAATGGAATGCAATCGTTTGTGAGGATCTGAAAGGAGTTTAAAAATAACGAGTTGGTGAGGTTAATGTATTAGAGTAAGCGTTGTTTAAAGATCTGTTTCTATATTCGTTGTCCCAAATCACAGAGTTCCCTGGGTATCACATAGTTCACATAGATCACATAGTTACCACTCCAGCCTAGTGGTTCCTTGTTGTTTTTGTTGTCAGTACGTTGTTTTCCTGGCGGTATGAAGAAGAGTTGAGATTCTGTAAGAGAAAAATGATTTGGCAAAGCTTAAACAAAGATAACAATTGGAATGAAATCGATTCTCCAACAATTATCCAACTTCAAAGCATGTAGAGGAGATCTTTGAAATGGATGCGTGATAAAAATGAGCAATGACAATGAGCTAAATGATTTGCAGAAAGCAACTAACTGTATGAAAATAAATCGACCTTTGGTCTATCTTTTTTTTGCAGATGATACTTTTTAAAATTAGGAAATTATTGACACATGCTTGAGGGCTGAGAATTACGTGAATTAGATAATCATTAGTTGATTGAACATCTGCGAGTTGCCCAGTTCAAAAGCAAAATTCGGTGTGTAAAAGAGTTTGTAAGTAATCACCAATTGTAAATGCTTTGAAATAAGAGGGGAGCTGCTAAAAAGTCAAAAGAGTTTGCTAATGCTTTTGGAAATGCTAATATTGGAAATAAGATAAGCTTTTTACTATTAACGAGAAGGTCTTGAAGTTTTGAAGTTAGAAGACGAATAGAAGTCCACATTCTTTTCTCATTGGATCAGCAGCGAAAATGAAAGGCTCATTGATTGAATTTCATTGTGAACTTCTAAAGATCATGATTTCCATCAAATTTTCACAACAACTGATCAATCCGATTAATCGAATGGATCAAGTTCTTAATCCAATGGATCAACTTCTTCTTAATCAAATGGATCAACTTCTTCTTAATCCAATGGAACAACAATGGATCAACTTCTTACAACTTGGTTGACTCCTGATTGAACTTGCTTCTGATTCAGAAGTTCTTCTGAATTCAACTTCTGATTCTCAACTTCTCGAATCGAAAAGTGTAATTTAGCCTGTCTTGTTATTCATTAAATGTCACTCTCAACTTTTCAAGAGAAATGATTTGCATCAAGCTTTCACCAGTACGCTGTCTTCCTTGTTCAAAGGCAGGAAATACATGAGAGTCACCGAGCAGAAGTCCACATTCTTTTCTCACCTGATTAGCAACGTGCCCTTGCAATGAAATGCTCATTGATTGAATTTCATTATGAACTTTTAAAGATCATGATTTCAAATTTTCACAACAACTGATCATCCGATTAATCAAATGGATCAACTTCTTCTTAATCCAATGGATCAACTTCTTCTTAATCAAATGGATCAACTTCTTCTTAATCAAATGGATCAACTTCTTCTTAATCCAATGGAACAACAATGGATCAACTTCATACAACTTGATTGACTCCTGGTTGAACTTGCTTCTGATTCAGAAGTTCTTCTGAATTCAACTTCTGATTCTCAACTTCTCGAATCGAAAAGTGTAATTTAGCCTGTCTTGTTATTCATTAAATGTCACTCTCAACTTTTCAAGAGAAATGATTTGCATCAAGCTTTCACCAGTACGCTGTCTTCCTTGTTCAAAGGCAAGAACTACATGAGAGTCACCTGTCCCTTTCTTTCCCTCAACCACAGCAACTACAGGTCCCAGAAAAGAGAAAAGGAAAGAGAGAAAAATTCCTGGCCAAAGACAGGGAAAGGATCTTGAACTTTTTTAGTGTATAGGAGTGTCTCCTTTTTTTTTCTTTTCTTGTGTAAACCCTCTCACTCAAATCTCTCTCATACAAATCCTTTCCTCCAATTCGTTTTCATCAACCTGTTGCTGGGTTCTTGGCAATTTAAACTTGCATAAACTGCTTTAAAAGATTTCTTAACGATGAACTTTATCTATTTTCTGAAATCAAATCTTTATTGTTTCAATTTTATTGAGAGGATTTCATTGAGAGGATTTTGATTCTCTACAACTTTGTTTTGTTGAATCAATATCGATTCTCTAACACACTCTTTTACTTGACTGCTTCTTCAGTCTTTTACTTGACTTACTTGACTGCTTCTTCAGTCGTTTACTTGACTGCTTCTTCAGTCTTTTACTTGACTTACTTGACTGCTTCTTCTTTTAAACTTTAAAAGTTTAAAAGTAAAAAGTTAATTATAGATTAAGAGTCAGTGTTGAGAACTATTAAGCCTAAAAAAATCAAAATCTCCACTTTAACTTGTGTCTTTCTCTCTCAAGTAGCTTTGATTAACTTTTTTTAAAAAAATTTTATAGCTAAGATTGTATTGTTTGCTTTAAACAAAATCGTTTACCTTTTTCTCCATCTTTCAGTTCTAAAGTCAATTACTTAACATTTATAAGTAAATCTTGCAAGTTTAACTTTAAAGAGTCAACTAGTTAAAGTCAATAACTAAAGATTGATAAAGATAAAGATTGTTCAGAAAAAAACCTAATAGTAAGACTTCAGTTTAAAGTAAAATCTAATACTAAGATTTTAGTTTAAATAAAGCTTGCATTTACCTGCATTTACCTGAAATAAAGCTTGCATTTAAAAATAGTTTACTATTTTTAAATCTAATAATGTCAAAGTTAAACCAGTAACCCATAGCTTTATCTTATTTTTCTTTGCTTAAGATTGATTTGTTTATTCACTAAAATTAAGCCTCTCCGTCAGTTCTTACAAAGGGAAAAAAGCCATATTTCATCAGTGAATCATTTTTTTTGTTGAAAGAAGAATGAAATGAGGTTCTGACAATTCGGTTAGGAAAAGTTCAGAGTGATGGAGGTGACATGGATGCGTTCTTGTGAGATCTCCCGGTTAGAGTGATCGTCTAGTGCAAGGGGGAACGCCTGTTCTCCCCTCTTTTCCCCTTTATTCGTCTCATAAACCTAATTCACTAAAGTCTAATCACCAATCAATTATCACTTCTTTTAGCGAGCTTGTTTTCGTTTTAAATTTGTACATTTTATTTTATTTGTACATTCTATTTTATTTGTACATTGTACATAAAACGCAAAAGATTTACACTTTCAATTTTCTTTCCAAAAAGATTGATAACTTTGATAAGTTTTAATAAGAAGTTCTATAGAAAATTCGCTTTTTTCTTTTAAATGAAATACTTTTCAATCAATTCTCAACCATTTCTATTATAAAAAGCTTTATTTCTGCTTGAGAATTGACAATATAATAGAAATTTTGACACATCTACATAAACTATTGGGTTGGTGAAAGGGTGTTTAGATTTCGAGAACAAAATACAGCTTTAGTTTCTTGAAATTTCGAGACTTTAAAACAGAATATACTCTCTTGGGATGTTAAAGAGACTCGTCGCTTGAACATTGCAATCAATTCGTAACATTGATACCTAAAATCTTTGATTAGCTTTAAATGAAAGCAAAAATTGACTTATCTATTATTTATTTTATCTAATTTTTATCTAACCTATCAAAAACAAAATTTCTGTAGAAATGAGCAGAAAATTGAGTTTGATTAGTTTTAACTATTGGATTGGTGAATTGAAAACTGCGGGCTATTGTCATATGTGATAGTTTGAGCACTTTCTTCAAAAGAAACCCATTTTGGTGTCAATAGAAAAGTTGTAGAGAATCAAAAATCAAGCTTATATCCAAATTTTCAGAACGATTCAAAAACTGGTTTTCAAGAAATGCCAAATTTACGAATTTTTACAAAACTTGCATTTTAAGCAAAACTACTAAGTGTATCTTTTTGGAAATTTCGCTATAAGCCTAATTTTTGATTCTCTACAACTTTTCTATTGACACCAAAATGGGTTTCTTTTGAAGAAAGTGCTCAAACTGGGACATTGGGACCTCTCCAGTTCCCCATTTTTGAGTCTCACACTTGTCTCAGACACAAACCAAGATCCTACTACGAAAGAGGAAATCCACAAATTGCCTGTAAAATGGGCAGAAGTCGTCAATAATAATGGAAATTGTTTGAAATGAATTCATGGCTTTAGGTTGAATAAATTTTAGTTCAAAGTGCCGGAGTTTTCAATTCACCAACCTAATCATACTTTCATCTAAAGTTTACATACAATTTTGAAGCTTTTTTAAAACAAAATTAGTTGAAGATATGAGAAAAATGCGGGTAACTTTGCCCCTTTGTTGCCTTTGTATTTTGAAATCTTCTTATATCTTCAATATTTGCTTTTGAAAGACTTTAAAAGGCTATTTTCTTATCTCTTGGAACAAAGGGGTAAAGCTAGACTCAATTTCTTCTCATTTCTTCAACTGATTTTGTTTCAAAAAAGCTTTAAAACTTTATGTAAACTTTAGAATTTAAATATTTTAGATCAATTACGAAATACGTGTGTTTTGCTGATCAAAATTTGATTCCATCGCTCCGGCCGGTCTCTCATTGGATGAATGAGGGACGTTACTTTTTCGGCGAAACCTATACAACTTTCTTCAAAAATTTTCACGTTGTGGTTTGTTTTCAGAATTAAATTTATAGATAAACATTCAAAATGATTATAGATTATAAGATTGAGTTTAAAAGAGCTATATCTAGAGCTTGATTTTATCCAGAGAAGGCTCGTCATTATTCTAGAAGGAGTTAAACCAGTAGATAAACTTTTAAATGATCATAGATTATAAGATTTAGTTTAAAAGAGCAATATCTAGAGCTTGATTGTATTGATTGTTTGTATTGATTGATTGTAGAAGGTCCATCAGTATTCCAGAAGGAGTTAAACCAGTAGATAAACTTTTAAATGATCATAGATTATAAGATTGAGTTTAAAAAGGCAATATTTAGAGCTTGATTTTATCCAGAGAAAGTTCATCAGTATTCCAGAAGGAGTTAAACCAGTAACCGTTATTATTTTGCTTTGGGCAAAGCCAGGAAGTTTTCGTTGGCAAGGTTGGCAGAGTAAAAAGCTGATTTTTCGAATAATGCCTAATGTTTCTAGTGAAGAAATGACTTATTAGTTTTAGAAACTTTAAAAGTTTATCTACAAATGTGAATACAAATAAATAAAATGATTCAAGTTCAAGTACAAAACTGAATACAAATAAAGAAAACGAAATAAAATCATTTAGCCAGCGGCATGGTTGACACTTGGCGTTGACGCTTTTCTATTATTACTTTACGCAGTATGGATTCCATTAACCGTTGGATATTTTGATATGTTATGTATTGTTCAGTTGGTGAGTTCTTAACTACAACTTGTTGAACTTAAAATTGTTTATATTGGGTTGGTGGAAAAGTCCTTTCCGATTTTTTGGGAGAGTACCTTAAATTTGTCAAATTTTGACGTTTTATAGCTCATCCTAATTTCTATAATCTCTATAATTTCAGTGTATTTCGGGAAGCGCGTTGAGCTTAGCGTGTTTCGGTATGTGGAAAGATCGACACAACTGTTTATGGTTTCTTATGCTTGTTAAGGTGAAAGAATGAAGTTTATATAGTTTATATTGAAATTTTTCAACTCTAGACTTTACAAATAAGCTCTAGAATTTATAAATAAGCTCTAGACTTTATAAATAAGCTCTAGACTTTACAAATAAGCTCTAGACTTTATAAATAAGCTCTAGACTTTGCAAATAAGCTCTAGACTTTATAAATAAGCTCTAGAATTTATAAATAAGCTCTAGACTTTACAAATAAGCTCTAGACTTTACAAAATGTCTTTACAATTTTTTCTAGGCTTTACAAATTGTCATCTATGTTCTCTTTATGAGCTTCACATGTCTTCTGGCGATTTTCAACAAAAACGTTTTGCTACGGTTCATTTCGTTGCGATTTCGCACAATCACAAGTGAGTTTACTCGAATTAAAACCGATTTTTGACTAAAATCAAATTATTGACGGATAGGTGTAGTAATTTAAGCTCAAACTCGGGAATTTTAAGTGAAAAACCCCGAGTTTCAATTGATAAACTCAATAAAACTCAATAAAGAATAACTCTAATCGATTTCCCGATCAAGAAAACCCCTGGGTACAAATTTAAAGCTAAACTTTCTTTTGGAATGATCTACAAAGAAAGAGAAATCTCTGGGTAAATGACTGTAAAGTGTTCTTTGTGTGCGCGCACAATCGCTTGCAATCTGGCAACCTTCGCTGGTATGAGGGCTTTCCTTTCGAAGCCATCCGATTTCAATGGCTATCAATTCATCAATGTTTATCCAGATTCGAATGCTGAGCTGCACATAGTGATCGTGATTTTTCTCCTCCTTCTCCAAATGGTCTACAATTTCTTTGCAATTCAAGCTTTATATAATGTTTTCGATTATTTCCGTCATAAGAATGCTTTCAAATACGAGCAATCAAGGCGAATGTTCTTCGAGAATACTCGAGAATTTGGATGGGTTTGATTAGGCTTTTTTACCAATTCACGGGGTGGGACAAATGCGATCTTTTTTTGCGCACCTGGACATTTGCGCACCTTTTTTTGCTGGAAAAGGCCCTAAGAAAGGTCGTAGAGCTTCAAAAATGTTTTCGTAGAAGGGAATTGTATGCGTAGATTCAGAATTTTGATAAATCAGACCTCGCTGACACGTCAAATTTGTCGAAATTCGGAATCTACGCATACAATGCCCTTCTACGAAAACATTTTTGAAGCTCTACGACCTTTCTTAGGGCCTTTTCCAGCAAAAAAAAGGTGCGCAAATGTCCAGGTGCGCAAAAAAAGGTCGCATTTGTCCCACCCCCCAATTCACTCAATTCAAACCTAAAACTAACTACCGTATTTCTTCTAATAGAAGAAATAACTATGGATTTTCAACCTAGTAGGCTGAATACCTTAAGCTTTGAGGCTTTAAGGATATTAAAGGGTATATAAGCATTTTTTTTTGAGAAAAATAGCATAAGCAGTAAGAATTTTGATGTTTTCCTTTCAATTCAGCTTATTGGAATTAAATTTGTAGACTTAGATTAGATTAAATTCCGTAGCTTAAGATAATTTACCGTATTTCTTCGAATAGAAGACCGGGTAAAGAGTATGATCGCGTACTCCTGCGTAGCAGCCCTTTTTAAAATTTCTTTTCTGCATAAAAGCTTTCAATCAAGTGCTATAGGGCTGGAAAATGACTCAAAAATACCACATGAGCTAACAGATTTTTTGAGTCATTTTCCAGCCCTATAGCACTTCATTGAAAGCTTTTATGCAAAAAAGGAAATTTTAAAAGGGCTGCTACGCAGGAGTACGCGATGATACTTTTTACCCGGTCTTCTATTCGAAGAAATACGGTAAGCAGTAAGAATTTTGATGTTTTCCTTGCAATTCAGCTTATTTGAATGAAATTTGTAGACTTAGATTAGATTAAGATTCCGTAGCTTAAGATAATTTATCTCATAAACTGATAACTTTAAACATTTTGTTGTTTTATATTTTAGTATTCAAACATTTAGCAAAGAATCTTTCTTTCTTATTGTTAGTTCTTTAAATTCTTGCTTCTTGCTGCTTAAAAATCATTGTTAAAGGCCATTCTTGGTAGCTTTTCTTAGCTTTTCAGTAAACAGTAGCTTTTCTTGGAGATTCTTGGATTAATAATGAGAATTTTGATAAGTTTTCCTTGCAATTCAGCTTATTTGGATTAAATTTGTAACTTAGATTAGATCTTAATTGAAGTAACGATAATAAAATCGAGAATACTTTTTTTGATGATTAAATTCTTTTTTTTAGCTGTTACCTAAACGTTTTCTTTCTATAAACTATGAATTTTTTTAAAAGTCTAGCCTTTAATAGAAGCAATTTTATAGGATGATTGAAAACTAGCACTTCTAATAGAATAAATATGGTAGTTAGATTTTTTAAAATATTTACCAACAATGTTAGTATGTTTTCTGAAGATTTCAAAGAATTTTGAGAGATAAACAATGCTTTCTCCTTCCTGTTGATGATGAGCTGTGATCTTTGATACTCCTATTTCTCGATACTTATTTATTTGCAAGTTTTATATTAATAAATGATTTTTAAGCATTCAATTTTCTTCTCATCAAGCAGGCACAAAAGATTTTACCGTATTTTCTCTAATAGTAGTGCACCCCGACGAGCCGAGTTGGTGACTATTTACGGCTTCCAAAGCTTTCCCAGAAGCTCAACACTCAAATCCCCCACTAGATCTCATCGTCAGCTACATTTTCCGACCCCACATCGATAGGTTCTGATAAGCGGTTTTTGAGATTTCGAGGAATTTAGGCGACGCTCGGGGTGCACTACCATTTTCTCTAATAGTAGTGCACCCCGACGAGCCGAGTTGATGACTATTTACGGCTTCCAAAGCTTTCCCAGAAGCTCAACACTCAAATCTCCCACTAGATCTCATCATCAGCTACATTTTCCAACCCCACATCGATAGGTTCTGATAAGCAATTCTCGAGATTTAGCAAATTTAGAAACTAGAGATTTAGAAACTAGCAAATAGCCTTTGAAGAAACTCTGTAAGTACCGTGTTTTCCATGCAGGAGCCGAGTTGATGGCTATTTTACGGTTTCCAAGCTTTTGCAGAAGCTCAACACTCAAATCCCCCACTAGATCTCATCATCAGCTACATTTTCCAACCCCACATCGATAGGTTCTGATAAGCGGTTCTCGAGATTTCGAGGAATTTAGGCGAAGCTTTCGGTGCACTACTATTAGAGAAAATACGGTAATTTATAAAGCTCAAAAAGCTGTATAAGAAAAAGAGTGAGATCAAAAAAGGAAAAAAAACATATACTCGTATATTGTTGAAGATTTCTTGACAAAAAAAAATGTTGAAATGCTATAAGAAAGTGCTGCCAGCTAGATCATCGTTCGACATTTTGAGCTTAGCGACGACACCGTATCTGATGAGAGAATCGCTCTCTCGTTCACCTGATAAACCATCGGATTCACCTGAAATGGAGATCGTTATGAAAGATAAACTTAATCAAATACTGGTATTGATCAATAAATTTGTTTTTTAATCGTCTTGATTCTAAAGTTTTAAAGTTTCTACTGAACATGATCGATCGATCATGTTCAGTAGAAACTTTAAAAACTTTAAATCTCTATTTTCTCTTTCTCTAATTTCATGATCGATCGAGTTTCTATTGAATATGATCGATTTTCCATTCAACATTCAATTGTAACTAGAGTTTTTTTTTTCAGAAAAAGATGTTACCTAATTGTAAGTACAAGTTGCAAGTTTTGTTTTTGATTAAAAAAATTGTTTAAACACGATCTCCAAACTCCAAACTCTAAACTTCAACTCTAAACTCCAACTCCAACTCCAAACTCCAAACTCCAAACTCTAAACTCCCATTCCAACTCTAAACTCCAACTCCAAACTCCAAACTCTGATCAATTTTGACTTGACTTGACTAGCCATTTCGTTAAAAAACAACTAATTTCAAATAAAAGATCTGCTAAAAATGTTAGCCGATATTTTGAAAACTATGCTTACCATATTTACTCTATTAGTACTGCGCCTCTAACAATATTGTGGTCTTAGCCGTCATGTAAAAATACTGCGCAGTACTAATAGAGTAAATACGGTAATTAAGTTTTAGATCTACCTAATCTCCTACCGGAAGCAAGATGAAGATCAACAGTATCCTGATCTCGATGTCCATCTAAACGACTCGTTTTTGAATGTGATGGAGTGTCCTCAGCTCGCTGCGTATCGCACGGTTCGCTTTCCTAAAAAAGATTTCATTAGTTACAAGATTTCTTATTCTCAAAGAAATGTGGAGGAGATTGTTTGAAAGTTTCAAAACTTAATAGAAAGAAGTAGAAGTATTTGTGTTCGAAATGGTATAGACTAACAAAAACATTTGTCGACCTTTTCTCCTTAGCAATCTAATGTCTTTTGTTTTTTCTCAGCAACAACCCATCACTTTTGTCTATTTTGACTATCATTCGATTCAGAATAAAATTGCGCGTTGAATGATACCAAAATGAACTCAAAATATAATATCCATGCAAAGTTATGAGGCAAAAGGTTAAGTCTCGCTTATAATGAACCGAATTTAGGTTTTTAGCTAACAGCTTTGCGTGGATATTACATTTTGAGTTCATTTTGGTATCATTCAACGCGCAATTTTATTCTGAATCGAATGATAGTCAAAATAGACAAAAGTGATGGGTTGTTGCTGAGAAAAAACAAAAGACATTAGATTGCTAAGGAGAAAAGGTCGACAAATGGTTTTGTTACAAGTCTAGTGTAGACAAGTGTGAGACAAGTGATTTCTTTTTCTCACCGGTGGAAACTCTTCTTCAGCCACACTACTGCGAAAATAGGTGGCAAATTGGTTTTGGAAAAAGAACAATATGGAGATCAAATGCGGGGAGGCTTCCTGGAGATTCTATTCTTTGAGATATTCTAATTCTTTAAGATATTCTATTCTTTAAGATATTCTATTCTTTGAAATATTCTATTCTTTAAGATATTCAATTCTTTAAGATATTCAATTCTTTAAGATATTCAATTCTTTAAGATATTCTATTCTTTGAGATATTCTATTCTTTGAGATATTGAATTCTTTGAGATATTCTATTCTTTGAGATATTCTATTCTTTTCTTTATTATTCTATACAAAGATTTAATTTCAAATTTCAAAATCTTTTTCTAAAGAATACTCTGTAGAGATTTTTTTAAAGCTTTGAAAGAGTAAAGTTTGAATTCATTTCAGAAAGCTTAATCAAATATAAAATATAGCTGAATGAATTCAGAACGGTATCTATTGAATAATTAGAAAATTGTAATTCAAACGTTTGCTTGAAGCCTCAAAGAAACCCACTCGATCTCTGTTGATGACTGATTGTGTTCTCTTCACAAAAGACCTCATCCTCTTATTCGCGTAACTTTTTTGGAAACACGGGAATTTTTGCAGAAAGGTTACTCTAAAGAATTTGATTTACAAGAAATATCAAATGTTGTACCGATAATCCGTTGAGCAAGCACAGAAAACGTAGAATTGAGATGCGTGATTCATAATCTCCAATAGATTGGCAGCGGCTCGAAAAATTTGATAGTCCCATCGTCGTTTTAGGTCCTGAAATGAATTGATGGATGGATTGGTTCTTGGTTTTTTCCGTTACCTCATCAATCAATATTAAATTGATTGCAGCTGGGATGTTGCAGATGAAAAACATGATCACCGTACCGCCCAACATGTATAGTAAAGTGTCATCTCTGGAATGGGAGTTGATTTCCGTTTGCTTTCATTTTCGGATTCGACGTACAATATATAATATATTTTTAAGTCAATACATCATTTTATAAAGTTTTTCGACTTTTTATAAAGTCGACGGCGATTTTATAAAGTTATAAGTTTTATAAAGTTTCGATTTTACTCTTGTCCGATTTTAAATGATATACTCCGAGTTCCAATTAGTAGATTCAATAAAATGAATAGCTCCAATCGATTCCCCGACCCCGATTCAATAAAATGAATAGCTCTAATCGATTCCCCGACCCCGAAAACCTCCGAGCACAAATTTACAGCTCAATATCTTCTTTTGGAGCCATCTATAAAGACAAAGAAGATTCCTGTGCAAATGATTGGCAAGGTGTTCTTTGTGCGTGGCGTGTAATCGCTCGCGATCCGGCACAGGCTCCTGGTGGATTGGATAGCTGTTCCCTGTTGGCCTTTTGACTAAACCGGTTCCAGCGTTTACACCGTCACTATGCCCAAATCCCTGATTTTCCTGTATTCCCGCCACAAATCGTTGAAAAAAAAGCAAGATATTTGAATAGTGAGAATCGATCCCAATTTTTCTACAAAACAGAGCTCTATGCGATCTGACCCGAGCGCCTTGACTCCTGATTCTCTATGATCCAATAAAACTCTAATTCAAAACCTTGTCATTGTCCATTGTTAAATTGCTGCACTCACTTGTTGCTATTGCGATGAGAGGCGTTTTTCTCATTTCTCTTTGTCAATTGCGCAAACATTCGTTGTCGATTGCGGAAAGCGACCATGATTCGCACATTCAAAATCGACAATACAATGATTGGACCAAAACGTAGCATTGCCTCTCGAGTCCATTTGTAGAACTGAATTTACATTCTATTTTAAAAGCAAAGTTTACATTAGATTCATTTTCAGTGTTTTCAATCTTCTAGGACTAGTAGAGGCCCGAATTTGAAGCAGATTTTTTTATTTTCTTTAGATTTGTGAAGCAATTCTGAAGTGCTCACTTGCCATCCCATCGATTGCGAGATTTCACTATCAGCCACTTTCCAATAAGTGACATTATTGATTGGATCCCAATGTTCTTCTGATTTATATCTTGAGATTCCATAAGGAATGTATAAAAGCACAGGGATCACGTAAGAGAGAATGATTGCCTAAATTATATATGAATCAAAATAGATGATGGCCATTGATGGCCACTCACATTGATGGCCCTTTGCGGTGAATTCCAGGCTCGAAATTGTAATGGGAAAACGATAGAGATGAATCTGTAATTGGAAATTTGACAATAACTTTTATAACTTTAATAACAATCTATTTAATTAAGTAGTAACTACTGTAGCTACTTGATCAACTCAACTACTACTTTATTTAAACTACTGTAGCTAATTGATAAACGATTTCTCCTCTAACCTTTCAAGTGATAAAGCCATCACAACAAATACTCCAGTGCCAAGTGCCCAATTGATGAGAGTTAGCATGAGATGGGCTTGATAAAAAGCATAGATTCGAGATCGATTGAAGTGAATTCCTAAACAAAAATCATTAGAAAAGAAAAGATTCTAAAGAATGCTCGAAGAAAAAGCTATCAAGCTCTGTAAACGATCTTTAAACTGACAAATGATCTTCACCGATAAGTGACTTACCTTGTTTCTCCAGAATTTCCACTGATACAAATATTAAGACAAAGAGCATGCAGAGGAGATCAGCCACAGCTAGCGCTCTCAAGTACATATAGGAGACTGCACGCAATTTTCGCGAGGCTAACACCACCAGATTTGTGATATTTCCAATGATACCTAGAAAGGGAAATTTGATGTAAAAGTTTTAGATTTAACCAAGAATGCATATCGTCGGCAGAATATAGCAATATGCGATGTCAGCCACTTGAGCCGCCCGGATCGGGGCACTCTGGTTCATCACCGAATCCTCTTCACCTAAAGATTTATGATTTCTTTTGAAACTTGAAACTATTCTTAATAAAGAATGATGATTCTAAGAATTTGATTAACAGTTTAAATCATTAGAAAAGACTGATTCTAAAGAATACTCAAAGTAAGTTTATTCAGGAATGGAAAAGGCTGATTTATACCAGTTAGAATAGGTGAGATGGATTTGATTTAGATTAGGGAAAGGAAAAGTTCAAGGAGAAAGTCCTTCAAGAGTCTTTCAACTTTCTCAAAGACTTCAATAATGACTGAAAATTGTAGTTAAAACTGAAAGGAATTCAGGGGAAACTTTTCGTCCCTTTACTTAAAAATTCTTGAAAAAAAAGAAAGTAAAAGTTTAGATTAGAAACTTTAGAAGAAACGGAAAGGATGTGGTTGTGTTCCGGAGGAATCGAAAGGATCTTTTTCGATGAAAAGAGTTGTGGGAGGGGGTGAAAGGACAATGGAAGAATGGCTAAGAATGGGCTAAGAATGGGATGGTCTGTCCGTTGACAGGAAGTCTCGTTAGTCAGTCCCGAAAAAATGGGATGGATGAGTGATTCCCTCAAACATAAATCGGGTGGGGAACTTTGAGATACGGTATCACTTCATCAGAATAAGAGATTGCGTTGAATTGAAAAAAAAACTGAAGAAAGTTCATTAGAAATGGTGTGTTTCTATTCTGTAAATGCTAACTATAAAGCTGAAGAGAGGAACAGAATCATTGTTGTCTTGGCAAAACAGCTTGGCGAGGCAGCTTGGCAAAACAGCTTGGCGAGACAGCTTGACAAAACAGCTTGACAAAACAGCTTGACAAAACAGCTTGGCGAGACAGCTTGGCAAAACAGCTTGGCAAGGCAGCTTGGCGAGACAGCTTGACAAAACAGCTTGACAAAACAGCTTGACAAAACAGCTTGGCGAGACAGCTTGACAAAACAGCTTGACAAAACAGCTTGGCGAGACAGCTTGGCAAAACAGCTTGGCAAAACAGCTTGGCAAGGCAGCTTGGCAAAACAGCTTGGCGAGACAGCTTGGCTTGGCAAAACAGCTTGACAAAACAGCAGCTTTGGAAGGAACAATTTTAGATCCAGTATCATTCAACTTACATTAACTAAATGTTAGCAAAAAGACATTTACAGCGATTTAGTCAATAATGTCTGTGAAGTGGTCAAAAAAACAACAGAAGAAACAATATTAGCTCTATTGAGCAAACAAAAAGAACGTGGAGATGGGGAATGATACAGGAAAAGAATCAAAGATCTTGCTAGCAAAATTTAAACTTCTGAACTTTCGAAATCTTATTGGAAACGAGGAATAAACTTTGGATATGGGAACGATCATTAAGAAACAATAGTAATCTTATTGTTAACTATTGTTAATTTAAGCTGAAATGTTAAAGAACATTTGATCGATTAGAAATTGCTATGCGAGAGTTCAGAAAATTTTCCATCGACTTCTGCAAGATGGACATGAAATTTTGCTTTCAAAAAAAGTTTAATTTAAAAAAAAATTCTGCTTTTCGATAGAGTCAAAACCAGTTTGCACAGTTGTTTCTGGAATTTAAATAAGATTTTTTTTTTGAAAGAATTAGATTTTAAATTGGCTACTAACTTGTATCTAAACATCAAATAAAACTTGATGTGTCTAGAAATGGATTTTAGAAGGAAGTTGGATAGAAGGTGGGTAATTGATCCTGAGACTTCTCACTTTGAGAGAACAAGGAAAAGGGAAAGAAATTAAAGGAACTTCAGCAAACAACTTTAGTAACATTTTCAAGGAAAAAGAGCTATATTTAGCTTTGTTTTTTCATAAATCACTGAATTCTTAAGTTCTTTTATTATTGAAAAACTTTAGTTTACTTGAGGCAAGAAAACTCGTTGAGTAATACTCTGGAATCGATTTTAAGAACTACCGTAAATACTGTAATAGTACTCCATCTCCATAATGACGGTGCGGAGTGTTGCGTAGTCTAGCTTTGAACGAGTTTTTCTCGACACTGGTTTAAGCTACAATGCGGGCTTAGGTATCAAAAAATAGCTGAAATTCAGGGCTATTTTTTGATACCAAAGACGCATTTTTTGAAAGTACGGGCGCTTTGAAAAACATGAAATACTAAAAAAACTTTTACGACTACGCGACTGTACGAGGGGGGTGGGGGTACTATTTTACACTATTTACGCTAGATATAGTTTTAATATTCATATGCATAGTTGCTGATCGATGAGAACGAATCACTACAGTAAATAAGACAAAGTTTAACTAAAAAGAAGAAAACTTGACTTAGAATTTTATATATTACCGTAAATACTGTAATAATACCCCAGCCCCATAATGACGGTGCGGAGTGTTGCGTAGTCTAGCTTTGAACGAGTTTTTCTCGACACTGGTTTATGCTACAATGCGCGCTTCGGTATCAAAAAATAGCTGAAATTCAGGGCTATTTTCTCATACCAAAGACGCGTTTTTTGAAAGTACGGGTGCTTTGCAAAAATGACTAAAAACTAAAAAACTTTTGCGACTACGCGACTGTACGAGGGGGGTGCGGTCCAATTACAGTATTTACGGTAATTTATCTTTTAAGGGTCTTAAATTTTTGTCGATTGTGGAAGAGCGACGAAAACGGGCAAAAGAAGAGAAATTCCCGCAGATTCCGGTGTTCGCTGTTGGGAAAGATGATGAAAATACACTGCAAAAGCCCCGAATTTCAGCTATTTATTTTTTCATACCAAAGACGCATTTTTTGAAAGTACGAGCGCTTTGAAAAAGAATGAAATACTAAAAAACTTTTGCGACTACGCGACTGTACGAGGGCGGTGAGATACTATATATATCTGCTTTATTCAGTTGAATAGCGACAAAACAAAATCACAATAATTACTATTACAGTATTTACGGTATTTATAAATATTTTCTTATAACATACGAGAAATTCAGTCGCTTTTCATATTCAAGAAACGTATCGATGCTTTAGATCTAGTGGCTCTTTGCCGTAAGTAATTGGCTTATTGATTTCAGTATGTATTGTATGATTAAGTATCACTGTGCATTTCTCTGCTTTCACTCGTTTGAATAAAGTATTATAAATTGTTTGATAACATAAAATTGTTTGTTATAACATAAAGACTTGCTTTTGAACTAAAAACTTTACAGCTCGTCCTTTGCATTGTTTGTCGAAACTTTCAAAATCCTCCGTTGTAAACAGATTAGCCCTTTGTTTATAGACTTTTTCAATTTACCGCGGTCGGGCCCAGAAGTGGCTCATTCCTTTGCAAATTCCCTTTGCTTCCAATGCCTCTATCAAATTCATTTCCCGTTAGGCCGCTAGATTATGGACTTGCCCCAAACGACATACGAATTCGTCGCTTCATATCAAGAAACGTATCGATGCTTTAGATCTAGTGGCTCTTTGCCGTAAGTAATTGGCTTATTGATTTCAGTATGTATTGTATGATTAAGTATCACTGTGCATTTCTCTATGATTTCTTTCACTTTATCGTTTGAATAAAGTATTATTATTATAAACCTAACCAAATTTTGCAATATATTTATTGAATTTAGTTAAAATGAAAGATTTTTAGTAGTTTAATGATAAAAGCTATAGAATAAGTTCACAATGAAAGTGTAATTAATGCTAAAAATAGAATAGCTTTTTAAAATAATCAATAATCAAGATTGTTTATGATAATTTCATAGTTTTAACTTTGATTTAAGACCGATAAAAGACAATGACAATGACAAAAAGTGCTTGAAAGCAGTTACAATGAAGTTCTTTTGCAAATTTCTTCGAACAAATTGAGGAAAATCATCGCTACTTTGGTTTAAAAACAACTTTTTCTAATTTTTTTTCTAAGCAAGCGGAAAGCGCTAATCAATTCTTGTAAGATTACATTCAGATAAAGAGAAAAAAAACTGGGCCTTCATCTCCTTTAAAATTACAAATCTAGAATTTAGCTGATGTGTTTAGAATTAGTTAATCGTCTTAGACTTTTTCTAAAAATAAAAGGATTTTTGAAGGCTTTACAGTTTTGCAAATAAATTTTGATTGAACTAAAAGTTATTGGGTTGGGGACTATGACTCGGCGCCGAAAATCAAAAAAATGTCTAAAACTTCTATTCGACTTCGTCAAATAATATGCGTTTGATATGAGTAGAATGTTTAACTAATTCTCTACAAAACGACAATTAAAAGAAAATTCAAACAGCGCCTCCGCTCAAGAAAAAGCCATTTTTTCACAAAAACTACAAACTGTGATCTAGAAAAAACCATTGGTGGGATCTTCCTGCAAATTTGGCAACTTAAGTAATTGAATGTGCTCTATCTTTTTTATATAAACACCAAAGAAGGTTTATGTGAAAGAAACTCTTCAAATGATGAGTCGGGCTTTTTGCCATTTTGACTAGCTGTGTTTGGGAGTCCATAAACTCCACGAAAGAAAAGCTTTGTGGAATCTCTCAAAAGTCATTTTGTAGAGAAATAGTGGATCCTTTTGATGAAACCAAACGTATGTTTAAAGAAGGCTTTATGTGTGCAAAAAGTCCCTTTAAAGTTTGGCGCCGACTCATTGTCCCCAACCCAATAGAAAGCAGACTTTATGTACTTTAAAAACTTTAAAATACTTTAATTACTTTAAAAAAAGAAAGCTTTAAAAAAAACTTTACTTTAAAAAAACGAAAGCCTGTTTAGATTGGCGATACTTAAAAAAGAAATCCGCTGGAAGGGGTAGAAAGATAATAATTCAGTGTATAAAAAGAGTGATTTAGCTTTTAATTCATTCAATGTCAATTTTAAGGATTGACAATGATGCTGCTTTTGAAGGGAGTGGGACAAATGCGACCTTTTTTTGCGCACCCGGACATTTGCGCACCTTGCCCATTAGCGCACCTTTTTTCGCGTTTTAAAAAAGCTCTAAAAAGCTAATATTAACCAATTTCTATTCCAAAAGTTGTTTTTCTAGGTAATTTTAGGGTGTAGAATCGAAATTTTGACATATCAGAGCTTGTGGAAATAAATGGACGGAGTTATACAAAGAGAAAAATCGACAATTTTCTGTAATTTGATCTAGCCGTTTTGTCTTTCAAATTGGTTCCACACGCTCTGTTATGCCAAAATTTGAATTCGACGCCCTCAAATTACCTAGAAAAACAACTTTTGGAATAGAAATTGGTTAATATTAGCTTTTTAGAGCTTTTTTAGACGCGAAAAAAGGAGCGCTAATGGGCAAGGTGCGGAAAAAAAGGTGCGCAAATGTCCGGGTGCGCAAAAAAAGGTAGCATTTGTCCCACTTCCCTTTTGAATCCAAAAATTGCCTATATTCTAATTGTAAACATGCTGTAAACTGAATAGGGAAAGTTGAACAAATCAAGTTTTTTTTGAAGTTTATTAATGTAGTCAAATTTTCGAATCAGGATTGACAGTGATGCTGCTTTTAAATTCGAAAAATTGCCTTCGAAATTTGGCTTTGAACCTTTAAAGGATGATTTTGATTTGTTTAGCTACTATTAGTGAAATAAAGCAAAGAAAAAGAGGAGTGAGATGACAATTCAAGTCAAAGCAGCATTGCTGAAGGGAAGCCCCGATGACGTTTCACAAATGGATGTGGGTGAATGAATCGCCTCAATTTGTCCCTTTAATTCCATGTCTTTTCAAGAAAAAAAAACTTGGATTCTAGTCTCTCACTTAGTTGAGTCCAAAGAGAAAAGGGCAAAAAAAAAACAAAACGGAAATCAGTTGAGGGGAAATTGGTCGGATGAGCTCCACCCGTTGCATGAAATCGACCCACAAAACTTCGAATGATTTTATGAAAAATGGAAATTGATTCAGAGAAATTCTATGGAGAAAACATGTTTTCTGAATCTTTCGGAAATTCGACAGTAAATGAACTGATTCTATCTTTAGAATGTTACAAAAAATGGGTTAGTTCTGGGTTGGAGAAGTTGTTTTGTCAAGTTGGCACTGATATTTTTGCAAATTGGAGTGATCAGTTGGCCTTAAATTTGCACAGATTAACTTCAGAGAAGTCTTTTGAAAGTTTGAAACTTAATGTATTGATCAAAAAGAGGAAATCTAAATGCAGAAAGGAAAGTAGGAAATGAAATTGATGAATCGAAGCACCGGGAAGGCATCTTCATTCGAGAGATATACATCACGCAATGCACTTTCCTAGATGAAAGCTAGATGAAGAGCTAGATGAAAGTGTGTACTTAGGTGGTTTAGAGTACTTGTAGTACTTGTAGTACTTGTAGTACTTGTAGTGCTTGTAGTGCTTGTAGTGCTTGTAGTGCTTGTAGTGCTTGTAGTGCTTGTAGTACTTGTTTAAAGGAGTACTTGTATTTAAACTTAATTGGTTGATAATTTGAATCTGATCAAAAGAACGAAATTTTATCGATACAAACAATAATTCACTTCAGTGGATAATGAAGAAAAAGCCTTATATAGCCATATAGCCAAAATGTCTCTACAGTAAGACAAGACAAAAAAGAGGCACACTCTAGTAAACAATGTCTCGTAAATAGGTGTAGATTCAACAAAACTGGATCACTAGTAAAATAGTGTGTAGAGAAAGTTCTTGTAAACATTTTTTAGCTTCCTTTAAACTTGAGATGATTAAGTCTTTGGCATTGTTTACTAGAGTTTTTGGCTTAACTTAGATTAGAGCTTGTGTCTAAAAGTTGAAACAAGTGTCTGCTTTGAATTGATTCAATTTAAAATGGAACTTTAATTGTTTGAGACTAGATGAAAGCTGAAATGTGATTAAAACTATTGTACTCTAATCTAAAAGTTGATGAATAAGTAGTTGATTCAAGTAATCAATGAGTATGTGTAATCGATTCAATAAGTAATTGATTCAATGAGTAATCGATGAGTATGAGTAATCGATTCAATGAGTAATCGATTTAATGAGTAATTGATTAAATGAGTAATTGATTCAATAAGTAATCGATGAGTATGAGTAATTCAAACATGAGTAATCGATTCAAGTCTTTGAAAAACTGGTTGTACAATTTTTCTACTTTTCAAAGTGATTAGAAAAAAATAAAGCTAGTAAAAGAAAAAAATAAGAATCTCTAAATCTAAATCCCAAAATTTACCTTCATTCCGCTCGAAATTCCTCAAATACTTGGCGAGGCTATGTGTACGTTGAAACGCGTGTGTGTGGGTCATTCCCTTTTCAAGCTATGAGAATATTTGCTGCGAGAATTTGCTTTTTCAAGCGACTGATTTCAGCAGATTGTAAACTGGAGCAAATAGCTTTAGAGCAAATAAACTTCAACTCTCTTTGAAGCACTTGGCCAATTTTGGTCAAACTCGATTGGATTGGATCAAGTTTCCAGCTTAAAAAGCAGAAGTGGGTTCAGGTCGTAGTTTGAGGCTTTTGAAAGATAAAGAATTCAAATAGAGACTAAATTGAATAGAATCTAGTATCTCCAGATTGAATCTTACATCTTGGAAATCATAAATAAGAAGATAATAAGATGAGTTTAGAACTGAAAGCTTTGTTTTGGAAGTCACTAAGAAGTAAGTAAGTAAGTCAAGGATTTTGGAGAGATGAAAGCTATTCTACTAGCTGTTTGGGTCCAAGTTCTAATCATAGTTTACATCTAGAGTCCTCGTCTAAATAAAGCTTATCCTTAAACTATTTGGCTTCTGAAATCCTTTGATATTATTCTTAAAATAATCAAAGTTAAGATTAAGATTAAATGAATTTACTAAGTTTTATAAAATCTTTTGAGAATGATCCACTATTAATCATTCCATCTATTTATAAGCCTCAAATCCAGTCTCAAAAACAAGCTGAGAATCTCTTTTTCCGTTGTGAATTCGTTAGGTTTAAAAATCGAGACAAAGTTAAATCGAATCGGAAAAAGTTATGAGTGAAAAATGAATTTGAAAAGATCGTAGATTAGTGTAAACAATGAGAATCCAATGTTCAGAAGCAAAAGAAGCTTATGAAAATGATTGAAAATGATCATTCCATCTATTTAAACAAGTACACAGAAAAAAACTATTCTTTAAGCTATTTAAGCTTTATCTTTTGATGTCAGAATTCCCGGGAAATCTCTAAAACCGAACACGGAAGGGGTGAAGGGAAAGACGATGAATTGGGAATGAGTTTTGGTTGAATTTCTGAAAAAATGTTGGTTGAAAAGTGCTTAAAATGGAAAGTAAGCTTCATGGAGCATTAAAGCAATGTTTCAAGGGTTTTCTGATTGAATAGCTTTTAAAATTGGGCAATAGAATCCAATAGGCTTATTCGTATTCAATGATTGCGCGAATTTTACCGTTAAATTGATTGAAAATCTATTTTCTATCTCTTTATCAAAACAAAAACAAGAACGAGAATATATTTTGCCAAGAATCATCAAAAAAAAGTCTACAAAATTGTAAAAATTGAGAGTTTTGTGAAAAGAATTTACTATTACCGTATTTCTTCGAATAGAAGACCGGGTAAAGAGTATCATCGCGTCATTATTAGTTATTATCGTTACTTCAATTAAGATCTCATTATTAATCCAAGAATATTCAAGAAAAGCTACTGTTTACTGAAAAGCTAAGAAAAGCTACCAAGAATGGCCTTTAACAATGATTTTAAGAAGCAGCAAGAAGCAAGAATTTTAAAAAACTAACAATAAGGAAGAAAGATTCTTTGCTAAATGTTTGAATACTAAAATATAAAACATCAAAATGTTTAAAGTTATCAGTTTATGAGATAAATTATCTTAAGCTACGGAATCTTAATCTAATCTAACTTACAAATTTAATTCAAATAAGCTGAATTGCAAGGAAAACATCAAAATTCTTACTGCTTACCGTATTTCTTCGAATAGAAGACCGGGTAAAGAGTATGATCGCGTACTCCTGCGTAGCAGCCCCTTTTTAAAATTTCTTTTTTGCATAAAAGCTTTCAATGAAGTGCTATAGGGCTGGAAAATGACTCAAAAATACCACATGAGCTAACAGATTTTTTTGAGTCATTTTCCAGCCCTATAGCACTTCATTGAAAGCTTTTATGCAAAAAAGAAATTTTAAAAGGGGCTGCTACGCAGGAGTACGCGATCATACTCTTTACCCGGTCTTCTATTCGAAGAAATACGGTAAATTGTATTGGTACAATATTTAGTTATAAAGTAAAGATATTCAGTTATAAAAGAATTCAGATAAAGCTTAGCTCTTAATTTAAATCCTTCACCATCTTGATCACCACTTTGATTGGCGCCATCGTATCCAACTGCAATAGAGCAATGAAGACAACAGCTCTTTTCCCATCACTCATCCATTTCTTGAAACATTTCAATTCATCTCCACTACCAGCACTACCAGCTCCAAGCACTTCTTTCACCCATTCTATCAAATCGTTTTCGTCAATCTTTAAGCAATCGCGGTCGAAAGATTGCGTCAAACTGTTGAATTTTCTTCTCAAATCATCTTTCTGAAGACTTTTCGCATTGCAAAACTGCAATTTCAATACAATAGACTCTTTCGGAGCACCGATCTGCAGCACTGCTTTCACGGAGGATTCGAAATCCTCCCAACGGGCATTTCCCATTCCTATTTTGTCGACTCTAGAGCGAGCCAGCGTATCATAACAGATTTGATAGGGAACATTAGCAAAATGAATCTTTTTCACATTCAGCCAATTTTCCTTAATCAGTTCGGTGAGATGTTTGTTCTCATAGCCAGACAATTGAAGAAGACTGAGCCTATCAACGACTGGATTGAACTTTTCCATAATCATTTGTATAGGCAAAATGTGATCAAACTGGATCCGAAAGTCGGAGAGTGAGCGAAATTTCGGGAAAAACTTGAGCACTTCGAAAGAGCTTTTATTTTGGTCGACAATGTCGGTGATGAAGCTCACGGTGAAGAGTTTGCATGAAGTAATCGAATGAAAAAGTGGTGAATTTTGGTTTTCAATGATGATTGATCCTTTCCTTTGTTCAGATGCTGATGTAAAAGTGGTTGCATCGACTTGGATGAGCAAATTTGGGGTAATCGGTTGATCTTTGTCGAAAGAATAAACCACAAATCGAAAGAATTTGATTTTCTTGGGAAAAGCTTTTGACAGAATGAAAGATCGAAAATCTTTTGTTGTGCGTAGGAGTTGATGGCGTTCGCTGATCGGTAAACAATCAAGAATCGAGATTTTGAGTTCTGTAGGAAGAGAGGAGAATGTAAAGGTTGAATTTTTAATGTTTGAGATCATTTTTATAGAAAGAAACTTGAAAGAAAATCGATTTGCAAATGAATTCAGATTGAAGTTTAGTATTTTGAATGGTAGATTCTTATTGTGAAGCTTGTAATAGTAAAAAGGTTTAGTTGAATAAGAATGAGCTGACAATTATGCCAACAATTGCTCAATTGCCGCTAGCAAATCAATTTTAGAAAATATATTAGTATTGGTGGGCTAATTGATGTGTTATATGGAAAGAATAGTTTGTGTTTTGAAATGGATAAGATTTTATTGTTTAATCATTGAGTGTTATTGATCTAGAATCTAGAAGTAGCTCTAGATCTAGAAGTAGCTCTAGATCTAGAAGTAGCTCTAGATCTAGAAGTAGCTCTAGATCTAGAAGTAGCTCTAGATCTAGAAGTAGCTCTAGATCTAGAAGTAGCTCTAGATCTAGAAGTAGCTCTAGATCTAGAACTAGTTCTAGATCCAGAAGTAGATCTAGATCTAGAACTAGCTTTAGATCTAGAAGTAGATCTAGAATCTAGAAGTAGATCTAGATCTAGAAGTAGATCTAGATCTAGAACTAGCTTTAGATCTAGAAGTAGATCTAGAATCTAGAAGTAGATCTAGATCTAGAAGTAGATCTAGAACTAACTCTAGATCTAGATCTAGCTCTAGATCTCGAACTAGCTCTAGATCTAGAAGTAGATCAAAGACATCACATTGATTCATTTTCTATCGATCATTTATTCAAGTTCAATATTAGACTCTTTCAGAGCACCGATCTGCAGCACTGCTTTCACGGAGGATTCGAAATTCTCCGAAGTATTCCAGTATTCTTAAAATATGCCTATTCTAGAAAAATTTCCCTTTAACTGCCTATTCTCTGACTTGAAAATCGCTGTATTGAGAGCTCTTGAAGTTTCATCAACTTTAAATCTATTAAAGACAAAAAAGGAATTGAGAACTTTCATTCTCTCAGCTGGACCTTTTCCCGAAAAAGTCAATCAAATCGAAATCGAAATCTACGATTTTCAAATCTCTAGCGATAAAATCTTCAGCTCTGGACTTTCCCTAGCTGTTCATTCAAACGATTCGTTCTTTTTTAAGACAAAGAAAGAAGAATACTTTAATCAAAATGCAATTCTCATCAAGCCCACTCACTTTAAAATATTCAATCGAAAATTCAAAACATTGAAACTCTATTTTCGAGATATTCCATTAAAGAAAGAAGGGAAATTTGAGGTTTTTAAGTTTTTGCCAAACACAAAATGGCTTCACACTTTTCAATTTGATGGAAACCAGGTAATTGGGATTTTAATTTTTCAAATCTTTCGACCAAATGTATCAAATTGTCAACAATTAGCCAGTTGTTTTAACGAAAACGATCGAAAAATCGAATTACTTGCTATTCTACCGATTGAGAATTGGAGATTATGTCAATCTTTTGTATTTTATAACTTTCCATTTGAAGATGTTTGGCTAAAATTCTCATTTGTTAAAGCAAAAAAGATAAAGAATGTTCACAATAAATTCGATGTTTTTAAGAAAAATGTTGAGATTTTAGTGAAATATGGGATTTCTTTTGGTCAGACGGTTAGTGAATGTCAGCTTTTATTCTCTGATTCTTACTCACTTTGTTCTACATTTGAAGCTCAGGAATTAAAAGTTTTGAAAAGGATCTTTAAAGATTGCATAAATTTACGTCCAGTTTCTTCAAAGGCAATGTCTATTTTCGGTGAAAAGCTTCAACTGAACAATTCTCAAAAAAAAATCGAATTCTTTTCAAGAAAATTTGAGGAAATCGATTGTTTCTACAAGCTGACCATTTGCCCTGGATCTAAGAATTGCCTTATTTTAACAGTAAAACAATTGGAATTCGCCGGAGCGTTTAAGAGAATAAGTTGTGAAGATTTTAAGGAAAAAGATCTGAATAAGTGGAGGTAAGCACTTTGAATTAAAAAGTGAAACTTCTACTTTTATTCCCCGATTCTTACTCACTTTGTTCTACATTTGAAGCTCAGGAATTAAAAGATTTGAAAAGAATCTTTAAAAATTGCATAAATTTACGCCCAGTTTCTTCAAAAGTGATGTCTATTTTCGGTGAAAAGCTTCAACTGAACAATTCTCAAAGAAAAATCGAATTCTTTTCAAGAAAATTTGAGGAAATCGAGTGTTTCTACAAGCTGATCATTTGCCCTGGATCTAAGAATTGCCTTTGCTTAACAGTAAAACAATTTTCTTAACTTTTTCTTTATGAAAAGCTCTATTCGTTTATTCTCAATATTTTACAAATTGTGTTAATTAAATTGATTTAATCAAGTTTCTTTGTTTAATTTTAATTTAATTAATGATTTAATAAATGGTTTCTTTGTTTTTAATAAAGTTTCTTTTAAATGCATTCTATATGCTTTAAAGTGGTGGCCTCAATTTTCGTGGGCAATAGAGCCCAAGCTTTTTCTATTGAGGCATTTTTCAAGGTGAAAGCTAACGTCAAACCCATTTCTAAACAAAACAAACCACTTAAATTTTCATTTTCTGACTTAAATCGACTGGTAGAGGCGAATAAACATTGAAAAAAAGATTTTTTTGAGATTTTGATCGATTTTGACTCATGTGTGGGACCACATGGTCGAAATTTGAAGAAATTTATTTCAATTTTACTCCAATTTAATCATCAACGTAAACAGTAGGTTAAATTATGCCAGAAGAAGTGTTTTTGGAAGAAAAAATGTTTTGAGAACCATTTTTAGACAGCTTCCCGCTTCCCTGTGTATCCCTCAAAGCACACTGTATGCTCGCGCACTTTGAAGCGTCGAACTTCGCTTAAAACACCTTTCCCCCAAATTCTCGTTGTGTTTTTCGGAGTCTACGCATAAAACTACCCCAGAAAAAGTGGTTTTGAAGAAAGAAAAGTGAGCCCGTCCCCCCCAAAGCGGGTTCTTCCAAAAAAACACTTCTTCTGGCATAATTTAACCTACTGTTTACGTTGATGATTAAATTGGAGTAAAATTGAAATAAATTTCCCCAAATTTCGACCATGTGGTCCCACACATAAGTCAAAATCTCAAAAAATCTTTTTTTCAATGTTTTTCTCCTCTACCAGTCGATTTAAACTTTAAACTTTTAAGTATTAACATAGTACCAAAGTTAATAGTTAAAAGTAAACATTTTTATAAGAATTAGTTTGTAAAAGATTTCATTTTGAAATGGAGATCAATTACCTCTAAAAAAGAAAAAAGTAAAACACAGGTTCGAACCCGAAAGGGTTTGCCTTGGGTTCCAGCCGACTACCACTCGGCCACCACTGCTCCCTAGACGCCTTGGGAGAGGCCGCCTATAAACTCGAGGGATGCTTTTTAAAATTCCATAAAAGTTTGCATGCTTATAACTTTTGACAGAGTGCTCTTTAGCAGAAACGGAAAGCAGATTCGGAATCAGCGGAAAATTCTACGCCGAAAAATATATGGTTTGTGCCATTTGGTCACCACACGCGGTTGAGATTCCCTTGGCAGAAGAAAGAGATTTTGGTGGGAGAAAGAGATGGAAAAAGATAAACAATTAAAAATGAAAAGTACAATTTACTCAAAAGAAAGCGCTTATAGCCTAGCTGCTATAAGCGCTTATAGCCTAGCCAATTGTAAAATGAATGCTGTAAAGTTCGTTTAGCTTTACAGCAACAATTCTACTTTTTAAACTACCTTCAACTTCAATAAAAGATTTATCAAATAGAACCAACAGATTTAGAATATTAATTGAATTATATTTAATATTATTTAGAAATAATATTAAATATAATTCAATATTAACGTTAAAGTTGAAAACTAGTCAATTTTTATTATTAGTTTGCATTTAAATGCATTTAAAATATGATTGCTGGATTCAATTTCAGCAGATTTATGTCAAATGAACTTACAGAGTTTACGTTTTAAGATTTAGATCGCAAAAAATCAAATCAAACAACTCTAAAGCCAGCTTGTAAGCCTGATGACAAGTTTGGAATTGATTTAAATCACGATTTTCTTTTGATAAGCCTCACAAACCTGTATCCGGTGTGATATGAATGCGAACGTTATGCATTTTTTGATTTGATTTGGATCAATAGGGATGAGGTGAAAATGGTGAAATGAGAATTTCCGGGATTAGTCCGATAAATTAGTGGAAAGAGACAGTGAAAAGAGACAAAAAATGAGGCTAATCCCTATCAGAAGCCCCGATTTTCTTCATAAAAATCCCCCAGAAGATTTGGCTTTTTTTTTCGGATACAGATTTAGAGAAAACCGACGGCTTTCTTTTACAGAAATTCTAGAAATAAGATGGATAAAATATATAAAAATTGATGATTGATGAAAGGAAAGAATAGGGATCTAGTGTACAAAAGAATCATTGAATTGCTTGATTGTGGGTAGAGCTTTTCTTGAGAACAAAAAGTTAGAGATTAGCATTAATATTGGGTTGGTGAATTGAAAATGCGGGCTATTGTCATATGTGACAGTTTGAGCACTTTCTTCAAAAGAAACCCATTTTGGTGTCAATGGAAAAGTTGTAGAGAATCAAAAATCAAGCTTATATCCAAATTTTCAGAACGATTCAAAAACTGGTTTTCAAGAAATGCCAAATTTACGAAATTTTCACAAAACTTGCATTTTAAGCGAAACTACTAAGTGTATCTTTTTGGAAATTTGGTTATAAGCCTAATCTTTGATTCTCTACAACTTTTGTATTGACACCAAAATGGGTTTCTTTTGAAGAAAGTGCTCAAACTGGGACATTGGGACACCTCCAGTCCTCCATTTTTGAGTCTCACACTTGTCTCACACACAAACCAAAATCCTACGCAGAAAGAGGAATCCGCAAATTGCCTATAAAATGGACAGAAGTCGTCAATAATAATGGAAATTATTTGGAATGAATTCATGGTTTTATGTTCAATAAATTTTAGGTCAAAGTCCCGCAGTTTTCAATTCACCAAGCCAATTTATCAAGTAAAGTGAAAATGAAAAGGAAATCGATGAATTTTCTAGATCTTCTTT